TTTCTCTGAAAGTAAACGAGAAATTGAAATTTTCTTTCTACTTTTTTTTTTTTTTTTTGTGTTTTTGGGTCAAATGGTCAGGTTGCTTTGCTGGCAATCCCTTTCACCTGCCTGCTGCGGTGGTGACCTTCAAAATTTTGGCCGAGTATCCTGTTAAGCCCTCAAGTATCCTTTTAGCCAAGACCCCCCCCCACACACACACACACATGTATGTACGTGTCATTAGATACAAACATTCATTTTTTTTTCCTGCTGTTTGCTGTTTTACGCCACTGGCAATTCGTTCTCCCTTATTTTCCTTTCTTTTTTTGCACCCATTCTGGCATTTTTTGCTTTTCGCCGCTCGTTTTTATTTGCCAAGTGCACGCAATGTGACAAAACGTGGGCGGCAGGTGGGCGGCTGTTGGCTGTTGGCTGTTGGGTTTTTCAGGTGGGTGGCTTTGGACCCTGGTGAGAATTATAGTGTCATATTATATAACCTGACATCTACATGTGTGTCTGTGTGTGTGTATAAAAATAGAATTGCTTGTAAAAAGGGAGGAGAGAAAGCGCACCAACACCATAATTAAAACACTTGCAGTTGTTGTATTAACTGCAGCCAGTAGCTAACGGCCGCTTACAGCTGGCAGTTAAACACTGAGAGAAAAAGTGGGGTTGGAAAGTAGGTTTTGACTATGAATTACTCATAATACTTATTAGTAGTCAGAAAGGGTACTCAGTTTCCTAAACTAGCATGCCTTTCATTGACAACTTACTTGCTTTATATTTTTTTTTTTAATCTTCTAAACAGAGTTTTAAGTATTTGTTTAGTAAAAAGAATATTTTGCTTACTTCAAAAATAAAATAAACAATATTAATATCTTATTTAACTGCCCTAAAAATATCTAATGTCTGTGATAAAGGAATAAGGCATTATTTCTCCCAATTCAACTTCCAAAAATGTAAAAAATTGACTTGAAAATGTTTTTTTAACTTGAAAACATATAAACTTGCCCTTAGCCGTATCATAAAAACTCATAAAAATACACTTTAAAAATATTTTTAAAAATATTTTCATAAATATTAAAGTACTCATACATCAAAAACTTATTATCTTGGAAAACTATAAGAAAACCCCAAACCCAAAGAGGGTGAAAATGTGGATTTGGGCTTTGGTTTTACTGTGCTTAAGCATGCATGAAGAGCGCAGCGATTGTTCTGTTGTCGTTTTTCTTTAGTTTTTTCTTTTTTAATTAATGAACTAACTTTTGATGTCTACCCCTGCCCCTCTACCTCTAGCACACCCCTCTTCACCCCCCTGATTTTCCAAGTCTATCTCGCTGCGCTCTCTGGTTTATATGCGATTATGGATGCAGGCCAACTTTTTTTGGTTGTTGCTTCGTTTGTTTGTTTGTTTGTGAATTTCTGTTTCGTTGGTTTTTCCGCGGTGTTTATAACACTCGACTGGACTTGCGGTTAACATAATTAAACAGGCTAACACAAGAGGGGGCTGGGAAAGCTGAAAAGTTCTGGCAATTATCAAGAATTTCAAATCATATAAACAAAAAACCGGTTCAGTTTCCTAAGTTTCTGCTTGGTAAATATCACTTTCCAATCATGATTACGCGTTAGTTTTCTTTTATATTGTTTAAGCTACTTTCGGAAAGCAGTCATTGGATGATTTCCCCCACTTCTCCATTTAGCAATTTGATTTTCCTGCTTAAACTGCTAACTAAATCCTTAAGTAGGGGTACTTATTGATCTACCCTCTCGTTGGTATTTGTGTCAAAAAGAAAAGCTTGTGCCAGTTTGCAATTGAAGCGGCTCTCATTACCCACATCCATCCCTTAAATCACAATCCACCTTCTATATCTTCTCAGGGGCCACCAAATCAAATGTGCCAAAAGCCGATGGCGAAAGCTAATCAAAAACCACTTAAATCAAAACGAAGGCATTAGCGAAAACCTCCCCACCGATCGGCCAAGAAGCAGAAAATGTATACCAAAAGACCCTAACAGGCACGCAATGCCAATGTTAGCCAGGTCTTCTTCGTATTCTCTTTTTGACGGATTTGAATTCACTTTACTATTATTATTGCTATTTCTATTATTATTATTATTATTAGTATGCCTTGCTGATTGACTCAAGTGAAGGTTATGACATTCAAATTATATTTTCAATAACCGCCGCTTGCTAATCAAACAAACTAGAATAGATTTAGACTATCAAAGGAAGAGGGGAAAAGCTATAAAGACTTCATAAATACCCCTTAAAAGCAGAAAGTTTAAAAGTTGCTAAGAAAATGTATGGGTAACAGCTGTTACAGAGCGCTTAACAGCAAGCTGTAAAGGGGAAAAGACCTGCTTAGAAATAACAGAAAGTTAAACTTAGTACATGAAATTCAAAAATCTGTATAAAGTTTATGTTAAAATCCATAAAAAAATTCCTTAAATTTGTTTTATATTTTTGGAAAACTTTTCAAATAAAACTTTCCTTACGTTTTGCCTACAAATTTTTCCTTTTCAAGTTTATATATTATAAAAATCTTTACAAAAATAATTTCAACACCCAAACTTTACATTTTTGGACTTCAATTTTAAAGACTTTCTCTTGCCAAAAACACATTTAATTATAAAAATAATGAAAATTATTAAACTAATCTTAAATAAACGTTAACTAACACACATCGTAGGGCACATTTACAGGGCATTTTATCAGACAACATCAAGAGCGTTGACAACCCTGGCATGCCAGATAGACTTTTGGCGACATCGACGACACACGAGAAAGCCATAGATATATTAGATAGGAAAACAAGCTAGCAAGAAGGGGGGTTAGTGGGTGGCTTTATCTACCAACTCAATTATACAAATATTATACAAACATTAGAAATGCATCAAAATAACGAAGGATATTTGTCAAGGCACGGAACGGAACCCTTGGAGAGGCCAACAACATACGACGACGTCGCCTGTCACTGGGACAAGGATGACTCGGCACTGACTTTTCCATTTAGAAAAAAACAAAGAAAGGAAAGGAAAATGGAGAAAAACCGAGCCTTGGCACACTCTCCAAAGGCGCCAGCACGTGCGAAATGGGGGGTAAAAAATGGGACAACAGGCCAATCAATAACCACTGTGTGCAGCATGTTTATAAGAGGGGAGGGTGGGAGTGGAGATGGTAGATGAGAGGGGGGATAACAATCATTTACTAGGGTTAAGGTTTCCCCTTCGGGTCTGGCTTGGGGTTAAGGCTCCTGGCATGATAATTGCGATATTTGGAAGGTAACTTGTTGCATTTGAAAAACAACTTTCTGCAGAGGCCCTCCCCCTACTGGGGGTTCAAGTTCAAAGAACTGAAAATGTTTGGAAAATTAAAGAGTTTTTCTAATTAAATGCAGAACCTTAAATTGCCTTTTTGTTCTCTAAATATATAAACCTAAAACCTACTAATATTTATACAAATAATAATAAATACAAAAAAACAAAAACAGCGAAAAACTCACGTTACTGAAATAAACAACAGAAATTTGCAGGTTTTCCCGTTGAAATGGTTATGTAACCCCCTGGGGCACGTTTTGGCTTGATTTCCTGATTTTGTATATTAACTATTTGCACACTCAGCGCGCCAATCAATTTGAATATATACATATATATATATAGTTTATGATTATTGTTTATCACCCAGAAAGCGCTTCTATTTGTTATGTCGTGTCGCGTGTCACATTCAACGAGATTCTTTTTTGGACAACCACTTTGCCCCCCTCCCACTTCTGCCTCTTATACATCAACATCCCCTCACCTAATACCACTACTATTACCATCACAACCCCCCCAAAAACTATACATTCCAACCCTTCCTGTACATTCCTCTACCATTACTTATATAATTTGTTTCGCATTACATTTTGACGATTGTGGATTTTGCGTCGTGTGAAAACAATTAGATGAAGGCAATTTGGCTTTTACTTGCGGGCGGAAGGGGGAGGTGATATCTCGATTGATTGCATAACACAAACACACACACGTATATATATATATATATATTTGTAAAGTACCTAATCGGGGCAGGCGTTGGTCAAGCGTTGGCACTGGCATTGCGATTGCAGTTCCGGGAAAGTAAACAGTAACCGCATACCAAATCATAAATATTTTGAATTTCTTCTTTCCCATTTAATTGTTATTTTTTCTTTTTAAATTTATATTTATGAACGTAGCTTTGTTTTTACTAAATGAGGAGGGGGGGTGGTTAAATATTTATTCTAACCTATCGATGCCTAACAAAAGGGATATCTCGGAAACACCAATCAAACATTTATCAGAATAAACAAGTTGCATTTCTTTCGAAAGTCTCGCATCCATCAATCATTTCTCTCCTCTTCTTAGTTTACTTTTCTTTCGAAAATTTATATATATTTTTTAAAGCATAACTAGTGTAGGTTTTCCCCAACGATTCAATGCAACTTCCTGGGAATGAGTAACCCAAAATGTCTTATCAATAAGCCTTATTTGGTGAATGCTAAGTTTGGGTGAGCTGAGTTGGTGGTGTGTGGCCTTGCAGTAGCAGATAGAAAGTGGATTCTTTTTCCTGTTTGCAGAGTGTAAGTGTGTGTATGTGTATGTATGTGTCCAAGGATAGTGCTGATTGAGTGGATATACGAGTATATATGTATCGCTTATTGGTTCGGAATTGCATCCCTTTGTGCCCTCCAAGCTTTTAGCCGGGTGTGACAAGCGAGTGAGCTGGCTGGCCATAAAAAGTGATATATGCGAGTGGGTTGGCTGATTTGCTGATTTGGGAAACAAGCGCCAAAAAAGTAGAGGTCCTTTCATTTTTTTTTTTTTTTGGAGGAACGTGTAAGGAGGGCCGGGAGGAGAGACGACAGCACGCTACTTAGAGTATGAGTCATGGATTTTGCTGTGGGGCAACCATCGCTTTATGGTTTACTTTGCACTGGATTATGGACATGATGATGATCATCAAACATCAACAGTGATCAAGATTTTTAGATGTGGTAATACCAAACTCGGCGACGAAAAAGTCGCGCAATTTCAATCTGGATTTCTTGGGCTCCTCGCGCGGATGATGGACGGTGATCTGGTCGCCGTCGGCCGATATCATTGTCTCGCTGGGCGGTGATATCGAGTATTGCTGCAGCAAACGTCGCTGCTGTTCGGTGAGCTCGTCGAGTGGATCGTGACTGGATCCTGGTCCGCCACCAGCCCCAGATCCGTATCCGGATCCAAAGGAGGCCGCTACCGCCGAATAACTGCTGCTGGATGTGGGCGATGAGGCGGAAACGGCGGCAGCAGCAGCCGCAGCTGAAGCGGTGGCCACGGCAGCAGCCGCTCCGCCAGCGGCGGCCAATTGTTGAGCGATTAGCAGCTTCTGGGCGTGCTCTTCGGCCTCTTTTTGTTTTTTGAAGTCTTTCGATGGATACATATATACGGTATATATATATATATATATATAGATTCATAAAGAAAATAAAACTGGCGGGCGAGGAAAGGTGGTGGTGGGGTTTTTTTGGTTGTCGGAAAAACAGAAAAAAAAAACGAAGAACACACACAATGGGCCAGAGGAGAGCGAAAGTTGGATCCTTCTCGGAAAAGCGAGGAACACGACAGCCCGGCAAAGTGCCCTAAAAATTCAATTTCAATTTGCAATTTGACAAATGAAATTTATCTGCCGCCGCTGCTGGTTTTTGCTGTCTATTTTTTTTTTCTTGCTGCCGGTGACAGAGGCTGATGACGCTTCATAGATCAAAATTAATGGCATTTTTTGGGTGAATGGGGGTGGGGGGGAAAGGAGGGCGTTGGCGATAAACGGGACTGAGTGCCATGACCTAGCCCACTCGATGACCTTGACAAATGGTGGGGTCTACCTCGGCCATCTAGCCCAATCTGTCTCTTTTCCTATTGCCCATCTACTTTGCAATCTGAGAGTGGCTTACAGTGGTCACACGATATGGTTTTAAATGGTCAAATTAAAACATTTTACCTGATAAATTGTAAAGAACTTTTAGGAAGATGTTTTGATTTATCCAAACTTTTAGAGATTTCAGTAGGATCCCATTTTCTTGTCTACTACTCAGTGACCACTGTAGTTGGGTCGTGTCATCTCAGGGTAAGAGTAAAAAAAAAGTGAAACCAAAAGACAGAATCGGAGGGGCAGAAGAGAAACTCATTGCGGAAATGGACAAAAACCGAAAATCGCAATGTTCAAATGCAATTTCCCCAAAGCGTTGGTCAGAGGCAAAGCCAAAGTGGCTGAGCACCGTTTCCCACTCCCCCTGTCTCATCTTCGACATTGGCTGACACTTGCAAAACGAGACAAGCGCTAAGCGGCTTAAGCAACCCTCGCAGATGTTGGTCTGCCACCGGGAAAGCGGTTGGAAAGGGTAAACGGGAAAAAGCCAAGAAAAACGAACCCCAAACCGTAGGGAGGTTGCAAAAATGCCAACTATTTAGCGCTTTTACGCTTTGCAAGAAGGTTGCATGATGACGACGATGCACAACCCCTTCCGTGCTTTCTAAGCCCTGTACGGTAGATATCGGTTATAGCGATCCCGGACTACAAATGGAAATTCCTTTAGTTAAGGGTTACAAATTTTAATATTTAAAGCTCAGACTTAAATTCCTTAATAAAGTTTCCTCATTATTAATGTTTAATCAGTGTTTTGCTTTATTTATTAATTTTTCTATATTTATTGGACAATTTTTTAATATAGCTTTATGAAAATCCCTAAAATATCACTCTAAGCAAATAAAGTATTTAAATGACAAACAAAAATAAACATAGACTTGACATAACGATCAACTATAACTATTATTTTGACTGAGAAATCACTATTTTCATTTTATAGGACATATAGATTAAACTATAATATTTGAAACTGAAGTCACAATATTGTTTTTGAGGGATCAACGTAATGGGAGTATAATTTTCTAGTTTATCTGCTTCTTGGGATCAATGTGAATGCTCATACATTTCCAAACGAAAAGCTTGGAAAAAGGAAACTTTAAGTTAACAGAGAGAAATTGAAATTAAGAAAAATAACTTATATTTGTGTTTCCGTTGAATTATGTGATATGTACTTCGTTCTCTCTGAAGAATATCAAATCAAAATGGAATATTTATAGTCTTACTGTAAAATCTCAACCGATATCTACTGTGCCCCTTAGCGATCGACGCGTGACACGGCACTTGGTCCCTCCCTAACGGTCAGTGGGGTTATTTGCCGCTAAGCTCCTTATCGAGAACTCATGTGATTTCATTTCATTCCTTCGCCGGCAATTTCTTGTTTGAATCACGCCCGTGTTTATCAGCTCGATGACGTCATCGCCATCAGATATAGGCGAACGACAAAAAAAAAGGAGAAGAAACTAATAAACCAAATATCATTGAGAGACAATACAGACGGCTGAAAGAGATGGCAGGAGTAACAGCGCGATCACTGTTAGCGTTATGTAAACGCTAATGAGCGTAGCAATAGATGTTGCTGTTGTTCTTGTTGTTGTTGCCGTTTTCCGAGAGGAGCAATGAAAATCAATTAAAACTAATTGATTCAAGAGTCAAATTCAAACGGTCACAGCAGCGGCAGCGGCGGCGGAGGAGACAAGGGGATTTTTTTTGTATTTTGAAAAGAGAGAAAATGAAAACTACTACCATTTAAGCGAACAATGTGCAATAATTAGAAAATGCAATCGCACACACAACAAACACACTCACTGATAAACTGGGTTATAAATTAAAATGTTGGATATGGGACGGACAGGGCCGGCGGCGGGGATGTAGTAGGAGATTGTCGGGGGGAATTGGAATTGGAAAATAAAAAAAAATTGATAATGTCACATTTACTTACTCTCCAGCAGCCGCTGAATCAAACTGTCCACATTCAGATCGAAGTCGCCCATTTTTTAGCAGCTAAATTGTTCTTGTCTTGGCCGCGTTTTGTTGTTGTGGCCAGCTGTTCCAGAATTCCGATTGGAATTTTTGGCGCAACAACTACACACGCACGCACACGCACACAGAGCGACGCCCGTTGGCTTGTAAACTTATTGTAAACAACAATTTTCGTTGCCGTGTACTTAATTTGTTGTATTCTTTTTTTTCTACTTATTTGCCGCAAAAGGCAATTTCACTTTTCTTCTTTTTTTTTTTGGTGGGCCGCTAGTTCACTGATGTTGCACGAGGGGCAAAAACAGAAAAAAATACGCACGGCCGCTCGACTTTCGGACGATCTTCGATCAAAATTTCGATCGCAAATCGGTCAAGGAATATATATATAATATGTATGAGGGGTGAGAAATCGGCTTAACTGAGAATTTATAAAACACCGTAATTTTTTCTCCGCCAATAACAAAACTCGTCAGACTCGCCAGCTAGTGTGTGACCGTTTGCCAGAAAGCAGAAAAACTTTTGTTTTGTAAAATTAAAAAAATCTATCGATATTTTAAACAGTGCTCAACAGCGCGTCATTTAAACGTCAAAGTTTATTGACTTCGCAGCCCTCATCATTTGAAATTTTTCACTTTTGAAAATTTCGACTGGACTTGTTCGCCAGCTTCTTCTCTTAAATAATTGTTTCCCTTTTCTCAACAAAACCCAGTCAACTCAAGTTAAGTAACTACTTCCAATGCCTTACTGTTGCTCAATTTCTTATTTCAACAGTTACTTAAGATGGCTAACGACGAACTGATCTTCCAGTTTATTGCGACGAATAAGTTTCAATTCGTGATGACTATAGTTTTTCTGTTTTATAGCTCGATGATAATCGATGTAAATGCCATTATAGCGGAGAAGGTAACCACCTTTCTCAATTTGGAAGCGGGCGAAGGAAATACGTGGAACAATCTCACCGCAGTAGTTGCTTACGGATTCTCCGTGATCCTACTCTCTATGTCAATTTTCTATATAAGGCGCTTCCGCATTTATGACGCAAACCGTTTACTCTGAGGTTTAATTTAATTATTAACAATGTTAAATAAAAAAACGAATAAACTAGCATACCTGACCTAACTTCCAACCAAGATTTTCTTTTATTTCTGTCTAATTTTGATTCGCGACGATTCAAGCAAGAGTAAAAAGTAAGAATATAAGTAAGTATGAACATGTGGTCATATTGTTTTTTCAACAAACTTGAAAAATGCATTATTTGTTTTTTAAACAACTTAATTTTCCAAAATTGGCGGGTGAATTTTGCTACTCCCATAAGTACTTGGTCACTTTCGAGCACTAACATTCGCAGATTTTGGTATTTTTCCACTCTCGCTTATGTTCGCTGTTGCGCAGCCCTGGCAACCGCGCAAAAATAAAAACCATAACATAGCGCCCGCAGCAACATATTTACTACCGATAAAAGCAGCACCATCGTAATAATGAACTATTTCCCAAACTATTACTCCATCGAGGATATATTCGTTACACAGGAGAAGGTGGAATGCCGTGTCAACACGAAGCTGCAGCGGATGGGTAAGTAATTCGATATAGAGGATCCTGCAATCTATTAACAAATGCTCTTCAGGATTTCTGGACTCCGGCGCTGATTCAGATGACTTAGAACCAGGACGAACAGTAAACCTACCGCTCTGGTATATCAAAGAGCTGAAGGTGAATAACGCCTACTTCACCGTCTCTGTGCCGGAGATCTACCGCAATGTGCACAAGGCTGTCTGCGAGGCGGAGACAACCCACATTGAGCTTGGGCGCCTGCACCCGTACTTCTACGAATTCGGCCGCTATCTGACGCCGTACGATCGCAACCACGTGATCGGCCGTATCATCTTTGAGACAATGCGACAACGGGTCCGTCACCTTCTCGACATCTCCAAGAGCGACGGCCAGGCAAGCAAATCAGAGCACCGTTTGGACAACATCGAGGCCAAGCTGCACGAGGCGGGAGTGCGCACGAATAGCCAGGTAGGCTCAGAAGAGTGTAAACATATATCATAGTTTATCCCATTAAAAAATACGATTAGAAAAACCTTCAATGAATATAACATACCAAATTTATCCATTTCAGTACATCGAATGGCTGCAGATGACGGGGAACAAGATTCGAACATCGGTGCTGGTGGAGGAGCACCAGAAAAAGCGGCGGCGGGCAGATCGCAGCGATGATGAGGGAGATGTCCTGCCCAGTAGCAAGAGGGCCACCCTGTGACCAACCATCCCAGCACAGTAAACTAATCCAGACTGATGCTTTGGAACTGTAGCAACTTTATTTCGTCCATTCATTTGGTGGGCCTAGGGCAGCCCAACCTCTCAAAAATACACTTCAACTACACACTCGGCTATATCCATTTGTACAGTTCAAAATACATGCATTCGATCTGGGGCCGGGTCTTAAGCTAATCTCGTATGAGCTGACGGTCCGCGCTTTCCATGGACTTGGCAATAAGCCAAACAACCGCGCATCATTATACGATATTGCGCCACATTATTACATATAAATAGTTAACTACATATATAGTATAATTATAATCTTGTAAGCTCAATTAAAATTTGATTTTGTGCTAGTTTCACATACATACATTTCACCAATGTCAGCCTACGTACATACATAGGTAGTTCGTTAAAAGCAACCAATATGACTTCATTCTATTTCAGGGACCGTGGTGCTTATAACTTTTTGTGTATTTCGGGATTTAGGCCTGTTTATCTTGGAAGAGTTCTCAATAGTAATACATATATACTGTCTACATTCAGTTAACTTAACAAACTAGGCTCATAGCGCAAAGTATAGACAAAATCTTGTTTTTATTACTGCTAAACGTAACTTATAGTTCATTGAAAATATTTATTTTTGTTCTATCTAATAACCTAATAGTTTGTAATAACATTTATATCAAAAATTGTTTTTCATTTCTCAAGTTATTGAAAACTAAAAAAGGAAATGCAATGCAGATTTTGACTTGAATCTTTTTTTTTTTTTTAGAAAATATTAAAAACTGGCCCTATTCTGGGCGGCTTTTAGTTAAATTATTACAAAAATGTACTCAAAATGTGCAAGTTACTGTACATAGTTTTGTTCATTTAATTTGGATTTCGATTTTATTTGTTTTTGTAAGAAAATCAAAAGATTTTGTGCGGTCCCCGGGGTATCTATAACATTTCTGATCACTATACAATTGCTGACACCCGCTTCGTTTCACAAACTTGCAACATTCCTAGCCATGCATCAGACCAATTTCTTTTGGCTTTAATATGCTCTTCAGTTATCTCTTCTGCATTCGCTATATATAGTTCTAACAGGTTATGTTATCAACACAAGCTTAACAACATCGATTTCGTGGGTATAGCAAGAATTGAATGCAACATTAATTCGTTTATGGTTATGGGGGTCTTGCTTCAAAAAATAAGCAACATACATAGTTTATTCGCTCTATATGCATTTGGTTTTAGTTTTGTTTTTTGTTCTTAGTTTTTCACGTTCTTCTTGTTTTTTTTTGTTTGTTTTTTTTAGTAAATAATGTCTTTCTAAAACTAAACGTCTCTGTCCCTGGTCTTAGTTTCTTCGTTATCCTCGCTTCTGGCTCAGTGTTAGTTTCTCCGTCCGTCTCGATGAGTCTGTTAGAGGGTCCTTGTTGTATAATTAATTGTTAAAAATGTATAAACAATAGCAAGATCTCCGCAAAATGGAAGCGGCTGGAACTCTGCCTCAAAATAAATACATGGATACAAACAAACAGGTTACAATTTGCACTAGTTTTTGCCATTTATTAGGGCGGTGGGCGCGGATGGAAGGACAGCATTGGGCGGTCTCCGCTTCTGCGGTAGGAAGACCTAAAAAGTATACACCAAAGTGAGTGAGACAGAAATAAAGCAAATGAAAGTAATAAAAGTACCTTAAGAGCCCCCAAGACCATCAGATAGAACCAGTAGAGCTGTGGCAAGAACAGAATGGCGATGCTGACGAGACATCCTCGTGGTAGGCCACACATAGCCGCCCACATCGAAGCAGCCTCGATGGCCAGGCTGTAGCGCCACATCACATATGGCCACATGCAGACGCGGCACACGAAAAAGGTGGCCAGCATAAGCAGTCCATTAGCAATGTATATGCGCGAATCCTTCAAGCGCATGGTGCTCAGGATGCTGCGCAGCGAGACGAACGGCGTGGAGAACTCCATCATGAACATGTAGCTATAGATGCAGTGACCCCCACCTCGAATGTACTAAAACGAAAAAAATAAATATCAATATAGTATAAATCAACAATTATAATGCCAACTTCTTCTTACCGTCACCACCAGCAGCCCAAACGTTCCGATAAAGACGTGGTGTATCATCATAACTGGATGCGTGAAGACATACTTCAGGAAGTCCCATTTACCGTCCTTGGGAATCTGCACACAAGCGCCGTCATAGTCGCAGATCTCGTTTGGGGTTCCGGGCGTGCTGCCATTGTTATTGCCGCCAGATGACTTGCCATTGGCCTTGCCATTGGCATGACCATTGCTCACCGACGTTCCCTGACCTTTGGTAATTCGCAGAAGGTGCAGCTTGTCGGCAATCTTCTGGGTGTGCACCTTATACATCGACCAGATGTCATACATAAAGTAGGCGGTACCGAACCAGCCGTACGCCTCCATCAAGAAGTGCGATGCATATACAAAGGACTTGGTGCACGTTGACTTGCAGACGATGAGTCCCACGAGGAAGGAGAAGGAAGCCTGAATGGCGGAAACGATTCTGTAGGGATAAAGGGAAAGAGAAGATTGATTAGATGATTTTAATACTGATAATAAAGTAAATAAATTTAATTTAAATGAAAGAAGCCTTTTCTCCAAAATTCAGATTTGCTTTCGGTTCTACATGCTCAACTCTAGCACCTATTTAACCTTACATTTCGGATCCCATTTAGTTCAAGTATTATATAATATTAAAGATATCATGTAGTACCTGCTACTTGAATCATTTTAGTTTATCATAACAGACCTTAAGGCTATCATTACTGGGATTACTATTGAAGAAGCTTTCTATCTAGCGTTAGTTCTTAGACAATCGACTCAAAATTCAGATTTCGATAGAACTCATAAATTCATAGGAACTAACTCTAAATTTTTGGTAACCAACTGGAAGAAGTCATCCACTCTGCCCAGCAAAGAAACAAAAACAATAGGAATTTAGGAAACAATCCATCTTGGCTCCCTTAAACCAACATGGAGCCGTGTGATCCCGGCCCGGAAAAAGCCATGCGACAGTACCTATCCCAACTGCTAGAGACGGGCACCACTCGATCTGCAGGATGCCTAGACCGCTTCATAATGAAGGGTATGACCAATTTTCCGCCTTCGTCGTCCATCGAGGCAAAGGCCTCGCGTTGCTCGCTTTTCGAGCAGCTCTTATGCGGCGGAAGCCGGAAATCGGAGCGTTTGCTTGTGCCCGATCTGGCCACAGAATGGTTTCGCAAGCAGAAAGTTTTTCTGGACAAGTTGACGCCGGAAGAGCTGGCCGCATTAAGTGACGGTTTGGCGGATAAGAATAGCAAGGGTTCTGGCCAGAAGCAGGAACACCAAGGGCGGCGTTGTTGCTCTCCATCTCGCCAACAAGCCAGCAAGTGCGGATATTCAGGTCCAGTAGCAACTGAAAAGAAGGATACCCAGGATCTAGTAGGCAAGGTTGCAGCATGTATTCCTACCACGGAACCCCGCGTGGGCAATCCCTTTCTGCTCTGCAATAACCAAACGGAGGAATCTGGAAACACAACTCCCAGTCGAAGTACCAAACGAGGCAATTGCTTCTACCTGAAACCTAGAGCTGGTTCATCCTGTGACTGCATCTTCCAGGCCGATGGACAACCCATGGCCAGTGATTGCTTACGAGCGCGACGGACGGAGCCGCTGTTGCCGCGCCTGCGTCGCAAGTTCGACTTGCGCCAGGCGCCACAACGTCGGCTCGATCCGGCGCGCTTTCGACGCATCTCGCCGGAGTTTTTTCGCATCCTGTCCAGCTACGAGGCAGCCATGAGCGAGAGTTGTCCGCTTTACGGCATATCGATGCATCACTGGGGTGATACCGAAGCCTGTTGTCCATGCGGAGAGCGTCATCCCCATTTGAAGAAGCGCTTTCTGGGCGATGATACTGTAGCCACTGCCGCTGTGCCTCCATGTTGGGCAGGATTAGAGTCTAGGCATCCAGAGAGGGAGTGTCAGGAGACCGTGCAGACCACCAAAAATAATACAGAGAAGCCTTCACCGCCGGTCAAGAAGAATGTTGCTAAGGGAGCTCCTTCCAAGGAGCAAACAGGTAAAAGGGAAAAGAAGATCGGGACTCATGGAAACAGGGATGGAGCATTGTCTTCTGAGGGCGAGACCCAGGAACAACAGCGTTGGGCGCAGGAAGACGAACAGCAAGGGAACGAGGAGAGGCAGGTGGATAGGCAGATGGATAGGCAGACGGAAAGGCAGGTGGACAGGCAGGCGGGTTGGCAGACGGATAGGCAGACGGATAGGCGTATGGATAGACAGATGGATAGGCAGGAGGAGCGGAAGGATGGATGGCAGGATGAAAGCAAGCAGACAGTCGAATCGTATGAGTATCGTCGGGCTGAAGATCGGCAGTGGCGAAGGGCTAACGAAACGCCTAATCCTAATCCAAACCCTAATCCGCCAGAGAGGCGAAGGATATTCCAGAACTGCTTCCGCCGTCAGCCGCCGACATATAGGACTGGTTACATTCCCTCAAATTTTGTGCCACTGCCGGCTAAACAATGTACTTCCTCGTCTCAAACATGTGCTCCGTGTTCTTCTCCATCTGCTTCGATTGCTAATCGCCATTCTTCTCCCTCGGACTCCCCTCAAACTCAAAGTGGACACCAACCCAAGGGCATTCTTGGCGGATTCACTGGTATCTGTAAGCGCTGCATCGAGCCAGGACGCCATTTGCTTTACAACATGAATGGCAATTACCAGCAGAACCGGGAGCGGTACGAACAGATGCGTCAGAACAAGAAACGGCAGGAGGAGCGCCAAACAAAGGTCCTCGCCTCGCAGCCGGCGCCGTGCAGTTGGAAAAAGGGGAAGGAATGTTGGAATGCGACGGTCGATGAGGGGGTCAGCAGTACCACCTTAAGACCCCAAGTCCATCCTGACTCTGACTGCCAGAACTGTCCCCAGACAGACGAAGCTGTCCAGTCGAAAAGCGATCAGTCTTTGCCGTTTCGGACACCCGCTAGCGAGCGCACTTTGGCGGGATGGAGTCAAACGGCAAACCAGAATTCTAGTGATCAGCAGCAAGTAGGCGTGGCAGAAAGCCAACTATACTGTAAATGCTGTCTACCGCAGGAGTCCTTCCAACTACCGCCAGCCAACAGATGCACATGTACGCCTGATAACCCAGAACAAGAGGTGCTCCAAAGTTCCGAGGTTCAGAGGAAGTCTTCCAGCGAGGCGGACTACGCCAAATGCGGTCATCGTATTCGAGCCTGCTATATGGCTAACGACTTCCACCAGCTAATGCGACGGGTGGCCAAAAAGAGACCAAGAGCTAAGAGCCAAGCTTCTGCTAGAACTAAGTCGTCGAGCCCGAAACCTTCAAGTAGAGCTCCAAGCAAATCGAAAGAGCAACCTGTTAAACCAGATGTGTCAGCAGTTTCTCCCAAATCCCCGATAAGCAAGCGTGCGCGAAGTAAATCTCCATGTACATGTCCGGCACTACAACCCAAGGCCCCAGTCAAGACCCCAGTCAAGACCCCAGTCATGACCCAAGCTAAACCAAAAGTTAAGCCGAAGCCAAAAGGCCGGTTAACAAGTGTTTTCCCAGAGGAAGGCATCACCAAGCACATGGCTATCACTCCAGATCCCGCGGAGGCTCCTAAGCTTCGGTGTGTTCGGAAAATCAAGAAAAACAATGAAAGTCGTGGGTCCAGCCAGGACTCTGCAAGAAGATCCTCTTCCGCCAAGGGCAACAGTTCCCTTAGCCTGAATATCTGCCAGGCGCGGAGCGATATTCCATCACTAAGAAACCATTCCCAGGAGAAACCAAGAAGCACTCAAAAGGAGGTTCAAAGCCCCTATTCTTCAAGTCCCAGTTCCCATCATCAGAATGAGAGGAATCCATCTAGAAAATCACCAAGCAGAGATCGAAAACAGGATTGGAGGGAAAGTCAAGCAAAGAGCTTCCCACAAGAGCTGCCTTCAAAGTGGAAAGCAAGCCCAAAAAGGAGTAAGAAGAGATCACCCTCTTGCTATTCCTCCTGCAGCTCCTCTGGACGATCGCGTAGAGGTCGTTCCTCCAGCAGTCACCGCTGTATGTCCGGACAAGTCAGTGCAGTAAGTAAGTTTTCCAAGTACAAGTCCTGTTCGACTTCGGATGCTCCTAACATCTCGGATGCTTCCCACTGGTCACAAAAGAGTTCAGATGGTTATACTAGGGAGAATCCACCTAAGAAGCCGGAGCGAAGGCAAAGATTTGAGTCAAAATCTTCTTATCCCTCAACCTCAGATGGTTACTCCAATCAACATTCGGGAGTGTGGGAGCTGGAGAATCGCCCAGCACCTGGCCAAAGTTCGTCCTTAAAGTCGGCCATGAAGAGGACGACTCCATTTCAACGGCCAGCTAAACCAGTTTTCGGCCTCAGTGCAGTAGATCCCTCGCAGAGCAACTATTTCCCCAGCAATGCTCCTTCTCACTTGGAAACGGGTCGCCGCTACTACACCGACACACAGCCAGAAGGCCAGACGACGGGTTCCCAGTGCAGCTGTCGCTCTTTACGCTCCACTAGCTCCATCCGGGCACTTTGCTCCAATACTGAAAGTGTACGGTGTCCCTGTGCTCCGGCACCATCGGTGGCCAGTGTAGAGCCACCTCAAGAGGTAATCAATGCGGAGGAGGTGGATGAGCAGTACTCTTGCTGCAGATACCACAATCCTTCTCTGGACAAGCTAGTGGAGGAACCATATCTCCAGCCCATTACCTCTCCTCCTCCGTGCACCTGCAGACACCCAAAGGCAAAGTTCTTTAGTGAAACTCTAAGATGGGAGCCACAACAGCACCACCATGCCCGCACTCTACTGCATACCCATCGGCCGCCGCCTCCTAAGCCCCAGCCATTGGAAAGATATCCTCAGTGCCATGCACAGAACGCACCCGTAGAGCAGGAGTGGGTTCCTGACTATCCAGCCCCGTGTTCCTATCCAGACGTTACTAACCAAAGTTGGGAAGATCAGGTTGATAGTCCGCCATATTACGGACAAAATACGTATCCCATGCAGGAGGTTCTGCACGAGAATAGTCAAAGGAATAGCTCTTACCCAGGTCAAACGAACGGCATTACCAGGCGAGGAAGGGACAGAGCTGGTGCCATAACCGCCGCTGCCCATGGTCTTCGAGGTTTGGTCAAAGCTTTGGGGGGACCTCGACATAGGTCGAAGCGCAATCCCCATTTGGATTTATATCAACAAGGTGGCTATTGTGAGGACCAGGTGGCGGTAGGAAAGCAGTGCCCGACTACCTCAAGATCTCAAAATCATCTCAGGGCAGTTCACCCAAATAATACTTCTCATTACCAAGATCAAGAGCCTATCTACATGGGAGCATCTACTTCGGCATACCATCCCAGAAACAATCACTTGGAGAATCCCAATTTCAACAGCTACCAGGGAAGGAACCACATCATGGTTGATGAAGGGAACTACCAGCCAGCAGTGCTCGGCGGATGTAACTCAAGAAGAAACACGGATAGGGAACGATCCTGGTTTCGAATGCAAGCTGGAGAAGGTAAAGCGGAAATATAAAGAAAGAAAAAGAAGCTTCTACATTTTCTTTCTTTGGCCCTGATATAGATTTTCAAACCGAGTCGAAGCTTAAAAGAACCACTCAAATCCCCAAAGGAGGACGACAATCTGGAGGATCTTCCACCCACATCGATGAACCCACGCCCCTGGCCATATTCTTGGACAGTTTGCTGGCAAATCGCGTCGCGTCTGGAAATACCCAGCAGTCTGCTCCAAAAATGGTTCCCCAGAGAAGAAATCGCTATACCTCGTCTTCCAGTGATGATGACGCCGATGCCGATGACAGTCTGGATTGGCGACACCTAAGACAACGCAGACCCTCCGAGGAGACCATGGTAATACCATCCACCTACACAGGTCTCCTTGAAGAGCAAGTCCTAGGCGAATATCTGCCCAGTCCACGGTCCAAGCGAAGGGCAAAAGACGAACTGCAGCAGGGTTTAAAGAGATCAAAATATCAATAAACCTAATCCAATAAAGTAAATGTGAGCTATCCTGAGCTATGTTTTCTTGCTATGATTACTCAAAAAGGATTACAAAAAGATCATTACGGAATTTTGGATGGACCAAGATTACAGACCGGATAGGTTACGAAAATTAAGGACTTGATCTGTTCTTCCTGCCACCCTGCATTCGCAATCCTCCGCTGGGCGTTTCTGGCTTTCTTTTCGGGGAACCCGTTGAGTTGCGCGACTCTCGGCGGGATCCCTTCTCCGAGGCAACTTCACTGCTGCGATGGGTATTCCCCCAGGTCTTCTTTTGGGAAGAAGAGCGACGCAAAGAGGTGATAGTGCTGCGGTGGGCGGGCGAGCTGCCTTCACCCCGATTGGTCAGATCTTCCGGCTCCTGTACTCGTCGGGTGCAGTAAATCTGTGTAGTGATGGTCCTTCGCAGCGGCTTCTTCTGTGCATCCGCGTCCTTGCTCTTCGATTTTAACTTGCGCGGGCGTCGCTTGTGGATCACCGCATTCTTATCCGTGGCGGCCACTTTGTGGTAGAGATTGCACAGATCCATGCATTGCCGAGCGCTGTGGAACCGCTTAACCCTAACGTCATGCTCCAGAATGCCGCACACCAGCTCATCCAACTGGACCTGCTGCAGGACAACCAACAGCCCATTAAGATCCACAGGACAGATGGCATGGGCATTCAGCTTGGACAACATGGCCATGAGCTGAGTCTGCTGCTCTGGAACTAGCACCGAAGCCAGAAAGATCAGGCGCAACAGCTTGTAGGCATTCCTTCGGTCCAGCGGATCGATGGGCTGGCCACAGCGATCGAACATACTGTCGTAGATCTTCAAGTCATGCAGCTCCGTATACGGCGCCTTTATCTTCTCCATCACCGACCAGTTGCGATCCCGCGGAAAACGCGGCAATGGCCGACTCTCGTGGTAGGCCAGCTGGAAGAGCGTGGTTAGCATCTGGAACTTGCTGACCCGGAACAGGCAGCTCAGTGCTTCTAGGATGTGCTTGTTGCGCTGGAAATTGCAGCGGCAATCCTCCTCTCCATTATTCTGGCTGCACATCATGCACTTCGGTGAGGGGCAGCCGTAGGTGACTGTTGCCGGACGCAGTGGCTCCAACGGCATCCGGCAAACGGGCTGGCAGCACATCGAAGGACAGCAGCCCCCGCACATTGGTGCACAGCACATCATCTCCAGTCTCGCCTTGAGTCCTGGTCCGGAAAACGAATAATTTGGAGAGCCCAGACTTGTATCGAAATGGAGATTTGCCCTAAGTTCTAGATTGAAATGAAAACCATTGCTACAGAAATGGATATTGATAAGCAAGTTTAGTAACTTTGGGTACTCTTTATACCCTTTACTCGTTGAGAACCTGTAACCTGTACAGCTCTTAGATTCTTGATCAAGATCTTAAGCGGCGTAGATCTATGCCTTTTTGTATGGCGTTCCTCCTTGATAAAAGTTTAGAAAACTTCTACTTCTACCACCTTGACGACTTTTCCAACTTATTAACCCTATCCTAAGTAGGCCTCCAACTTTTTGTCATTGCTATTTACTACCTATAACCAGTCACTATGTTAAATTATCTAAAAAAAATTATCTAAAATCGTTTTTAACCATTGAGAAAACCAAAACGAACATAAATTTAATATCAATTAAAATTCCCATTCGACCCAAAGATTTAGCCAAACATTTTCGGCCATTAGCACAATGTCCCACGGTATGTCGGAATTTCTGGGTGGCGTCCGCCGTAGCCCGCAAGAACGAACGAGGGCGATTAGGGCCAGGCTGGGTACTGGTACTGGACGCTCTGGTGGCGGAGCTGGTAGTAGTCCAGCGCATCAAAGGCCACCAAGTGGAACCAATGCAGCAGCAGTAGTAGCAGCAGGAGGTATTGCATCCAGTAGAACTGGGAATCGGGTAACCCCTTCAGCGGGATTACCCAAAGAATCTGGCGGATCAGTACCCAAAAGGTCAACAGGTGGGACCGCAACAAGGGTATACAATAACACTTGCACATCCACGTTGCGTCGAGGCCGCCATGTGCACCCGCCGCCATTAAGGATACCCGAACCCCGCCCGATTAAGGAGGTCAAGTGGATTATGAAGCCGTCCGAGAGCTTCGTGCCATGCAGTGAGTCCTCTTCCGAGGACAATGATCCGTTACAGATCAAGAGTTTTACGGAGGGGGATGATGATGCAGGCAAGAGCAGCAGCAGTGGAGGCTTGCGGAAGTCCCAGCCAGCTGAACCCGTTGCTAAGAACAAGGTACGATCGCGGACATTCTGTGTGCCCAGCCAGCGGATCATGCACACCGATAAGCTGATGGAGGCCCAGCTGCTCCAGATGCAACTGCGAAAGAGGTGGATCCATTCTCATAGCCCTTCACGAAGTAGATCTCCCAACTGGTCAGCCAGAAGATCACCAGGTCCATTGACCTCAACAAAATCGCCCAATAGATCTTCAAGCAGTTCTTCCAGTCAATCAGTAAGCCAATCTTCTAGTCGCATGCCATCCTCTGAGAAGTTGAAGGACGTGCCTCTCTACGATTCCAAGACCCTGCTTCCCGGTATCAACGAGACAACGCAACCAACTCCTCAGTTCTCGGGCCTGATTTCCTGCTGCCCCAGTCCGAATGCAAGTCCCCATCCTAGCCAGAGTCGCCTCCAGAGCCCCAGCATAAGTTCTATCTGCTCTTCCATGGACACCACTACAAAGAGTCATACTTCCAGCTCAAGTCCATACTCTAATACCAGCAGCAGCAACAGCAGTATTAGCACCAATGGAAGTGGTTACAGGACACTCACCTCCGAATCCACAAATCTTGCAATACCGGAAACGAAAGATGGTGTCTCGGGTAGCAAAGCCATCAAGCTGACCTCCACGGTGATTGAGATCATTAAGCCAGCCATGACGACGGTGGTCAAGAAAACATCGAAAATTCGCAGTAAGAAGGAGCATGGCAAGTTGGCCTTGCCACTTCAGACCAAGATACACTCTGCTTTCCAGCAGAAAAGGCACGATGATAGCAGGCGTGCCATGAATGCTCCCATGGTCCAATCTATTTCGCCATCAAAGTTCACGCCAAAGGTTCAGGTGGACAATCCGATCAGTCAGTCGGTGAATCATGTGGTCAACCAGCTGACGGCTCAGTTAAAGGAGGCAGCGATGATGCCAAAAGAGCAAGCACTAAAGGATAAGGATGTCTATAAAGCTTGGTCATCAAAGGCTCCGTCAAGGAAGCCTTCCATTTATCTTCTAATGAATCAGCCGAAGGGCCAGTCTGCGGCTTCCTCAAACGATCCTTCTAAGGATTCGTGGGTTATCCAACCAATGGAGCAACCAAATGATACGAAGCCTACACAGGAACTTTTCAGTAAAGAGCCTGTCAATCAGAAAAAGGATCAATCATTGAAACAGCAGACGACAAATCCTTATTTGAGCGAATCAAAGGACCATCCCAGGCATAATTTCAGTCCATATGTGACTCCACTAAGGATTGCGGGGGGAAACCAACAGATAAACGAACCAAAAAACCAAGCTGTGCATCATCCATTGAAGTCTCATACGATTCCGCCAAGAAATTGGAACAGAAATCAATCACAAAACCACTCCCGAAGTCACTCGTCGAGGCACACATCCCGAAGTTCTTTCATGCCAAAGTCTACAATTGCCTCCAAGACAAGAATTTCCATGAATCCATACATCTATGAATCCAAACACCTGTCCAAGGCTCCAACCAAGACGCAACGAAGACCAACAGTGAGCCAGCCAGTTTCGTTAAACAGGACCACTGGGCCGTCCACCTCCACTGGAAGATCTTATGTTGCCCCTCCGCCAGAGCCGCAACAACCAGAACAACCAGCCACTTCTGGCAAGATTGTGCGAAAGTTCCAGCACAAGGTACCTCGAACCATGGAAGATGGCATCGACATGAGCTACCAGTACTTCGTATCGATTCCTCTCAAACGCGGAAAAAAGCCCCAGGTGGTTCGCTACCTGTACCGCCCGATGGTGCGCCAACTGAACTCGCCTTCACCCAGTCGACGCTCCTCGAGGCGGGCGAAAACGAAAGCAGCGGCAGATGCTGAAGAACAGCAACCAACCACAGCTGAAGAGAATGGACATAAAATAGATCCGGAACTGGAAGCTTTGGGCGGAATGCCCCTGCCACTAGAAGGTCTTCCAAATTTAACATCCCCAGAAGGAATAGTTAAATCCAAAATTGTATTAGATCCCGAGGATGTACTGAATGCTCCGTACGAGGTTCCACCGCTCAAGCTGGAGGCCCGCTATATGCCAATGATGGAGGAGCTGGCCCAAATGCCCTATCCCGAGGACCGACCCAATCGTCGACGACGCTTCAAGCGATCTATACGTGCCGCCGGTGGCGCTGATCAAGTGCCTTCAACTGATCCTCACCAGCGAATTGGTGGCGGTGACGCCATCAAGAATGAAATGCGCTCTATGGGACGACTCTCGTCCATCTGGACATCTGGTTCACCGCGCTTGCCAAGACTGCTAAATTATCGCCCCGAAGCCCAAAGTCTTAGAACGGGCACTGGAGCTCCGATCTCATATCATACACCCGTACATATTGGTCAGTTTACGGAGGCCGACAAAGTGTTTTCTGGCCAATTTGTTCTACCGGTGGAACCTATGATTCATGCCGTAACCTATGCTGATGTCCTGGAGTACGAAAAAAAAGAACAAGAGCAGACTGACCATCCTCTGGAGGAAAGCAAAGTGGTTGGAGCCACAGGCAAATCGGTGAGCTTTCATCCCGGCGACATAGTAAATGAAATAGCCACCAGGAGCAACTCCATCAACACTGGGTCCTCTTCAAGCAGGACTAAGGGACGTCGGGCCTCAAAGAAGAGCAAGGTCAAGTCCAAGGGTAAGGCCAAGACGCGCAAGTGAAAGGTGATTTTGGGAGCCAGGAATGTGAGACGATTCACCACAAGGAAACCAAAAAAATCATGGATTTTCATAGCACAAAAGGTTTTGGAATTTTTAAACAATATTTAAAAATTAAAAGTGAGTTGTAGCAACCGAAAAATAAAGCATTTCAATTTTTAAATAAATTGGTATGAAAAACTAAATTTTTATCGATCCTTAAATGGTTCTAAGGACCCTTAAAAACGCAAAATTCTATTAAGTCTAACTACTAGGAAGGCCGCTTTGTTCTTCTAAGGATTCGAAGCCAAAAGTTGGAGACGATGACTTCACGTGGCACACCTGCAAAGGTCAAGGGTTTTGGGCCACAGGGTCAAGGCTTTGCTGAGGGCGATTGCTCAATGTCAGGATGTTGGTCATTAGCCCAGAACTTGGGTCTGAGACTAATGGCAAGCGATAGCCCTACCCACCGTGATAATGGAACTGCCAGAAATAGATTTAAATTAACCGAAGTGGCTTATTATTATATATAATTGGTTGATGTTTTAATTACATAATTACCAACACCGTTTTGGTTGGGGTAATTATCTTTTAATTTCCAATTTAATTATGTTAAGTGTTGATTTTTTTAGTTCAAAAAACCACTCAGTTTTGATTGACTGATATTAAATTCGAGTAGCAATAGGGCCAAGTTGCTTTCTCACAGTTTTTAGTGGCTTTTAACTATGCTAAAGCCACTAGGCTCGTGACCCTTATGCCTACGCAATCAATTAGTCAGACGTGATTCCGTATAGTGCAAAGTGATCACTTAACCTTGACGCAACCCTCCCACCCAGAGCCTCTCCCTCTCTCCATAGCACCAACCCATCCCATCCCATCCCATCCCTAGCATTCGCTCACTCACTCAATCGGACTGAGCCCATCAACAGAACCGAGGCAAAGTCCCCACATCGAATGTAGGCATTAGTTCCAATTAGAAGCGCCGGCGGTTCTACCTAATGAATGGCACCCCAAAGGTGTCAATGTTCTGCCTTCTGCGTGCTGCGTACATACACTTTGTATTTACATATAGGTAGGTGTGTATATTTGGGTTGGGTCTCGGCGGGCAATCAAATCGAATGTGATTTAGATATCGGTTACTGGGTCGTCTGCTGAACGCCACAGAACGCCGCAAATGTCCGCAATCCAAGCAAGCGGACGTCGAGCCAAGCCAAGCGGGTAATACAAATAAACAAATAGCCTTCTCAACTATGTCCAATTAAGATTTATGATCAAAGTCAAGGGCCCGGCAGAGGGAGAAGTGGTGGAAAAATTCTCTATAAGCTTGACATTTTCCACAATTTTCTGCTATACCTAGTTTTTTGTTTCCATTTGGAGCCAAAGCCCTTAAGCATCTAACAACAACGCCGCTTATCAATGTTAGATGCACTCGCTCACCCAAATCGATTCCGTTTGGCTAGATAAGAAGACAAAACCGACAGACAGACAGACCCGGATAGATTGAAGGCGGCAGATAGGCGGGGCCAATCACTAAAACCCCAGCTGATTGCCTTATCGGGCAACGTGGATGTGAAGTGCGTCTGTTTGACTTACAACGATCGTGGCGAATCAGGAAACTGGGTCGTCTAGGCGGAACTTTAAAGATTCTCTTATTATACGAGGTGTGTTCAAAAAGTAAGGTGACTCTTCAAATTTCGCGAATTTCAAATTTTTCGATTATCGATTTTTTTGTTTTGTTATATTGGTACACTCTTCCCTAACATCTGTACCAAGTTTCAATGGAACATCCTCTTTTGTTTGGTTGTGAGAGGCGTAAAGTTACAAGTTGTTTTGCGAGCTCGGCGATTTTTTGCTATCGAAAAATATGGATCAAAGGATTTGGATTTTTTGGCCAAAAACAACACCACAATAATGCCTCAGCCACCATATTCACCGGATTTGGCCCCATGTGACTTTTTCTTGTTCCCAAAACTGAAGATAATCGAAAAATTTGAAAAATTTGAAATTTGAAAAGTCACCTTACTTTTTGAACACACCTCGTATAACTTCTAAAAGGTTTCGATAATCGAAAATTTTGAAATTCGCGAAATTTGAAGAGTCACCTTACTTTTTGAACACACCTCGTATACCCTTCTGGTCATGCTTAAGACTTCCTTAAATAAAATCTGTTAAGAAAATAGTTATTAGATGGGAGTTTTAAAGCGTGAAGCTTAATTTTTAGTAATGGAAAAATACAAATCAGAGTTGCAGTTTTCCAGAAACTATTATTATGATATGTTAAAGAATCAAAAAGAAAGTAAAATTTAGTCTCCTATCTAACCTAGACAAATCGAATGTAAAATCGTATATACCCCGTTCTCATAGAAAACAATGGGGTAGCATGTGATGTGCGCTTATCCAAGTTTACGGCTGTGATAAAGTAGATTGAGTCAATTCCCGTCCAGAGATCGGGTTGTATAACACCTGTACAACATTCGGGCATACATATCGCTATAATATATAGCCCGGCACTCTCTCTGTTTCATCATGACATGTACATATGTAATCGGCGGATGGTAGAGGAGAGGGTGGAACTTAATTTAAGCGTGCTAAACAATTCTACACACAGTTTAATTAACACTTTGGGCAGCGAGGGGAAATAGTTAGGCAAGGGGCACTATAGTTGGGCAATTACCAATGAATGGCGGCTTACATATTCGAATCAAAATGCTGGGAAATGCATTCATAAATTCACACATTGTGAAAAGATCATATTTCTAAGAAAATATACAGTACTTTTTATATCAAAACAATCGAAATTCTTCTTAGGGAAGTTTGCCAAAAATAAAATAAAAGGATTTTTATAATTGAAGTAATTTGATAGGGCGCATTGGCTGGCTGACAAAGTCCGGTTAAATGGGATTCAAGTCTGTCGAGAATCGTTTTCCGCGCAATTTAATTTCAAAACTTACTCGCCTTGAGCCAAACCCGTTCAATCCCGTTGCCCCCCATCGCGACCATAGCAACCCCTCCTTTCATCCCACGCCCGCCACAAGACCTTGACCCGCATGTGGCTATGCGAGATGATGATATAAATCAGCGTCGGCTAAGGAAAGCCGTGGCCGAATGTCGGGGACACCAGCCAACTTCCAGCTGGGGATATATATACTATATAAATCTAACTGTCTGCGTCTGTATACAGGCCTCAATGGGAAGGGCCCTCAAAGAGGCACTCAAAACCGGGAGACACTTTACATTCGCCAGCAAATATATTTCCCTAGATAAGGCTAAGGGGTACTAAACAAATTTAAGTACCTCAGCTATATACTTAAGTAACAAAATAATCTTTATGCTTGAACTTTAAGTAAATAGTTTGTTTTTGTAAAGTTTGCCTACAAAAAACACTTTTTTCAGCACACACATTAATTAAATGAATTATAAATTCCCAAAGGCGGGAATATGATTGAAAGCGGGAAGAATACCTGTTACCTCTGCAAAAAGTTGGGATGTACATATATCATTTCTAAATTTATCTTCATCTAAATTCATACTTTAAATAGTCAAGAAATTACTAAAGAAACGAATGTTAGTGGGTGGCTTCTACCAAAAATAACTTAAGAACATTATAGAACTTTGAAGAAATTAGTTGACCTACTAAATATATATATCTATATATATATATATATATAAATTAAATAAACCATTCCAGCTGAACAATGGGAAATAGTTAACCAAACACAAATACTTATTTTTATACAATTATATAAGTATAAAAAATAGCATGCGTACGATTGAATGAATCGGCTAGTCAACATGATTTCGAGTTAGGGTAATTGGGATTAGGTTGCCCCCGCAATTTGGGAAAGGCGACCTGCGTAATAGCACGCGGATAACACCCCCCACTGCATAACGCAAGTGCAGTGAGTGCGTGTGTGGGTGGCGTAGCGGGAAAATCAATAGAAATATGCGTGCAACACTCGTATCCGTGGAGTGTATGCCCAACAACACCATTACTCACTTGTTGGTGATCTCCAGAACGTCGGACATCATTAGGCGGTACTTGCGGCGGAATCGCTGGCCATGGCTGGTCTCCAGCAGATATTTGTTGCAGAAGTCGGTCAACGAGACGAAGTATATGAATCCCAGCGAGGTGAGAACTAAGCCGCGCTGCAGCGAGATGCGGTCACTGCTGTTGGGAATCTGCCACAGGCTACCGCAGGCCAATCCCATCGAACCGATGGAGAAGGCCAGCGAGAAGTAGCAGCCGCGTCGCGGCGCCTTACTCGTAAGATCCTTTCGCTCCGCATGATACATCGTAGGTAATCCGGATGGCCAGCCGCTTGGAGCAGATCTACCACCTGCAATTCTCGCGTTAGTTGGTGATACAACATATGGTTATGCTGGCCAAATACCTGAAGTAATCCGGATCGTTGGGCATGCGAAGATGGTCCGCGCAGAGTTGAAGTTCTTTCAAATGTGTTTAAAGTTTATTCACGGATTGTACTTTTCCATCAGCTCTTGCCCAATGATGCGGTGTCCAAATGCCTGTGCTCCCGCTCCCACTAAATTTAATGTGTATTAAAAGTGTTGTGGCCAATCGGCCGGGAATCGATAACTAAACGTTATCGGTGGGTAGAATTTGCACTCGGTGTTCAGGGCTGCATCATCAGGTTTTGCTACTTCTATGTTGGCCCGTGCGACGTTTTTTCCGTGCAACCTTAAGTTATTGGCGGGAATATATTTGAATTTAAAAATATAGCAAACGCAATGCATTAATTATAGCATAATTAACAATTATATACGGCTTAAGTATATATTTGAATTTAAATATAGCCAACGTTATGATAATTATTTTCTTTACTCCCCTTTAGTAAAGAAAACCATAAACCCAGCACTTTATATACACAACAAGATATTTTAAATCGACAATTTATCTGTTATTTCAAATATAGATTAAGAAGAAGAAAATGTAACCTTGGGGCTATTCAATAATAACAGCCCTGTCTTATAGCTTAACAGCTGTCCGTTATGTGATATTTTCCATGTAAATAACAGAGGTTGAAAACCCGGCAAAATTGAATTTACATTTATGTACATAAACAAAAAGAATATTTTTATTTTGAAATAAATATATATTGTGAAATTAGAGATTTTTAATCAAATCAAAAGCTTTAAGACCTTCAATTACTTAATAAGAAACAGTATTTTTGATCTTTCAGATCTTTAGAATTGAAGTACTATGTTGGATTAAAAGCAGGACTAGGAAACTAATTCAACCTTGAACAAGACCTAGGTCTAGGCATAATTGTAAGTAGTTTCATGATTATGAGCCCCACTGTACTTGAACTTACATTCTTGAAATCAATATACTTTTCCCGGCCGTATTCACTGTGCATGTTTTGAAATAAAATACTTGTTTACTTTGTGAGAAAAATAGCCAGGCTGCGGCCTAGATATACGAGACATTCCATTCACTCACATTTCCTTCAAAGTTATGTCTGTTTGCAATTTTGATAAACAACTCAGTAGTTATGCGTACATGACTCTGATATGACACGTTATCAATCATCTCCGTGGATAATCCATTTAATTTTGATCCTTATTATTTCCATTGCATCTGGTCAGAATTATTGTGATCCGGCGCTCTGTCCAAGTGGTCGTCATGTGGCATGCCAGAGCAGCGGAGTAAGTTCATCTATTCTAGAAAGAAACAATTTGTGATTTGTTTCATTATTATATACTATTAAAAGTTTGCTCAGGGATAAAATACACCTGTAACACGTTATATATATATTCTTAAGCTGGATATTCATATTATAAGATTGAGCCTTCATGTTTTTCTTGGTTATAAATGATAGATAGGAATTCCTAGAATTATAATAAACTATTATCATTAATTCTGCCCTATCCCTTAGTCTTCGTTAGTACATGTCTGATTATGTTTTCTTTCCCACCCACTGAACTAGCGCTTTGTCAGCGGCTGCAGAGGTGAATTTGTGCAAATAGATCCACACATCCCGCTGATTCTTCAGCTGCACAATGAGCGAAGAAATTTGATTGCCGGCGGCGGAGTGAGCGGCTTTCCCAGTGCCGTTCAAATGGGCACGATGAGCTGGGATTCTACGCTGGCCCAACTGGCTGCCTATAATGCGTTGCAGTGCCGGATGGCACACGACGAGTGCCGCAACACCAATACGTACCGCTATGCGGGACAAAACCTGAGCATACTTTTCACCCGGAGTGTGGATGTGGCGGACTTCCTGCGCCAGCGAATTGCAGCTTGGTACGATGAGAATCGAGATGCCACTAGCGCCGATATGGAGAATTACCAGATGCGTGGCGGACCGTAAGTAACTTGAAAATTCTAAGCGTGTTGTAAACGATCCAGCGGATTATCGTATACAATCGATATTAGTTTAATTTTTTATATATTGCAGGGCTATTGGACACTTTACGACCATGGTGAACGAGCGTAACAACCGAATTGGCTGTGCAATCGCAAGATTTACGGATGCTAATAACGTGCAGGCCACTCTGCTGGTCTGCAATTACGCGGTCACCAATGTTGTGAATAACCCCATCTATAGAGCGGGATCTGCGGCTTCAGAGTGTACCACAGGCCGGAATTCTAACTATCCTAACCTCTGCTCCTCGAACGAAGTCTACAACTACAACCAGTGGTCTGGATAAGAGAATTAATGTTATTTAACTCTAAATAATGCATTTACTGACCTTAAATCGTTAGTAACTGTTTACTATTTTAATTACTGAATTATTTATATTTGTACTTAATATGATAATAAAAATACTTACTCTAATTAAAGTGTTGAGCAGCTGTGGTTTTATTTTTGAACAGACAAAGTAACAGTTATGTTTATTAAAAATAATCGCTTATCGAAAGGATAAATAATTCTTTGTGATTTTTACTTAAGATGTAAAAAAAACCTTTGTTGTAATATTAACTATTGCATAATTTACGGATTATTTATTGCGTAGTCTCATTCTAGTTAAAGTTTTGCCATTATACACTATCGATAATATTCGATAGCTCATAAAATATATGTTTATTTGAATTATGAATGATCAGATGGCAACGCCATTAAATACTGTCCAGCAACATCGTTGGTATCGATTAAATATCTACTTGAGTGCCACCTCTAACAACATTGCATTCGTATTTTAATTTTCACTCGCAGCGAACGGTGGATGAAATAACGGTTGAACAATGGCAAAGAATGTCGGTAGTGCGTGCGCGCAAATTGTGGTCCTTGTGATTTTGGCGATATTTTGCAGTGCATCAGCCGAGTGTAAGTGTAACCAATTAGTGTATCTCAGTTAGACAATACTTTTTCAACTATCTCTTTTGTTTTACCTATCTCATTGTCTTCATCCAACTCGTTGGTGTGCTTTGTGTGCGTATGTGTGAGTGAGTGTGAGTGTTGGCTGTAAATCTGGTTGTTATTTTCTTGTACGCTACGCAGTTCGAATAAGACGAAAATGTCGAATAAGACTACGAAGAAACATAGGAACACCTGAAAAAAAAGAAGAGACCGCCTATTTGCTATTGACGGTTATGCACATATGGCCAGTTTTTCGGAAGGTGTATTTATGTATTTATGGCCTGTTGTTTGTACACAAAGTCCACGAAAAAAATAAAAGACAAATCATCATTGTGCCGTGTGGTGAGGGGGACGGTGACCAGTTGGTACTTTTTATTGTATGGTGAAATTTCCCGCTGCCATGTTGTATTTTTTTCTTTTTTTTTTCGTGTGCTGGCACATCAAATGCGTTAATTGACAACATCGAAAAGCCAAATGTTCGAGTGTGTGCGAGAGCAGTTGAGTGTGAAATAGGCAACGTCCTGTGGCCAAACAACCCCTCAAAAATTGAAAAAAAAAAAACGCATAAAAATAACTAACTCCCACCGCCTCTGCCCATTATTATTTTTGAGTTTTGTTTTGTGCGACGCGCTCATTTGCGCCATGCTCCACTTAACGTGCAACAATTTTCCATCTGCGACGTCGCCACCAGGCGAACAACCTGCATATATCAATTGAAATCGCTGATTAAGGCGCAAAAGCTCATTGTTTTTGTCGCAATTTGCAATTGAAACGAAATGCTGGAGCTGAATAATAATAATAAAAAACAAAACCACAAAGCTGGCAACTCTTTTGCCACCGTTCTTTTTCATTCGCGCGTTTCTGCGACAGGTGGCAACATTGCGCACCGGCTAACGGCAGTTTTCAGTTTTCCGTTTTCCTTTCCCTATTTTCTCAATAAAAAATCGTTACACAAAGTCAGGGAAAATGTGCTTACGTAACGGATAATGTCACCCATCTAAACCGCCCACTTTCCACCACCTAGCACCCACTGGATGTGCCTAGTTTGCACAGTTCCATTTATTTCCGTCTTGTTGATTCAGTTTGTACGACGTTTTGCTTTCTTTGTCTTTTTATCGGTTAATTTACTCATTTATTTTCAGCCAACCAGTTGCTTGGCATCAGTTAAACTGCATTCGGTTATCTGCGTGGCCAACTTAAGTGCCGTGCACACACTCCTTATCAGTATCCAAAAAAAAAGAAAGCTAGATACCCCTTTATCACTGCCACAAAGCCACATCTTTGCTTCTTACGGGGTGTGAGAACAGGTGTATTGGCATTAGATAAAGTAAACAAAAGTAACTTGATTTTTCCACCTATATACGAAATTAAGTTATTTACAATAAAACATGCTAATTGTGTGTGTTAAACTACTTTGATCTGAGCCACATATTGATATTGGCAATATCTTTTGATGATCATGTCTGAAAGGACTTCATTGAAAGTTTCTCTGAATAGCTAATATGTTCATTCCTTGTAAAAATAGGGCTCAAAACTTAAGCTAAAAGATTGTTAAGAAAAAGAATGTTGTAAAACCCACTCCCAAGTTCATATAAGGGGAAATAACACATTTAGTCCAAATGCCAAAGAGTTATCTGCTAATTCCCATTCCAATTCCCAGAACTCAGCCAGTGGACTTGCATCTGGCGTCAGTCCGCTACTGGCACCAGCGCTTATCAAGGATGTACGTTCAGTGCTGCAATCTTTGGACGCTGACTTCTGTTTTCTGACACTATCACTTCCCTTCCACTGTTGCAATTGTCTTTATCCCTTAGCAATAACCGAATACAAATACATTTTCATAATAATTTTAAGAATAAATATCTATTAAAGAAGTGCCTGATTATCACAAACCTAAATTATCATTTATAGCTTATAAAGAATTGCAATAAACAAATATATTTATTGTAAAAATAGCTCTAAAATCTGACATTTATGTGATTTATAGGCTGATAGAGGTACAATTCTTGGAAGATCTAGGGTTTCCAATGAAAATATTTTCAATAGAACATTTGTGGAATGAGTGTAATAAGACGATTGACACCTAACTCAAGCAAAAAAGTCTTATCAAACTTCCATCACAAAAAAAAAAAAAAATGAAACAAAATTCAAAGAATTTTCCCATTGAAAAGTGTGTGTGTCAGCGAAAATGTGAGACTTGTTTTTAAAGTGCATTTCCCACCACGTCTTGGTTTCCCATTACGGGCGTGTTTTCCCAACTTGGTTATCTACCAATTTCCGTTGTTAAATCAAAGTCAAGGTGTCAAAAACGTCAGGTCAGCAACTCTGATGACTGCTCAGCTCAGACTCAGCAGTTCAGTTCCCTCCGAAACTAAAGAAAACTACAAAGTCTTCTCGGATGACTAAATGTACAATAGGTTATCTTTTTCGGTGCTGTTGCTGATGTGGTCTGCTCTGGTCTACGGCCAGATGACAACTCAGCTTGGCAAAAACAGGTTCCAATGGTAAATGCTCGGATGACCCCTCCACATGTGTTACCCAATTTGTAGAATTTCTATTTAGCATAAGCAACAGGCAAATGGGTTATTAAAAAATAGATTTTTTTTGTTTTTAAATCATTTTTCTTTTAAGAAATAGATTCGTAATCATTATGAATCATTGAAATATCAAATTTTTAATAAAAGCACTTAGCACGCGGAAGTTGAAGTTTTAGTTCTTATTCATGGTAGTTCATGGTAGAGGATCCCTTAGTGGAGCCAAACAACTGTGATCCATTGTGGATGCCCAAGATCTCTGCGCATTATGACAAATGCATCGTTTGTCAGTATTTCTCTTGGCCATGGGAAGAACATTAGCACCAGATGATCATCTGCTCGGCTGCCCTGCTGTCGTTCGTTTCTGGGAATAAAAAGCTATGGCCCCCCCGCCCCATCTTTCCCCTTCCCCAGCTGATAAGCTTTTCCGCCTAACGGCGACCAAAGAACTGTTAGTGTCTTGACACTCCGGCCACGTCTGTCTGTCCAGGGGAAACAACAAATACAAAAGTACGGCATCGAGTGCACTGAGAGAAAAGTTATACTAACTAATCGAACTATTATTCATCAATAAAACCTTAGAAGGCAAACAGTAGGATTTTAGTGCGGGCTACAAGTTTCTATACAAAGACTTTGAGCTGAACTAGTTTTTACGATTAAATATACTTAAAGATTAAGTATACTACGTGCTTCTTATACCTCGCTGTGTATTTGTTTTTCTTACTCTGACTAAATTATTGACTATAGAAATCAATATAAACTGTAATGATCACTTAGTTGGATTTTATAGTCCTTCTAATCAATATATTTCATAATAAACATTTGGATTAAATAATATACAATATAAATCAGGGCAATAGAGATAGCAAAATAAAAATATTGAACTCGAAAATGGTTAAATATTAGATTCTCTTATACAACTTTCCATCTTGGTATCCCCCCATAAGATGTCCGATTGATATCATTCACTTATGTAAACAATGTCAAGATATTAGGAGAGTAAATATTAATTAGTTATTGGCTTGTTTTTGTTTCCTGTGCAGTCCATGTTCGTGTACGTGTACGTGTTCCAACGGCCCGTGCGACGCAAATTGCTCCTCAAAGAGTCAGGTTTTTTTGTTTTCTTTTTTTAGGGAAACACTGATAAACTCAACACGTCCCTGACGGAATGTTAATCAGTGGGAGGCAGGTGGAAATGATTGAGCGCAAATAAATTAGCCACGAAAAACTAAAACAAATCAGCAATGCAAAGTACTAAATAATGATCTAGCTGTAGTTCTAAGTCTTGAGGGCATTCTACTGCTTAGGAGTCATCAATTTGTATATAAATTCTTTATAACTTCTCTCTATATACTCCATTTATGGTGTCGAATCGAGAAAGTTTGAGCTACATACATTTTTAAATGGCTTTTAAAAAAGTTTATAAAAAAAAATTTGGATTGCTGATAACAACAAAACCCCTATAAATCATAAGAATCATAGAGTTTATTACTCATTTTGGATATTTAGTTGAACGAAATATATATGCAGTGAATAAACAAAGAACGCTGTTTATTATTGCTGGCTCAATGTCAAGTGTTTCCAAAATGCATATGTGGCGAAAATAGCCAAGAAATATTTATACATTTCCATGATCAGTATATATATATATAAACTATTTGTTTTTACAATGATTAACCCTCTGAAATCAAGCAATATCCAAATGTTTTGTTGTGGAAATAATGCACCCACATGCATGTTAACTATTTGTTGTTAATAACTAATATCTAAATCAATCTCTTAAGGGAGTTCGCTATACCTATAAAGATTCAAGAATATAAGGGCTAGAATGGCGATAAGTTTTGAATTTTCGTTGTTTTATCAGTGGATAAGGGAATTCCCGCTGAATTTTGCTATTCAACTTCAACTTTTAGTTAAGTTTGATTACTTTAAAACACACATTAAACATTTTGCCTCACCAAGCTAATAGAATAGTTGAAAGCTTTCGCTATGATCAACTTTCATTGATTTATTCGTCCTTCACACCTTGTTTTCCAATCAATTCCCCAAACCGAAAGCGACAATTAAAGATTTTCACCAAACTGGGTCACTGTGCAAATAATGTGACCCACTTTTAGACTTCTTTTGGTTACCCTCTATGGTTATTATTATGGCAACCAAAAACAAAACTACACTCAGAGATAGATTATATTGTAAAGAAAATCTTAAACTTAAAGATTGTTATACGAAAGTAATTATCTTTTATCAATTTAAGATGACAATAAGGAACTTAGATTGTTCTGTTCGCTGTGAGATATTGAAAAACGAATCGGTTTTCAATCAAGTGCCGCATAAATTTACGCCAATTATTTCAACGACCATAACAGAAACCCTGGGGAAAAGACTACAAACCGCCACTTACAGCAATTAACACTGGGTTCAATTGGATCGGCGTCACGCGAATGTTGATCGCTTGAATGGTTAGCTGAAGGAGGGGATGGGGGCTGGGCTGGTAAGCGGGCGTTGTAGGCGCTGTGGGTGGTGGCAGGTGACGCGCGCTCCCTATAGCGCTGTGCATGTCATTTCGCTGAGGTCGTGCCGAGTCATATTGACCGTATTTGCAGCAAATAATTATATTACGAGTAATGGGAAGAAAGGGCGGTTGGCTGATCGTTAATCTAAAAGCAATACTATTTGTAGAAATCAAGTACAGTTTATCATGACTAAGTTAGACAAAGTTCAAGGGTCTTTGCTTTTGTTTATGTTTAATATTATACTGAAGAATAATCCACATGTCAGATCTTTTAAACAGTTTGGACATTTTAGAAGCCACCCACAAAATTGTTATGACTAATAATGAATATAATATATAGTGGCTTTATATTATATATTATGGCCTAATCCCACAGCTGAATGCAATGCACTAATACTCTGTAATTGTGGTTAAGACTGTTTGACATTGTTTCTCACACTGTAAACAAAAAGTGTTCATGTTTTTTTTCTTTTAACATATGTTTCACTTTATGAAGCATGGTAAGTGGCCGGACTAACGAAGCGAGGCGAAAGTCTCACGGGTGAGCGATGTCGAAACGCATCCCCGGCGAAAGCATATTTTCTGGATAGGAAAACAAATGAAAATTTGGTATGTGAAACTGACCGAAAAGAATTCAAGTATTGGGTTGAAATCAGTTAGTTAGTTCAATGGCCTAAATATATGTTTCTACCCTGAGATATATCATTAATAATGATAAGCTTAAGGGGGTATCATATTAGAATGTCCCAAATATGATTGCCTTATCTTGTTTTCTATAACTTTGTTATATATACATCAAGTTGATGGCAACCAATTGTGAATCAATCAATCACGGCTAACACTCGGTCAGTCCAGAAGTTGTAAGCAATTTTGCTCGGCAGCTTGTTATTGTTGCAGCAGTAACTGTAATCGATATCGTTTGTTTATGGGTATATATGTGTACATACGCCCCTCCTAATCGACCCCTGAAACCCCAGAATCCATTTAAAATCACCGCCCGCAAACCACCCATCTACCACCCACCGCTGACCGCATGTTGTAATTGTTGTAATTGCAATGGGGGGGGCTGTCGACAATGGTCTTTGATGTGCCATTGTGGAATTCGTACAAGTACGAGTACATGCATATGTCAGCACATGTGAGAATGGAAATAGAAAATCAATATCGAGAGAGAGCGAGAGAGAGAGAGAGAGAGAGAGAAGAGGGGCTTCGGAATAATAACATCTGGGTTAATTACAGCTCAAGCTAATGGGCACGCAAATGAGCACGAAATCAGGCATTTGTAGGCCCAACGAATGTCCTGGAAAGGGCCCAACACGATATGCCAGGACATCCGAATGACTTGGGCGACAAGCTTAATTATGATTACTAATGCCTAATGCCTTCAAAGTTGCTCTTGTCAAAATGATTTCCTGGCTTTGAGTTTCTTCTATTCCTAATCGTTCTTTGATTGTAAAATCTAATCCTGAGATTAAGGAGTTAACAAAGTCTTACCATAATCTTTGGCTTAAAAGATCTAACTAACACGCCAACTCTTCTTATTTACAGCTAATAGAGATTCTTACGAGATTGTCGGCGCAAAGCTGCCAAGCCTACATACATATGGAGTAGTGCCATTAACGACGGACCAGCTGCATCGCCAAAGACGCGAACTTCGTGCGGAAAGTGTAGACCGTTTGAAGTCCGTACTGAAGTTCCGTGGTGATGATGACCATCCCGGTGCAGATGTTAAAGCCGGAGTAGCAGCTGGAGCCGGAGCTGTAGCTGCAGCTGCGGAGACCAATGTAACAACGCTCACGGTCGACGGCAGTGTGTCCTACAACGTTCACAATGTCGGTGTCAACGGCACCGGACAGCGCAAGGCATACACAACACAGACCAGCGGGAATGTGGCCCCAGCAGCCGATACCAATTCTACCAACCCAGTCAATGTGGCCCCTAAGAAGGCCACCCTTTTGGCCCAGTCGGGTTATCCAAAAAAGACACCATCCACCATAGCCGTCACCAACACGGACCGTTCGCCGGCGGTCATTGATGTCGATGTTTCTAAGGTGGACATTTCCGAGGACGAGATCAACCAGGCGGCTGAGAAAGAACATCTAGTTCGAAGTGTGGAAAATCACGAATACTACAACAGCATGCTGTATGTGAATAAGGAGGAGGTGTCGTCTCTGTGGGAAAAAATAAAGACGATGCCACCAAACAGTCTTCTCTCCTCATCACATCGACGGGCCATGACCGTGGAGCTTAAGTTCGACTTTCCCTTCTACGGCCACTATATACGTAACATCACAGTGGCCACCGGCGGATTCCTTTACACCGGCGAGTATGTACACTCTTGGCTTGCGGCCACTCAGTACATTGCCCCACTGATGGCTAACTTTGACACAAGCATGTCCAACGATTCGTTTGTCCGAGTGCAAGACAACGGTGAGCTGATTAGATATTTCTTAAAATTGAAATCGATTAGAACAAAAATTAATGGAAGAAAAATATTGATTGTTTCAGGAACCGCATTCATCGTCGTGTGGGAGAATGTCACGCTGCAGGACAAACCGGAAATCGGCAATTTCACATTCAGCGTAACGCTGCATCAAAACGGAGACATCGACTTTGCCTATTTAGGAGTACCCATGAACATTAAGTCCATTGATGATAAAACGCATCCAGTCAAGGTTGGCCTTTCCGATGCCTACATTATTGACAAGCAACTAGTCAGTAAGTAACTCGTGGCTTAGCAGTAAGTTTCTTTCTACTGACTTATTGAATTCCTTCTCTTTGGCCAGTTGTCCACCGAAAGACAATCTATGAATACCACCGGGTCACCTTCCAGCACAGCGAGATCTCCAACTTCACCATGATCAAGATGACTGCCCAGCCCACCTGTCTTGGTTTTAATGACTGCAATTCTTGCATCAACCACAATACTACCTTCACGGTCTGTTCTTATATTCCCGGTTCTCTAGTTTATGTGCTAATATTTTTGATTTTACAGTGCCTTTGGTGCTCGGCGCTAAATCGTTGCTCCACGGGTACCGATCGCAAGAAAAATGAGTGGCTCCAAAAGGGTATGCTTTTCGGGAATGTTATCTGCGAAAGGGATCTAAATGTGTTATTTAATTCCAGGATGTGATGCTGCTGCCATCAATACAAGCAGTTTTTGTCCGGCTCTCGGTGAAAAGGGCAATAATGCGGCCGCTCAGGCGAAGAACGGTGCTGCGAACAGTGGTGCCGCCGGCAGTTCAACAAGCCCCACAACGGCGGCCACTGGCTCATCCACGCCGGTGACGGAACCCACCGTAGTCAGCACGCGGACACCGCATGCAACAGCCCAGGCGAAGCCAACGTCGAATGCCAGCAGTGACGTTCATACGGACAGCAAGGTCGGTAACGCCGAGCTTTCGCAGGCGGGAGCGGACAACAAGAACGTGGGCGTGGCATTTGGTTTCATGGTACCCATTTGCCTAGTGTTCGCCGTTACGCTGTGGCTTTTCTACGCGTACCGCAATCCGCACACCAAGAGCGGCCAGCTGCTCATCCAGGTGAGTTTTCTTTAGCTTGACTTTAGTTTTGAGTCGTCCTCTACATTATATTCTTTCAATTTCATGCAGTCCAAGCATTTACATCAGGTTTGTTGCTACACAGTGTAGAATTTATATCAAATCAGATATTATATATCTTCATAAGATATATCCTAATGGCGTTTTTATTCTGTAGATTTTCCCTTAGAGTTTGTTTTTATTTTCCTCCTAAAAGCAAAAGTTTTAGATAATGAAAAATGTGTATGCCTTTAGCGACCCAACTAATCTTTACTTTCTCAACAGTTCCGTCCCAGCCAATGGTCATGGAGGCGTGGAGAGGCCCGCTACACGGCGGCCACGATACACATGTAGGAGGTGATGGCCGCCGACGTAGAGGGAGGGTACCAGAGATCGCGAGACGTGGGAGGGAGCTGCAGCTATTATACCGACGAAGAACCAACCAATCGAGCCCTGATCCTTGATGGAGCAGTAACGTGAACGGGGGAACCTGAGAAGCAATCATCGTCATCATTTTACAACATTGACAAGCTGGAACCAAACCGCACCAATTCTATCATTTAAAACAAAAAAAAAAAAAGAGAGACAAAAAGAAAATAACATTTTAACCAGTTTTTAAATGTGATCTAAGATGTCCAACCACCAATTGAAAAAAAAAGACAGATTTTCGAACTGATTGTTGTTGAGATTTAGCTCAGAAAACTGCCGTAAATGAAACCGAAAATAAAAAGCAATCTAAATGTGTAGATTTAGAAGTCGCAGGAGTCGAGTTCCTCTAAGTACCAGTTAAACCCCCGTAAAACCAAACTGCTCAAAAAAAAGAAAACAAAACATAAAAGAAAAAGAACTAACAAAAGAAAGAAAAAGACGACTGGCAACAGCATGAAGTGATCTGTTAATGTATCTTTTTTTTGCCTTTTTGGCACGTTACACCCCTCCCCGCCAATCCCCATTCCAGTACCCCCGAAGACAAGCTAATATGTATGTGTATATGTAACTCTCAGACCAACGGCTCCCACCAGGCCACGCACACACCTAAAGAACCTTTAACACACACACACACGAAACACACACTCACACAGACAGTTACACACACACAGGGCAAAGTGCTTTCAATTGTTTCATAGTTCAATTTTATTTAGTGGTTTTTTTTTTATACATATTTTACTCTCTATTCTGTATTCTATCCGCAAACTTCGAAGCAGAAGATGAAAAAAGACCAACGACGATGACGAGGAAGGGCTATATAGTTTTGTTTGTGTGCGTGCGCGTTTTGCTGGACTCTTCGCCAAAAAGTTCTTCCTCATTCAGTGTTTAATTTTTGTTCGTTTGTTTTTTATTTTAAGAGTAAGTGTGTGTGTGTAGCTCTTGGCAGCTCTTACGGGATAAATGTGTTACTGCGAACATTCGGCGCAGTTTTTCATCCAGCTGTATTATACGCGATTTGTATGCGAGTTTTATGTGTGTGTATATGTATATGTATATGTATGCGTGCATGGAATTTACATTTGTGTACGAGCACGCATAGGACCCTTATTATTATTATATGATACTATATATCCAAGACAACCTCTACTTTTTTGTTAGTTTTTTTTCTATTAATTAATATTACAAATGAGAATGCGAAAAACAAACAAAAATATTAAAATATATATATATATATAATTATAACTATAAAATGCGGTGTGCAAAGCTAAACTAAATCTATAATTAACTAAGTAAGGGAGATTGGAACATGGAGGGGAGATCTAATTATGTAATATCAATAAAATCAAACCGATTAAACACAACAGAATTAAAAACCCAAGCATGCAAGCGACAACAACTAAGAAATTGTATAACAATGTATTTTGATAAAGAAATTAAACTTGTATTTTAAGCTCTTCTTATGTATACATGATAATTTAAATAAAAAAAGAAAAAAACATACTCGAAAATGAAAAAGAGTTCGATTTTGAATTTAAAACCGGAATTTATATATAAACTTGCCTCAAAAATATATCAACCATAAAGTTAGAGAGTCCACTTTAAAGCCCATAAACTGGGAACACACTTTGGTTGCCATATCACTCATGTTAAAGGATGGGTTTAGGTTTTGTTAATACTACCCATCCATCCACTAAAAATGTTTCAAAAAACAGACCAACTTATTATAGTTTATAAAGCATTTAAGGTTAAAAGATCTTACTAAAGGATTTACTCTTTGGTAAAGTATTTCCCCATAGAATAGGAAAACATCATTTCAGATCCTTGAAAGGTTATATATCTTATTGATTGAAATATTGGAAATCAGATAGCTGAAGGAGCGAATTGGGTGGCCAACACTATTAACTGCACCACAAGTAAGCTTAGTAAAGTAGTCTTAGTATTATAGTCAAAGATCTAATAGTTCCTTATTCCTATGTCAGCTATTTGATAAGTCATTTGGTTTCGTCCTCTTATGACTTACTAAGCTAAGTTAGCCGGAAATATACCAAACTAGCAACTAACTATAAGCGAGAAAAGGGGATTTCCGATTTAAAAACCACTACTTTTAGTTTTAAAATTTTCAAATTGATTTGCTTAAAAAGAGTGCACCACTCAGAATTCGTTCTATCCGTTCAAACCGAGCGATCATCGAAGCCCAATTCTTCGAATGATGCAGTGCATCACATTGAAAAGAAAGGACATTTCCTCACGCTGCCGAATAAAACGATTCAACTCATCAACGCGGGTGCGTACGGCTTTCAGCTAGTGTGAAAGTATGTGAAGACTGACTACAGAAATGATCCTGTGAAGTATAGTCTTAATTTTTCAACACCCAGCCAAAGTCACTTCATGCGCTAACGGCTAGAATCAGTTGGGAATTACAAGGGCGCGCACACAGCAAACGTTAAGAGCATGTGCGTGCTGATAGCACATTTACATTCACATTCACAGCACACGCCATACACACATAATTTTAGCCACCAAATTGCTTTGTTCGACTTTGGTCGTCAGGGAAGGTGTCGGCCCATCAAGCGGAAGGTGGTGGGTTCAATATTAGGAGAGAAGAATTATTTTTTTTACCTCATTGAATTTAAATAAAATGAAATTTAAAGATAAATAATTTAAATTCCATCTCAAATTCTACTGCCAACCACATAAAACATACTTTTTATCTTCCATTTAAGTTTTTACATTTTAATATTACTTCTGCTTTTTTTTTTTTTTTTTACTATTTCTGTTGGTCTTTAACTTCATTAAATTTGTTTTTTTTTTAGCTTTAATTAATGCTGCAAATAGCTCGTTTGTGTTAGTAATGTGGCTAAGTCGAATTTTCATCTAAACATTTACAAGTTTTTCTATGTGGGCGGGGGGCGTAGACTCTGTCGGAGGTTTGCTAAGTGAATGCTTCTGGAGGAGATGCAGTTGCGGCTGGAGCTTACATCTTTTGTTGGGCCAGTTCGTCGATGGTTCTGGCATTGGTTAGGGTTACCCAGAGCGGTGCCTGGATGCTGGCCAGCGAGTAGCTTTCGGCGGCGTCTAAGGAATGGGATTTGCGGATGGCTGGCGAATGGGTTTCACCACTGCTACTTGTTGGTCCTCCTCGCCGGCGATCTCGTTTGGATTCGCGTTTGGTAAAGGCGGCAGCTGCCTCTCCGCCGCCACCACCACTGCCACTGCTGGCAGCCCGGATCTCCTGGAGACGACTCCTCCGCTTCGCCAGGCCAGCCGGATCGTCTCGTACACTGGCCGTCTTCCGGAGCTGCGGCGGTGGCACTAGCTGCGAGGAGGACTTGACCAGCGGTACCCTACCCGAAACCGTATCCTTAACTCCCGGCTCTTGACCTTCGGATTTGGGTACCGAAACCTGGGACTGGTGCTCGGCGGTGGTCCCCTGCTCCAGTTGCTGTTTGGCTAACTGTTAGCTCGAGGAGAAGGACATCTTATAGGAGGTGGTGTCCATTGGGGACTCGGGGTTAAACATCTCCGTCTGGGTCTGCTCCACGTCACTGCAACGCTCCTCCAGCACAGTGTCCAGCTCCAGGGAAGTGAAGCCCTGGCTTAGGCTTCGTTCAGGACGTAGACTGATAGCTCGCGACGATCGGTAATCTGTGGATGGTTTTGGGTATCGGGAAGAGAAACAATATTTTAGTCACTGTCTTTGCTGTCCTTGAATGAGGGGTGAAGGATGTGCGAGGATGTGAGCGATATCGAGAGGTGGAGACACATTGAAAGTGTGAGGGATGTGCAGGTGTCACGCACCGAAAATGAATTTTTTTGGGGGGGTGAAAAGTGATTTACTTGCACGGCATCAGATGTCAAGAGTTGGAAATATATATCATTGCCAATCTAGCAAAAGCATTTTCTCTCTACCCAAAAATGTAATCTTTCTTTTATTATAGATTTAAAGAAAAGGCACAAAGAAAAATGTGAAAATTCTTGGAATAAAATTCTAATTTCTAGCTCATTGAGCTGTGTTAAAGTTGGAAAATATGGAAAATTGTGAAAGCTACTTCATGCAAATAAAATAAATACAAATATGTAAAGGAAATAAACTAAAACTGCCGCTTTTAGTCATCATTTATGAAACACTCTTTGTGCGGTGAATAGTCAAATGAACTCTTCTTCCTCTCAATGATTAACTCAATTTGAGTTTTAGCCCTGAAAAATGTAGAGCAAATATTAAACAACTCGAAAAAAGTTGTATGTGTGTGTGTGTGTGTAAACAAGAAGGGGAGAGGGAAATTGCCAGGGACAAAAGAAGCAAAAACAGAGGCTTTTGCGGTGATGCGTAATCGTTTTGCGAAAATGTATGCCAAAAAAAGGAGAACGCATGTGCCCATCGCAAAATATGTGTTGTTTTTAGGGGGCCAAGACAGCCAGCACAGAGCCAAAAACAAGTGTAGTTTGCGGTTGTCGGTTTTTGTTTTTTGTTTGTTGGTTTTTTGTTTTTTTCGTTTGCGACCTGCGGTTGTGTCGACCTCGTGTCAACGCCACCTTGATCATCATCATCGTTGCGGAGCTGCACAGTGAATAAAAGTCCCCGAAAGGGCATACATTTCCCATTTTCATACCCAAGCCTGACATTTTGCATTCATCGTTTTTATATACTTAAAGAGGGTATAACAATTTGCCAATTTTCCGAAATTTTATCTGTCATTTAGAGTTTAATTTAAGTTTTTAGGTTGGTTTTTTCCCATAAAATTACTCATACGACACGTTGGAGGTTCTTGAAAGATTTTAAAGGGCATTAACCGAACTTGATAAGTAACTATGCAAATACCTTAACATTAACATTTTCAGTCCAATTTAAAAGGGAAAAACCCTGATGTATGCTGGCATCATTATTTGTATGTATCATTCGTGGGGGGCAAAAATGTCAGTTTAGGCAAACAGAGGGTAGAAAGGGCACTTCCTGAAGGGTATTAGAAAAATGTGACTGCATTTTTCACGTGAATTTTTGATGAAAAGGGTTGACTAAGCTTGGGGGTCTTCTTCTTCTTCTTCTTCTCATTTTTTGTTGTTGTTGTTTTTTTCATATATTTTTTTTTTTCAGAGTGCTTTTTTCTATGCGACCTGAAGTGGCGGATTCACATTCACTCGACGCCCCGCGTTCTGAATATGAAATTTACAGTTATAAAAATGTTTCTGCGTGTTCGTGCGTGCATAAAGCACTGAAATTCTTGCACGACACCGTGGTTTAGTGGGCGTGGTAGCTGCAGGGGGCGCGGATAACGTTGTGTGTGTGTGTGTGTGTGTCTCTGGCAAATCTAAATAAGCGGGCTAGCTACTATACTAGTTCTTTTCGTTTTTCTTTTTTTTTTTCGTTTTTTGTTTTTGTGTTTTGTTATTCCGCACCGTCCACGCCACCGCGCCGGTACCCGCAGCCCGCTTTTGCCCCCATTTGATTTTGTGATATGCAAACAGGGCTGCTAGCGCCCAAAGGTATGCTATGCAAATGCAAATGCAGCCAGGCTACTCTCCTTAGATCTCTCTCTCTCTCTCTGTTTCCCCTTTCTCTCTTTGCGTTTGACACTTGTAAAGCAGCTCACACACACGCCAGCATGTGTGTAGGTGTAGGATGTATTTCTTTCACTCAGCTCACGTTTCTCGTAGTTTGCTTTTAGGGGAAACACTGCTTACCTCCAGAATTTATATAAATTGAATCTTTTTGTTGTCTCGATAAGAACTGCAATATTGTCAGGATGGAGCATGGTATACCAGCCATAACTGTTGAATTAATCGCAGTTACTTTAAGAGGTGAAAAAATCGCGTATACGCAATCGTGCGGGATGTTATTTTTTGTCATTTTAACAGTGGCGGTAACTCTTATTTTTTCATAATTATAAAAGAAAAGCACGGAGAATGGTTACTTTTTTCTACTTTCACTAACAAAAAACACTCAAAGTAAACTATGAAAAGGAAAAATTATGATTTTATGCCCCTTAATCGAGTGCATTTTCTTTCAGTGTGGCTAATGCATCTCGGTGAAATGTGGTATTGATTCTGCACTGGCCACTGGCCACTGACAATGGCAATTCAGTTGCCGCACACAAAGGTACACTTTTTGGACATGCGGGCTCTTAAAAAAACAATGATTATGATATTGATGATGCGACGGGCTTCCTCTCTCTCTGTCTGTGTGTGTGTGTGTGTGTGTTATCCTTTTGTGAATTTTAACTTGCTTTTATGCAGGCGGACAGGCGGGCGGGCGGGCAGGCAGGCAGGCAGGCAGGCAGGAACAATGGCCGACAGGTGTATTAATGACTACGACATGGCACAGATTAAGAGGAAAAGTGAAGGAGAGAAAGCGAGTTGAGTATATCACCGGGCAAGAGTAAAACAAAAAAGAAAAAAAGAAGCTAGGGGTGCAAGTATAGTGAGAGAGTTTCTGTATGCATGTTGAAGTGAGGATAAAGATGAATTCTGAATGCAGGTGAGGTAAGGGGTTGAGATGATTGATGCAGGATGCTGAATGCAGGATGCTGGATGCAGGATGCGATGCATTCGACAGTCTATCGACTATGTTCGTGAAATGCGGACAAGTCATTCGATCTGCGAGTGCCTGCAAGACCAGAGATAAAAACAGGAAACGAGACGAGACGAGACGAGAAAAAGAGCAAAGAAAAGTTCTTCGTACACACATTACACGACATTCAAACTCACTAAGCCTATGTATTGGACTAAATCTGACCAGGCTGACGGCATGGTCCTGCATGTCATAATTCCTCCTTCTGTCCCGCTCCCTGGCCAACTTGGCCCTCCTCCTTAGGCAGCAGATCACGATCAGGGCCAGGATCGGGAAACCAAAGATGCACGAGACGATCGGTATGACGATCGATTCGGGTGAAACTGTAATGGGAAAATATTGTTAGAGGGTTAAACTCCAATCAAAGTTGATTTAGTAAATAAACTCTATCAGAACTTTAAAGTCAATTAGTTCCTTTGTAAATACCATTAAAATGCTCAAGCTTAAGTACTTTCCCTTTTATCTGAACTCAAGTCAGGATGTAGAGCATGACCTTTTTGGGATTCGAGCTTCCATTTTGCTTGTATCAGCGTACCTGACTCTATCTTAGCTTGCCCATCTTTAGGCAAATATTTTGACCCAAAATTTATTGAACATTTCCTGTGGGGTAACTGCCTGCCACCCCCCCTTGGCTTAGTCCACTTAATCGCACTCAACATCGGACAACCGTGCTCATTCTTGACCCCACCTTTTTTTCGCCTGACCCCACAGGCTGTGCCGTACAGTGGGCTGTGTGACCTTGCCCAACCTTATTCTGTGGCCCCATTGTGAACCCAAACCCCCCTCTTCCCAACCGCACAAAAAAGTCCTTGCCAAATGATGCACGAATGTTAATCGCCCGAGTCTCTCTTTGGCCTGTCAACGCCCAACAAAAAGGCGGAGACTGGCAACCGGGGGAACATATTTGCCTAATTGTTGTGGTTTTTGGTCAGCCGCAGAAATGCCATCACCATCGCCATTATCCGAGCCAAGATTATTTATTTATATGTTTATTTTATCACAATAACCGACTGCGGAATGGGTGGTTTTATGGCCAACGCAAACTCATAATTCCGGAGCTCATCTCATCTCCGGTTCATTTGCATGGCCTCAAATTCGGCCGAAAGTAGGCAACATTTATCTGCACGGACGACGGATGGGTGGATGGTTGGTTGGTTGGCTGTGTACTGGAAATTATATAGAAAAGGGAGCTTCACAAGGATAAGAGGACTTTTTAAATAAAGGGGGAGAGGGGGGTGTGTGTGTATGGTAGAACGACGGGTTGTATGCCGAACGACTTTTTTTGGGGGCGCATTCCTTTTAAGCCATTTGCATTTCCCTCCGTTAACGATTCGTTTGCCTGTTTAATTTCGGCTCTCAGTCGTAAACTAAGTCGAGGCAAATCTGCATCTCCCGCCGCTCTGTTCAGTCTCTCTGTCTAATCCCCTCACTGCGTCCCTTTATTCCATTAGGTATAATTAGCAAAAACAAAAACATTTATCCCACAAACATGGCCACAAACATGTTTCACTCTCAAAATCTACTTACACGTATCTTACACGTATCTTAAAGATACTTCAGGGTGTAGCTTCCTAATTTCATATATATTTTGAAAGGTATGTTATATAACTGAACATTACAAGAAGTCTCTTAAGTGCCTTTTACTTTACTTAAAAAAAGTCTTTGAAAGTTTTCTTTAACAAATAATTTCTGAAGAAAACTCTCTTGATAAACCCAAAATATTTGTTTTGAGATTTATTTCTGTCTTGACATTGGACTGGCTTTAGAGGGTTAAGCCGGGGCTTGCAAAGAATAATTTAAACCGAAACACGCGGTGGTTTTCATTTGTCGCTTTGCATATCTACCCAGGATCTGGTTCGACCTGGTGAACTTCTCCTACTACCACTGCTGGCACTGGCAAACCCTATCCCTTGGCCCACCCACCACCACGACCTCATTTACCATCCTCAACCACTCATACATCACAGCCACCTCTCCCCCCCTCACCCTTCCGCTTACGGGGTCCTCCCTCATCCTTGTCAACCTTCCCTGCCAGCGGATGCTCTAATCTAAGTCACAAAAGCCATGGCCCAAATTTTGTTTGTCGAAAAAGTAGCATAAAAGCTACAAATCTCTCTAAGCAGAGAGCCGAATACTGAATGCTCTGAAAAGTTTTTGGCAAATGCATTTTGTGCCTTTTGTTAGAAAGTTAAAGAGAAAGTGGCCCAAAGTTTTGCCAGCTAAATGCTGGCTGTTGATATTCTAAATGAGTACAAAACTTAGTTTTCCAGAAGTTAAATAGCTTTTTAAGCTGGAAAATTGATAAATAAACTTCTTAAGAAGTTAAACTTAAAGATCTATTAGATAGAAATATATGTAGATTTATAGCACATAACAGCAATTTTATATCACTGGAATAACAACGGAATATTATTATTATTATTATACTAATTTATGGCTAACAAATAGGCTAAGCCTCAGCCCATTGCTGTTTATACGCTAGAGTGGCTTTTTATTCCCAATTTTATCGACTCAGAGCACTTCTAAACTTGGATAAATCTCGCCTGCCTGCTCCTGCCTCCTTCTGCCTCCTTCCTAAATGGAACACTTGATGTGTTGGCCTGACATTATTCGATTAAATCCGAGTTCGATCAGGGGCGCCAGTCACAAAATGTTTGCTTCGGCGTTATCAGCACCTCAACTGGGGGTTTACTTGGCTCTCAAGTACTTTGTCCAAATGGTTAGCTTCTTTCGCCTTGGCGAAAAAAAAGAAACTCAGCTTCTTGGTAGCCTGCGCCACTGAATCCAATTAACGCCTTCAAAGTGACAGTTCAAATTTACACAAATTGATGAGGCGCGAGCGCGGAGTGTAGCAGTCTTCAGTCCTTAGTCCTTAGTTCAAGTTTAGTTTGATGCCATGAAGAAGGAATCCTCCTTCTCCTTCTACCAGCCAGGCATGCCAGCCAGGCAGCTGAGTCATCAGGACATCGTTTGATGCCAGAAATATTCAATAAATACAATAAAAATAATGCCTTTTGCCCCACTCAGACAGACGCGCCCTTTGAATCGAAATTAAATGTTTGCATATTTGACGTCGACGCTGGAATGCGCTACAAAGGCAGGCTACAGGCAGCATCCAGCATACAGCATCCAGCGAGCATAAACAAAGCCCATCGAATGCCAGGGCAGAGAGGCAATATTCAAATGTTCGTGGTGTATGTTTACATAGAGAGAAATTTGGATATTTTTATATGGGAAATAATCCCAAAAAGTAGGAAAAATCAGTTACAAGTCTTGAGAGATGAAGTTTCAGTAGAATCAGTTTTCAGATTTACTTTCGAGTTAAAAAAGTTTATCTTTAAAAGCTCAATAAGAGGTTGTAATACGAGGATTGGTGTTCTTAAATTCCCTCTTATTTTTCCCGAATTTTCTTAGTAAACCCCTTTTCCTACCTTTCCTAGATCCTTAAGGATAATCCCCTTCTCCGAGTGTACCAACTCAACAGCACATACAGATACTTGAATGCATATACACGCATATAGTAGCATTAAGTGATTTCTCCAGCCTGGAATATACACATACTATAGCTATATATATATTCCCATCAAAGTCAACTCGAACTTGATTGCGGTTGAACTCGAATTGCCGAGGCGAGTTAAGTAGGAAATGTGGCAGAGGCACGAGTGAAGGGTAGGAGTGCCAAGAACTTTTGGAGTCCGCAGGCATTTGCAGAGAAAGAGAGAGAATAGTTTGCATTTAATAGGAGGGGAGAGGGGCGGTGCACCCTCAGGAAGTTTCACTTTGATTCGATGCCTTCAACCTACACGCCCAAATCAAAGTCAGCAGTCCTGTTGTTGCCGTCCTGCTGTTGACAGGACTTTCGGTGACCAATAAAATGTGGTTTTTACATGGTCTTTTCTTTAAGTCAAACACCAAATACAAAGTCAAATATTTCTGGGCTTGATAAAAGGCCAAAAACGGAGCCGAACATTAACTTGATTAACTCATCAGAGGAATTCATTTTATATCGTAAAAATGTTATATAAAAAGAGAGAGAAAGCAGTGGTTGGGGCAGCGCGGAACAAAGAAGCAGGAAAATCAATTAGAAAAAGTAATATATCAAAAGTGATATTCCTATATATATATATATATATATATTCCTATAAAGAAACCCAAAGTTGTCAACATTTTCCGCCTCGTTTTCCCTGAAATTGATTTGCCTTTTGTGAAAGTTTCACATTCTGCCGATTGACTATTAAAGTAAGCTTATACCAGTAGCACCAGCACATGGCCCATTGTAACTGAAAATTAACGAATATTTAAGTATTGTTCGGTACCGGAAAAAAAAAAAAGAAAACCTCCCACCATCTCCACCCCATCTGACTGAAAAACGAGAGGTTTTTTTCACCAAAAAAAAGAGAAAAAAAAGAAAAGCGAACAGGCAGTCGAGTGTTTCGCTAAGTAGAATGCATTGTTAACTTATCAATGGAGCTGAAGGACATCGCATTCCTGTTACACCATTTTATCGGATGAATTTACGCACTTTTTCTTCACCCAAATTGTAATGGCCAAGTTCTTTTTTTTCCATCTGCGTTTCTTTTTTTTATATATTTCTTTATTTTTTATATTTTTCCTTCATTTTTGTTGTTGTTTCTGTCGACTTGGCATGGACGAAAAGTTGTATCTTGTGTCGAACTGACAAGGTGGCGGCAACTCGAGAGCCACGCCCACAGGCCATTGAGGGCGCTGACATTGACGTTCTCCTCTTACCACCCCCATCATCTCCTCGCCCCCCCCCCACAACATTCCTCGCCTGTCGATAATGCCGCAGATATACGACTGATTGTAGTGGGGATTGGGGAAATGAGATGGTTTCTGGGCCTACGGGACTGGGACTGAGACTGGGAATGGGAATGAGAATGGTAGAGGCAGCCATCATCCCTGGGATGAGCTTGGGGCTCGCCTCTGATAAGGCGGGCAGGAAAGTCGACAATGTTGTCGACAAATTTCTTCGCTGGCACAGAAGCCCAGAGCCCTGCGAGTGTGATGAAGAAGCAGTTCGCTTAATAAAGACATCAGCCCATCAGGCCAGACACGAGAAAAAATTAAGATTAATTTGAGAAGGAAATTAGGAAGTCATTTAAAAGGAAAAACAAACTCCCCTTTAAATATTATACCCCAAAAAAAAAAATGCATATTATTAGATATGGCTCTTAGTCCCTTAGCCTTTCTTAAACATAAATAGATTTCGCCTTTAACTTTCTCCCCAATCCACTTTCTAAATTAAACCATTTAAAGGCTGGCACAAAGTTTAGCCCACGACCTGAGGAAATTTACTCAAAAACAAATTAAAAAACTTTGTAGATTCCAGGACACCGACGGATTTGGCAGCCGTTTGCCGGGAAATCGTTAGGAGAGATCTTTCTGGGGACTCGGAATTGAATATTATTTGTTTTCCGTGCAGCCTTTAAGACTCTAATTTGTGAGTGGCTCGAGGCGCTACGACACTGGCGCCAGCTGCCGAGGCCCACGACCTTTCTTCCATGTTTCTTGCTTTTATTTTTTTTTTTTTTTTCAACACTCACCCACCACCCAGTTTTCCACCTACTCAACTGATGGCGGCGACACTTGCCTCGAACAATCAACAGCTAAATTCGAGTGCGACTCTTTGCAATTACTGCGACTTAGACTTGTCTAATTGCTGAATGGGGAGAGGGGAGAAGGAGAAGCTCTTCTCGAAGGAAACTTTTTGGATTGGCCCAAGCCAAGCCAAGCCAAGCCAAGCCAGGCCAGGCCAAGGCAGGCCGAAAGCCAAGCAAACTTTGCCGTGCCACCGAAACTATAAAAAATAAGTTGACGCGGCAGCCGGAGCAATCGGAGTCAATGCGGATAATGAGGACTCGGTTGTCAGCTCATGCAAATTAACGCCGGCAACGGGGCGACTAATTGGGATGAGGCTGGGGATGAGAGATGGGTATTGAGATGGAGATACACCCATTTTAGGCCATGGATCCATGGGCTGGCACGCGACCCCGATGGGTGACTGACTGCACTGATTTGATTACCAACACTGACTGGGGATCGAGAACTCCGGCCTAAGGACAGAGTCAGAGGCAGAGTCAGAGCAAATGTCTCTAATTAACTTAAGGCTGTTAGGGGAGCCTTTTCATTAAGGGGATGCAACTTGAGGGAGGGGTGGTAATTGATTATTGCCCCCCGAAAACGGTGACAAATTCAACCTGAGCCTGGGCTAAGCTCTCTGACTGATTAAAAATGACTTAGAAGGTGGCAGTTAAGTACGTTTAGAGGGTTGATAAGAAGGGGAGAGCGGGAGCTTAGTAGGTAAACGGACTTACTAAGAGACTTCTTAAGTTTATTTAATGCTAAAATAATAAGTATTAGCTATGCCTTTTCTTATAGATTAAACATTCATTAAATTTAGAACATTCCCTCAGTGACACTTTCATTACGTTTAAAGGGAATTTAAGGCCTTGCCCCATGGGGCATGTTCATGCATATTTAATCCCTCAGCTGCGTCTCAACAGGAAGTTATTTTGATTTCACATACTCATAAATGCATGAAATTGCATTGCAAATTCGCAGTAATAACTTCCTTAAGTACATGATTCCCAACAATAAAACACTCAGTCGCTTGCAAAACGAAAGAAAATCAAGAAAATTGTTTAAAAATGTAAATGAAAAAAAGAAAAAACTTTTTGGTTACAGAATTTCCTTCATTATTAATGGCCCCAAGTTGCCATTACCAGCAGCTAATGTCTTTTTTACAACTTTTTGGCCAAAATATTTTATCACTTTCGCAAATTAATTTGCTGGAAAATTGCTTAAAAATTTAAATAATTTGCTGGAAAAGTAAAAAAAAAAAAAGGAAAATTTAAGCAATATTTTCAGAACTCACCCGTTGGGTAGACAACGATGGTCGTTGGGCGATTCTTAGTCCCAGTGGCGGCAATGAAGGTGGCCACCGTCTGAGCCTGGAACGTGGCCATGGTACTGGTGGGTATTGGAAGCGGTAGCGGTAGCGTGCTCATCACTGCACTGGCCGCCGTTGTTGAGGATTCGATGAAACCGCTTAAATTGCCCGCCGGCAGATATACATCCGAGCTCGAATTCCCCGCCAGCGGTGGTATGCCAGTGGCATTGGATGGGTATGGGAACGTGGCTGCTGTTGTTGGCTGTTCGAGCAGACCGGGTAGAATATCCGTTGACGCTGTTGTTGGACTATGGGTCGGATGATCGATATCGATAGCCTGGCCGTTGGCTATATCCGCTGCGTCGAGTGCCTGTAGCAGCAGGGCGGAAACAGGCAGGTTAGTCACGTGCTGGGCAGGATTGGCCCGGGCCACTTTGGCCAGAGTGCGACTGAGCAGGCCCCTCAGCCTCCCCGTTGTTTCGTTATTAATGGTCTCGACGGCTCCGCCCTTTTGGCCTTTTCCGGCTGTATTCCTGACTCCTACTCCTCCTCCTCCTCCTCTTGCGGTCATATTGTTTAATAATTTCGCAGCATAATCGTAAATTTCAATCAGCATTAGGTGGTAGTCGTCGTCTAGCACTCTCCTGGATTTCCCCTGGCTGTAAATGCAAGAGAAGTGTTGCTAAATGTTTGTCCTCAGTCGCGGATTCCGGTCACAGGACACAGGACAACGGACTCCGGACTTTGCTAATTGCTTTAATGAATCACTTTGCCAAACAGACTATGTGTGTGTGTGTGTTGTGTGTGCAAAGAGGGGGGGGTGGAGTGGTATAAGGCAGAAGTTTCGAGCGTCAAAAGTTTGACCAACCACGATTGATTGCGATCAGGGGTTTCCACAGCTGGCTAAGTGCTCTCCCCCCAGTGGTTAAGTCCCAGGGATTTGCCAGGCATTAGAGTTAAATAAACCGCATTTCTTGCTTAATTGAAATTCTAGCTTCTAGTATTTGTCCAAGGGAATCCTTGAAAAGGATGCTATATCCTAGAATATTAATCAAAATTTCATCTTGAAAATCACCTTTTGCCTGGACTCTGGAATATTTTCAATATTATTCCCCATGTAAAGGCATTTCCACTCTCGCATACTTTCTCTACACATACCCGAATGTTGCTCTCTGGAAACTTGATAGTTGAAATTCCATAAATTCGGCACCGTAAATCCCGACGAGAAATTTAGAACTTTTACATATTTACAAACTGCTCCTGTCATCGGTGATTACTCAGGATTTGTTAGCATACACACAGTGCGAGAGAGAGAGAGCACCGTGTGTCGGAACATGGACATGGCTTTTAGGGGCTCCCCGATATGATGTAAGCAACTTATTCGGTGAGTTGGATGAGGAATGGGTATTGCCCACTTGAAAACCCTAAAACCCGACTCCCAAATGACCAGCTCTTGACCTCACTCTCTCTCTCCTCGAATCCTTATACCCATACTTCACCAATCTGAATCCCAATCCCAGTCCCAGTCCCCCAGTCCCCCACTTGTTGGCCACGCAAGAGCGCAAACATTGAATCGTCCAAGCCCCCGGCCTCGAACCACCACGGGGGCCATCAAGTGAGCAATCCGGAGGAGCTTCAGCTCCAATGGCACTTGAAACCGAAACTGTCGAGGGAGCGGGGTTATGGATGGCTCATACAGATGGGGGTATAGATGAGTATATATATAGGATGGAGGGAAATAGCGGATGTGAATGCGAATGCGGATCTGGCGGGGGGTACACTTTGGCGACAACAGGCAATAAAAATATGTTAACTATTGCATGGGGCTTCGTGGACTAGCTTCATTACGACAAATCGAATTGAATCGAAGGAAGCTTCCAGTCTACCATTCTACTACTTCCCATTCTCTCGATGTCCATGCCCAAGCCATGCCCCCTTGGTCACCAGAGACCACAATTAAATGGGCAAGCACGATTCCTCATGCAGAGAGAGAACAACTTGATGTTGCTGGGGCAAGGATAAGGATTTCGATTTGGATTTTAAGGGTTTTGGGATTAAAGAAGTGGTTAGAGTTCTGTTCTATTTGGTTAATCTTTTAACTTTGTAATATTAGTTGGGTTAGTTAAGTCGGATTAAGGGGGATTTAATATTTATATTTTCTTTTTAAGAACTTTAAGATGTTGAAGCTTTGTCCTTTGGAAAACTATATGCCATCATGAAGTAGGATAAACTTAATCTTAGTTTAAGAAATCAACATTCTTAATAAAACTTTTTGATTGTTTTTCGGGTTTTAGAAAGCAAAACACTCTTAGATTAGCAACACTTTCAAAACCATTTCTCTAAGAACTTAACTTTCATTCCAAATCTTTCTTTTTCTAGTTATTTTCTTAATATTTTAAAGCTAATATTTAAGTTTAATATCCACTGATTAAAGAGACCTTAAACCTTGTTTGGGCCACATAAATAATGAACTAACCAAAAAGCCCTTGCTGACAAAAATCTGTGTTCCACGCAATTGCCCACATTACTCGGATATCACTTTTTGTTTTCATGGGAATTCAGTTACACACTTATATACAGATAATGGATATATATATATATATATATATAAAAGCCATTATTTTTTTTAAGTGTTCCCTGGGGAGAATGCACAGAGCGCAGTCAAAAACTATAGCAGGGCGGTGAAGGATAGTATAAGATAGATAGGTATATGGCTGGGATGGTGTTGTATGGATGGATGGGTTTCCTGGGGTTCGGATTCCATTGGATTCTATTGAGACTGGCGCGATGGGATGCTAAAAGAGCGCGCGCCTCCTTCGCGGCTCCATGTGTCGATGATGCCCATTCAAATGTGAAGCATACTTTGTCACTTTTGTTTCGGAGTGTTTTTTTTTTTGGGAGGCGAAACAAGGATAGATGATACACAGCAAAAGAAAGAGACACAGAAAAGAAATATTATATGTAGAAACGCGCGTCGCGCCAATGAACCGTTAGCAAAGGGATCGCGGAAATAACCGTAATAATAACAATAACGGAATAAACAATTTACGTCGTTTGTCCGTCACTCGTTCGTTCATCCGTTCGTTCGTTGGTTGTTTGGTTGCTTTCGTCCGTTTTTATTCGTTCGTACTTTTTAACCGCTTGTCCTTTTGTTGACCGTTCGTCCTGCGTGCTGCACTCGCGTCGGCAGTCCGCCTGCCTTTGTGACGCGCGCGTTGCCAGCAGCGGGCTTTTATAGACAGCCGGTTAGTCCAAGGGAAGTTCCCAAAGATTTCCCCAAAAATTTCCCTTTGAAGAGAAAAAGCACCCAGCCAAACAAACAAACAGGCAATGGAAAAATGGCAAATGGCAAATGGCAAATGGCACTCTCTGCTCTCTTCGCCCGCTGGAAATTCAAAAGGAATTTCGTTATTTATTGTTCAAGACGAAAGACAAACACAAGTCAATGCTTTTGTTCAGGTCGTCGACAATACGGGCAGGTTCTTTAATTAATTCGGATTGTCGGCTCACGAATTTAAAATGACTTTGACCCAATTTAATTTATAAATATAATATATAACATACAAATAAAGGGGAGGGGGGTAAGAAAATAACCTTTAACGGTTTGTAATCTGTGAGGAAAAAAGGTGCCGAAAAGTATACTACAATATCATCAGGTGGAATTACTAACTAACAATTTTTGAAAGCCTTCTTCTGACTAACTTCTTAAAGGTCTTTCATATCTCCGAAGACTTCTTCGGTTTATGCTAATTAATTCAACCGCAGATTTGGCAATTCACATTTATGGAAAATTTTTGATTGGTTTTTTATTTTGGCTAAGAAAAATTTATGAAGATGTAACTTTTCCAATTCAAATTTTCTTCGTTTTTTTATTCTTTTATTCCACTAAAAACTCAGAGAAATAAAAAACTTGAATTGTAAAAAGTTTTAACAGCATTTGCATGGACCCCTTGGGTTTTAATTTATAATTAAAGTACACGTTGATCCCATAAAATATTAACTTTGGACTGCACAAAAAGAAAATTCTGTTAATAAAAAGAAAGTTTAAAAGGAAAAAAAAGAAAGGAAATTAAATGAAAAACTAATCTAGTAAAGTCTTAAAAAACAGAACTTTAAAAAGAAACTTTCAAGTCCTAATAAGCAGATTAATTAGTACTAATTTTCTACTTTTCCTTATTAATCTGTAACTATTTCTTAGCACTAAAAGCATTGCCTTAAAAGTAAAATACAAAATTTAAATAAATATAAAACCTTCCACTTGTTAACATCTAAAGTTACACGAAAACTTGTTTAGCTGCGATTTGTAAAAGATTTTCCGATACGATTTTTCACACAAACACTTTTCTTAACATGGAATGAGGATTCTTTTGGGGCAAAAAGAGGGTGTTGCAAGTTGCGGTTCAATCTGTGGCAACGTGGGTCAAGTTTGTGTTCGACTGATTTTCACACATTTCACACCAACAGCAGCAGCAGCAACATCAGCAGCAGCAGAAACATCAACAAACACGAACGAAACTCGCTTAATATATTCGTGTTTGATTCGATTCGATGCAAATTGCCATAAAAATACGTGCCACTCGATGAATTTCCAAACTGTTCAGGTCCATGCCCCACCACGATGTCCGATCGAATCGGGCTAAACAAATGCGGTTGAAATTCAATAGAAAAGTGTGGAAAAAGAACGGGCTAAATTCTAAATTCGATTCGGTGATGGATATGTGACCTAGGCCATCGCTCTATCCCCCAGAATTCGAAATGGGAAGGGTCTTTGGGATATAAACAAGTTGAAGTTTGTTTAAGGTAGAGGGATAAATTGAAGAGTAATCTATAATGTAAATATATATTAGGTTAGCATATATATTATTGATGGTAATTATAGGAAATTAATAAGGGGAGATATTAAATACGAATAAACATGGAATTCGAAATGGAAAGGGTCTGTGAAATATAAACAAGTTGGAGTTTGTCTAAGATGGAGTAAGTAAATCACTTTAAAGTTGGAGGCTAATCTATAATCTAATATCTAATATCTTCAAACTACTATACTATTCATTGGTAAACTTAACTAACTTTCAAATTTAAAGGTAAATATTAAGTACAAGAAACATTTCCTAAGAGAAATGTTTCCTTTTGATGATTAGCATTAGTAAAGTGAATAAAATGGAGTCTAATCTGAAATCTAAATGATAAAAACTGAATTAATGAGGATATATATTGGTTAGTTTAATGAGTTTTCAAAAATTTAAAGACAAATATAAAGTTTATGTAAGATAAACTGACTTAAGCATCCCCTTTTGATCTTAAAGATTCAAAAGAGAAAAAATCCCCTATAAACTTCCCATTTTTAGTTTAGTTTTCAGTTTAAAATTCAACTTAAAAATCCAACAAAATATTTTCCAGCAAGATTTGTTAGCCTTAAACAAGATATTAATCTCTAGAAACCAATTTCCATTTTAATTGTTAGTTTTTAGTGTTTAGTTTAGTAATTAATTAAGGTCATCAGCTGGCGGTGGGTGCTGAGAGCCCAGTAATATGGCAAATGGACAAGCAATCCAATTTCTATGCTGAATGCAATCAATTTGAAATATAAAGGCCAAACTGGATGCAAAAATGGCCAACTGGGCAACTGGCAACTGGCATCTGGCTAATCAATGAGGACACACACACACATACATACATACATACACAGGCACACGACAGGTTGCACGTTGCACATTGCACTTTTCACTCGTTTCGGAATTTTACAAATTTAATTGCCTTTGTTTATGGTCCGTAACCGTATGGGAAATGCATTTCGTAGGAGGTGTACATTTCCGGGATTTCCAAATGCAAGTGAAAATGGTTGAAAACAAAAGGGGTGCCAAGAGGGAGGGCGGTGAGGTGGTGGAAAAGTGCCCGAAACAATTGGACATTTCACTCTGTGTGGCTCCTTTCACATTTCGAATATTTTCGCAATTTATTTTTGGTATTATTATTCCGACTAAAACAGTCGTGCTGCCACACGAACACACCAATGGCAATGACATGTCCGTTTTAGAATGTTTTTCATTTTCATTTCATTTTTCCCATTTTAGTTTTTTTTTTTTTTTAATTTTTCAGTATTTAAATTGCCCACATGGGGGTCAGCCAAAGCCAAAGCCGAAGCCAAAGCCAAAGCCGAAGCCGAAGCCGTCTAGTTAGACAAAACCAATTCAATTTTCCTAATCCTGTTCAGCTTTTTGGCCAGAACATTGAATTGTTTGCCGGGATATTGGGTTTGTGGGATAGCCAGCTGAAATGGTTTGCTAGTTAGTTTAGCAGCTCTAGGGGTTTAGAATTTGATTTACAATTATCACTTATAGATTAGAGTTGGTAAATTTGTAGGTATTAAGCTGATAACCCATCTAAATGCTTCCAAGAAATGCTTGATTTTGTAAAAGAAAGCTTAAACTAAAAACCGAATTTAAAGAGGTTAAATTAGTTATTTCTGCAGTCTTTTTTTCAGCAGCTTGTAAGCTAAAATCCTTTAAAAACTTAGCTTATAATGCGTAAAAACTTACTACCCAATCTAGTGGGCTGTGAAACGAAACGTCACTTTTGATTTTCCAATGTCCCCAGCCCAGGCCTGGCTCAGACTCATTTACTTCGAAACAGTCGTCCGGTGAACATCTAAAACAAAATAGCTTAGGGTCTTTTTACCGGGTTTTGCAACTTGGGTTTTCATCAATTTAAAACTGAACAATCCAAAAGAAAATTAATAAAAAAAAAAAAAGAAATTTAACAGTTACGCGTGAGTTTGAGTTCAACGAAATATAAATCAAAATTTCGTGATTATTTTCAAATCAAGTTGTGGGGGGAATTTTATGTCATTCCTTCGGTTATTTGAGCCATCTCGGCTAGCCTTAACAGCTACCACAGTTTTCAAATTTATAGTTTTTCTACATTAATAAATTATATAACAACAACACCGATCGGAAGCTTGAGAATCAAATTTGTTAAGCAGCAGTTAGTTAGTTTCAAGATTTTAGTTTTTAGTTTACGCGATTCTTATAGCAGGTAAGCAAAAGATTACTAGCTTAAACAATAATTAAAATAAGAGGTTACCATCTATAGACCTCCTGATCTGACCAGCCTATCCCCCGAGTTAACCAGAACATGGTGAACAAGGCCATCAACGTGTGCGACTCGCACAAGCTGAAGCGATGGTCCCGTTTAGAGCTCTTGGATTGGTACAACGAGATGCTGCAATGCCGTCTGGTGAAGATCGAGCACCTGTGCACCGGAGCAGCCTATTGCAATCTGATGCATATGGCATTCCCCAAGGTGATGAACCTGGCCAAGGTGAAATTCGTATCGAATCAGCAATATGAGTATATAAACAACTTCAAGGAGCTGCAGAAGTGCTTTAATAAGATGAAGGTTAGTAAACCGATACCGATCGGTAATCTGATCAAGGCTCACTTTAATGATAATTTCGAGTTTGCCACTTGGTTCCGTTACTTCTTGGAGGCCAATGTGACAAAGCATCAGCTCGAAACATATGATCCTGTGGCAGCCCGTGGCCAACAGGAGTTGGCCATCGGCAATTCTCGAATAAACCCTCCGTTCTACTGTCAGGCCAACAAAAAATCTCGACGATGTACAGCTGATGATCAAGAATCACCTCGACTGACTGGCAAAACCTGGCCTCGCCTCCATGAGGATCGAAATTCTCTTTTTTTCGATCCCATCCATAAGATCATACCCCCCTTTGATTTAGGGAGAGATTTAGATGCAGTTGCTAATGATTCCAGTTGGATTACGTCACCGAGAGAGGAAGAACCGAAGCCAGTTCCTAGCTATGCGAATGGCTTATGCGGCAGCCTAAAGGATCGAGTGAAGTGCTTGGAAGAGGGAACATTAAAATTGAGAGTGGCAAGGGAAAAGACTTGCCCGGAATTTGCCAATAAGAAATGGTCTGTTAAGGACATGATCAAGGAAAGAGAACAGCTATCAAGTAGGTCTACCAAGAGCCTGGGAGCCAAGGCTAACAAGAGTGGCAAGAGTCTGGGCAATGCTAAAGATTACGAGAAGATACCCACATTGCTGGATGAGATCAAGATGGCTATCCAGGCGAAGAGAGAAAAGAGCAGTGCTGATGATATCGACCCTTCGGAGACAGAATGGAGCGACAAGGACGTCGTTTTTGTTTACAAGTCGAAGTCTAAAGAAGCTTCTTCGATGGAGAAAGTCAAGGATGCGAATGCTGACAAAATGCCACTAACGGCTATATCTGGCTATCAGGATGATAACGATAACGATAACGATAACGTTGATAACGAAGATAACCATAACGATAACGATGATAACGTTGATAACGAAGATAACGATAACGATGATAACGAAGATAACGATAACGATAACGATGATAACGTTGATAACGAAGATAACGATAACGATAACGATGATAACGTTGATAACGAAGATAACGATAACGATAACGATGATAACGTTGATAACGAAGATAACGATAACGATAACGATGATAACGTTGATAACGAAGATAACGATAATATCGATAATCGGAAGAAAGACAGCAAAATTAAAAAAATTATCAATGGAATCGTAGATCTGTTGGCCGTTGCCGGAGTCGACCGTGATACCTCCTCGGCCGAATTGGCAATGCGTAATAGCGTCCGTTTGCTGATCGAAAGTCCGAACAATGAAACTGTCAACGTCGCTGTTGGTACCGATTAGCATCAGGAAGAGCAGGAGGGGAAAGAGTAGAAGCAGGAAGAGCAGGAGAGGAGTTGAAGAAGAAAGACGATCAGACGAAATTCAGAGCAGGTGGTAGACCTCTTCGCCCATCCCTCTGTGGAGAGGTCCCTAGTTTCCCAGTTTCCCCCTAAACATTATTAATATCATTAAATTATTAGTGTCAGTTTTAGTGTCCAGATCCATGTCCTTAGGCCATCTTCGAAAGAAACAAAATTAGGTTTTGTAAACATTATATATAAAATTAAACTATTTCGAAGGGGAAAAACCAGCGTTTTAAAATGGGGATATATGTTGGGTCTAACTAAATACAACAGAAATTAACATTATTATACTACGAAATTCAACTTTTTTGTTTTCTAGAAAAAAAACATTTAGGTTTGATGAATACTGGATATTTAAATCTAACAGCAAAATTGAAAGAGCTTGCCTACTAACCTTTGGGTGGCGTTTTACTTAAAAAAAAAAAAAAAAAAAATGACATTTCAAAAATTACATTTTGTGGAACATTTTTTGGCGTAAAACTTAATTTTACAGAATTTGAAGTTTTAATTTGTGTGTTTTGGTTACCTAATTTATTTTGTATTTATTTTGAATTTCTTCTGCAAAAAGTGAATTTAGGTTTGATGAATACTGGATATTTGAATGTAACAGCAAAATTGCGAGAGCTCTTCTACCGTCCTCTAGGAGGCGTTTTACATTAAAAAAAAATTTGCAACCGATTTTTTTAGAAATCTTTTTAAATATAACACTAAAATAACTATTAATTTAAAAGATGAGTAAATGATAATGATCTGGACTGTCATATGGTCAAAGCTTTAGCATACAGTGGGTTAATACCAATTTATAGTGCTAGAAAAAGCAGAATAAACGTCATTAGTTCTAGACTTATGAAAGCTCAGCAAACAATATTTATTTCGTGCAAAGCTCCTGTCGGAAAAGCTCTGGCCATATGACATTGGCAGTATCAAAAGTCGGTAGATATAAAAAACGTAATCGCAATCGTGTTCCCCAGTTGTTTACCAAACGTGAACGCAGCCGGAGATTAGTGGACGGAAAACCCGGGAAAAATGGCACTCAAGTTTGCAGCGAATCTAAACTTTCTTTTCACGGAGAGAGCGGCTACGATCGCGGAGCGGATTCGTCTGGCCCACCAAAGTGGATTCCGGGCTGTAGAGATCCCCTATCCCGAGGGCGAGACCGGCGACGTGGTGGCCGCTGTTAAGGAGACGGGCATTGTGGTCAGCCTGGTGAATCTGGCCTTTGACAAGACCAACGATCAGCTGCGTTTCGGCTCCACCAGTGTGCCGGGATCGGAAAAACTGTTTCGTAGCCAGCTGGATGCCACCATTGAGTTCGCCCGCCAGGTAAACTGCGGCAAGATTCACCTCACAGCCGGACTATTCAAGGGCGGACAGGAGAGCGACTATACGAAGACGTACACCTCGAATCTGAAAATCGCCGCCGATAGCCTCAGGGCGAAGCAGATGATCGGCGTGATAGAGCCAATTAACAAGTATGCCGTGCCCGGTTATTTCATGAACTCGTATGCCAAAGCCGCTGGAGTTCTGGCCGCTGTTGGCTCTGACAACATCCGGCTGCTGGCCGATCTCTACCATCTGCAGCACCTGCACGGCAACGTGTCCAAGACGCTGGAGGAGTACAAGGCCCTAATTGGTCACTTCCAGATTGCTCAGGTGCCGCATCGTCACGAGCCCGATGTTTCTGGTGAACTGGACTACAGCTATGTCTTCAAGGCCCTCCAGGAGTTCGGCTACGATGGCTGGGTGGGCTGTGAGTACAAACCCAAGACGACGACCGTGGAGGGCTTGAGCTGGGTGACCAAACTGGGCTACACACTGTAATCATCGGATCACAAGAGACACTAGGGATGGCATAGCATTTATAATGTATTTACACTTTTTACAAACATAAAACTGGTTAAACCAACCTTTAATTTACTTTACTTTGGTTTTAAGAACTCTACAAAGGTCAAATCAAGGTGACGATCCTCTTATCCTGCTCTTCAGAAGGCATTTTCGTGGCTCAACTTAAAGATAGTGAAAAACTAGATGAAAATTCTTTGATTAAATCAAAGTTTCCTGTTGAAAAAACGAAAATATAATAATAGATCCCTAGTATTAGAAGAAGCTGTCATGCTTCCGTCAAAAGGTCATGGAATTGACCTACAGCAAGTGTGGAATAAAACAGTAGCTAGGCATTCACGATTAGATAAGATTAGATAGCTAGCAGAGATCCACGTATCATCAGCCGTCACTCTCGCCTCGGATCACCCGCCGGGCATATTCTGCTATATGTAGCACGCCGTGCTCCGGAGAGGCGATGTGCAGGTTGTTACCATTGCAGAACTCCGTGTTGATATACGGATTGTGCAGTTCGGCTACCAAAGTGGAGCAAGCCGTAGAGGAGTCGCCTGTCGATTTTAGCATTTTCTGCAAAAAGAAAAAAGGCTTATGATTAGAAAATTGGATATCTGTTTACATGACTTGAGTAATTTAGTTAGCTAATTTAAAGGTCATATACGAACGATTCTGTCTAATAGTTTACTGGCATTTCACTAACTAACTGCTAAAGGTCAAGTCACTTTCCCCAAAAGGATAAACTCTGGGAAACCTTTTAAAGATTAATATAATTTCTCAAACTTGGTTATAAATCTATAAGTTACTCAAATTTGTTTATGTTTGCAATTAGCTAGTTCTATAAACGTAAGATCAGATTACAGGCACTGATAAAGATTGTCCTCATTATACTTATAGATAGTTATACCTCAGATAATATAACACAGCCTTAGTTTTAGTTAAAAGGCGCTTTTGTTATTTATAGAAAAACAATAAGATATTCAAAAACCTAAACCACAAGCTTATGACAAGACCTTAGCTGTGTATTAGAATGTTTTTGTCTGGTCAACTTTTATCTAATTTTTAGTGGCTTTGGTTTGTTAAGATAACTGTACCCTTGATCTATGCCCTTGAAAATCATGTTAATTATGCTAGAGGAAAGGTTCTTTCAAAATGATACCTTAAAAATGTATCATCTCTTAACAACTTACCATCCAGAATTCATTACCCGGCAGTGCGTTGCCATCCCAAGCATAGGACACAACTAGCAGCATTCCGACATGCTCAGGTTCAGTCAACTTCTGTGCCGGATTGCGTTTGGATATGAGCACCCTGATGCCGTCTTCAGGATGGCCAGGGATCTCTACAAGCGAACCGTTGCGCAGACCGCCGCAATCGGTGATCGAAAACCAGGAGAAGTGTACGAGGCCTACGTTTCTGAGCCTGTTGCCCAGCGTGCGCATGCGTTGTTCGAAGGTCTCCAAGAAGATGCGCTCCTGCTGAGCAGCAGCCTTCCACACGCCTAGGCCAAAGCCCACCACATGGATGTAGGCCAACTTTTTGACACGCTCTGCTCTTGCTTGCCCCTCCAGCAGCAGCATGTCGAAGCTGATGGCGTACCGCCGCTTCATCACCAGATTGTCAAAGACGTCTTGCTTATTCCGCGAGGGTCCGAATCGCTTGTTGTTGATGACAGCCTCGCCATGGATGAGATCTCTAGTGGCATAAAACCCGCGCCACAGACGCCGGTAGTCCTCCTCCCGCGTTCTAACCGGCTCATCCAAAGCCATCCCGTAACCATTTTGTCGCGAGTTCTGCTGGCGTGCGATGACAATGTCCTGGAATTCCATGAGATTGCGCCGCGACAACCGGGCTCCAATCATGCCCACTATGACCCCGCTCCGCTCCAAAGTCTTGGAGTCCCGATCTACGCGGCCGCAGTTGCTTCGTTCGCCCTCGTTGATGAACTCCGTATGAGAGCTCACGGAGAGCAAGGCAGACATCTTGATATCGTCATAGCTTAGCACATCGGCCAACACCAGAGGTTCCTTCTCTGACAATGTACCCACGGATTCAAATCCACTGGCCCCGGTCTCACGGCTCAGCAGCAGAAACTTGTCGTTGCGAGCAAAGAAGCTGGCACAGCGCTTCTCCAGCAGGCGCTGTACGAATCCGCAAAGGGACAATGCCCGGTAAATAGGCTTCTCCACGGAGTTCCCTGCAACCAGATGTGCGACATTTTACAAATGGTAATGGATTTGAACGAAATGCTCATTTACCCCAGTGGCACTTGTGCTCGAGGTACTGCAGATACAGGCCCAAGGTACGTTCATGTAGAACCGGATAAACAGATGCTACCTCCTCGTTAATCTTGCTCAGCCGCAGAGGAGATTGTCTCTTCACGCGGACGCTTTCTACGCCGAACTAAATGGGGGAGAAGCGATACCAGTTATAAAATGGTTCGACTAGGTGAAGTCTGAGTACCCACCTCCAGAGGAAACTCCTCGGATCTGGACATAAGCTTTCCCGCCTCATTGTCTCCAGCAACAGGCTTCTTTACCTGCCGGCATTCCTTTAGCAATTTGCATCCAAAATCGGTCAGTGGTTGGGAGTCCCCGGTGACCGCTGGCCAAACCTGGTCAACATCAGCTCCAAAGGTAGACATGGCTTCCGAATGGGTACGGATTTAATTTCACAATTGCATTTAAATGTTGTGGAGGTGGGGCTTGGGGCGGCATTTTATTAAGACCCAGTGTTATCGGTACCCAGTGTTTAACAATCAAAATTACAAATTGTTTGAGGCCTATCGATTGTTTAAAAAATTCTGAAAAATAAAATTATTATTTATGGTTTTTGAGATTCGTATGCAATTTTGTATATTATTTTATATAAATTTTACATTTGATTCAATTTATGTGTGAAAGTAAAAGATATTAGATATCGGGATCTTTCTTGATAACTTAAACCTGTGAACATGTCATAAGCTGTGTAAAATCGACTGTATGACCACACTTTAGCGGAAGAAAATCTCAAACCCGACTTTCCCACGCACGGCATTATTTTAACAACGGTTGATTCTGGTCACACTAAACCATAAGCAGATCCCGGTTGCTAAAAAAAATTTAATGAGCATTTTTTTTACGGAAACGCGAGCACGAAAGCCGAGCCACCAGCGAAAGGATTGTCAAAAAAGCCCGCCATTGCGCTGAGTAAGTAGCGTTTCCGGGAAAACTGTCGGTAAAGCCGGAAAAAGCACGGCAGACGGTGGAAATTGCGCGCGGCAAAAGACTAGCGACAAGCCACACACACACGGACGCACTCGCACAAAGCCGACGCACACACGCGCAGCGCATGCAAAAACCGAAACACAAACAAAAAATAACGCTATAATCGACCATAGGATACCCTATTTTTACAACAGAACCCAGTCAGAATGTGTGAATTTCAACAAGCGAAGATTACATTAAAACCAAGCTTGAAAAGTTACTTTTGGTAACCCTTTTTATAAGGAACACAATTTTAAAAGAAAAAACTAAGTCGGCTATATACTTATTAACTACTAAGCACTCTCTAAAAAGTCAAACTTAGTAAGTCTGGGTTAAAATTATGGAACAAGTAAAACTTCAAATAGAAACTCAATGTCATAAATCATTTATCCCTGGAACTATAAATTTTATATTAATCTGCATATTCAAATTTAAGCCGCTTTTCTTCAACAAGTGTCATAGTTAAACACGCGAATATATGTAGTTTGCTTATGTAAATCCGTAACTATCCAAAAACGTTTAAAATTTCACTGGGAATTCTGTTGTGAAGATCGATAAGCGATTGTTAGCTGCTAGAGTCTGAAACGCTCACCTGTTACACAAGTACATAACACCCTTTAAGGTCCAGCCATTAAAGCGAACCGAAACTGATGGTAATTTCTCTTTCGTCTCTTCTGCTTGCATCCGTGCCGCCGACTGGAAACTATCCACTTTAGCCCGGTGAACGACAAAAGATACTGTCTCCCCGCCCCGTCAACGCCTGCAGTCCGATTCACCGTTTTCCCGTCGCCTCGGCTGCCGCCATCCTCCGGGTGAAGATGTCCGATTACAGCGACCTGGACCGCCAGATCGAGCAGCTGAAACGCTGCGAGATCATTAAGGAGAACGAGGTTAAGGCCCTGTGCGCTAAGGCGCGCGAGATTCTAGTGGAGGAGGGCAATGTGCAGCGTGTGGACTCGCCGGTGACCGTATGTGGCGATATCCATGGACAGTTCTACGATCTGAAGGAGCTGTTTAAGGTTGGCGGCGATGTGCCCGAGAAGAACTACTTGTTCATGGGTGACTTCGTGGATCGCGGCTATTATAGCGTGGAAACATTCCTGCTGCTGTTAGCGTTGAAGGTACGTTATCCCGACCGCATCACGCTGATACGCGGCAACCATGAGTCGCGCCAGATCACGCAAGTGTACGGCTTTTACGACGAGTGCCTCCGCAAGTATGGCTCGACGGCCGTGTGGCGCTACTGCACAGAGATTTTCGACTACCTCAGCTTGTCGGCTATCATCGACGGCAAGATATTCTGCGTACACGGCGGCCTTTCGCCGTCCATTCAATATCTAGACCAGATCCGCAGCATCGATCGCAAGCAGGAAGTACCGCACGACGGGCCCATGTGCGATCTGCTCTGGAGCGATCCAGAGGATCAGACCGGCTGGGGCGTCTCGCCGCGCGGCGCTGGCTACCTTTTTGGCTCGGATGTGGTCTCCCAGTTCAACCGTACCAATGAGATCGACATGATTTGCCGTGCACACCAACTGGTGATGGAGGGCTTCAAGTGGCACTTCAACGAAACCGTCCTGACGGTATGGTCGGCGCCCAACTACTGCTATCGGTGAGTCATCTTCTTTTAAACTGTTGAATTCTCTTTAGTAACTTTCCTCGTCTTCCATTTGCAGCTGTGGCAATGTGGCTGCCATCTTGGAGCTGAACGAGTACCTGCATCGCGACTTCGTCATCTTCGAGGCGGCTCCACAGGAGAGTCGCGGCATACCCTCGAAGAAACCTCAGGCGGACTACTTCCTCTAAGACGGACGCAGTCACCACTTTCCGTTCCGGCAAACCTCACGAATGGACGCGGAGCGGCAGGTGGGTGGCCATGGGTGGCGGACACAAAACATTTAGGGAAAACAAAACTGCCAGCCTGCCTAAAAGCAAAGCAAACACGAACCGCAACTGCGACTGCAAGGGAAACAATTGTAAAATAAACGTAAGCTAGGATATCAAACTGGAGGCGGGCATACGCACTACATGTACACCCAAAGCAGACAGACATCTCGTTTCTTCTCTCCTTCATAATTTCATGGTTCATACGAACGATTGTGTATTACACTTAGATATACTTCTTTTTTTTTAACATGTGTTTATAGTCTACCTGTGTTTTATCTGGCGATTCGCGTTTTGTGGATGGCTATTTGTGCTGTTTGTGCGTGTTCGTGGAAGTCATCGAGTGTGTGTGGAGATCAAACCTGCGCATTGCATCTAGCTGCTAACTAATAGGATTAATGACCCTTGTCCGAGACTGCTGTGAATTCGCCTGGCGGAGACGGTCTGCAAACGCAAACGCAACAGCTGTCTTTTCGACGCGAATTCCCTCGTAGCGGACAGCTTAGTATACATATATAGACGTATGTAGGTTAAAGCAATAAGCTATATTGACCCACAGATTTCACAAAGTCGGCCGAAGATTATGAACGAAATAAGGAGTGTGCCGTGAGGAAACGTGCTAAGGTCGCCGTTATGTTTATTGGTTAGAAAACGACTTTGCATGCCTGAGACGGAATATCTCAGCAAGAAAACCGCTGGAAAAAAAAACCAGAAACGAAGAAGATTGTGTAGTAATTCGTAGAGAGTAATGATAACTTTTAAGTACACCCCAGATTGGGATATTATATGCAAATAATTATATGAACCTATATTTAAAATAAAGATTGTAAGCTGAACAACGAAATAGAGCTATATTTTGGGATCGGATCTCATGAGGTTATCTTGTACTCAAGATAAGTCCTTTTCCTCCTAACTCATTCCATTCAATAACCATTTTTTCTTTTGCAGTTTCTCACTTTATCAATTACTTACGGACTAATCATAGTATACACATAAAAAAAAAGTAGATGGTTGTATTCCATTTGGGGGCGCTTGTGATTCAGTAACGGGGTTCAGCATGGGTCTCAAGTCAGTTTTCAGTGTTCCTCCAGCTCCAGACCGTGCTCCTTCATTTGCTCGTAAATGCATGTCTCAAAGGCGACAGCAGCGTCGCAACTGGAATGGATGTGAAGGATTATGACACGGAACTGCAAAGACGAAACACTACTCACTGATCCTCAGATGCCTCGATGGCCTCGCACTTATCCGCTACCTCGGTGGCGGCATCCTCCTTCTCGGCATCGTGCTTGGCCAAGGCCTTGACCATTTCCACGGCATGCTCCTTGTTCACCTTGCCGGAGTCATCCATCTGCAATGGAAAAAGTTGGTAAGCAGAGTGAATGTGTCCTGCCGGTGAAGCACTTACAATCTGGAACTTCTTCAGCACGCAGGCGCGCAGGCACTTGCCCTTATGGCTTTCGGCCGCCTCGTGATTCATCATATGCTCCACATCCTCTGTAAAGGATAAGGCGTGAATGGGGAATCCAATCCTTTGCATCCTTCTCAAAATCCTGGCTACTCACCATCGGTGGCGCCCGTCTCAGCCTTGCATTCGTTGGCCAGCTCGGTGGCATGGTCCTTGGTCATCTCCTCGTGCGGCTTGGCAAAGGCGGCTCCCAGGCACACCAGACCGATAAGGAGCAGAACGGATAGATTGATCAGACGCGACATTTCGATTTGCGATTGAACAGCACGGCGTACGAACTCTAACTTGGATGCGAATCGCTGGCGCTGTCGGCGTTTTATAGGAGCTAAAGCTTAGGCCCAAGTCCCGTGATTGACTTGGCAGATCAAATCCATCGCTGATCTACAGCGTCGTCTCAAGCAGCTCCAGCAATTACCAGCAATTATGAACTACATGGGCAGCACATGACACTCTACTAGGCCGCTCTGGACACACGGGACGGGACGGTATGGGATCCGCCGGAGATGCCCTCGACTGGGCATCGTGTGAACAAGTGACACTCCACTCCACTGGAACTGGGAGAGATGAGATGGCCCACCAATCTCCACTTATTTGCTTAATTGGTGACTGGCATGAAATCGGTGGAAATCGTAATAGAAATGGAAATGGAAATGAAAATGCAAAATCCCGCTTGTAATTAAATCGATCAACAGCTCTGGGTGAGATGAGTGATAGTGACTGGTGGGGTCATCAAGCTATTATATTATTATATGGATTCCCATTCCCAGTTCCCTACTTCCCCCACCAAAAAAAAAAAAACCCATTAAAATTGACCGTTTAGGCCATAATATACCCTTGGATCTGCCCGTCGGTCTCCCAGCTTTGCCTGTCAGTTAGCCAGCTTTGCTTGTTCGCAATCTGTACTTCAGGTAGTATGTTTGCATTTCCAACGTGTGGAATTTTCAGAGCACGCAATCCATATTGCCCATTCCAATTTCAAACAGCTGAAATTGGATTACGATCAATATCGTGTGAGCATGTTGCATGCTAATTTTTCACTTCAATTAGTTTTAAGAAGGCTTACTAGACATCTCGATAAGGTTCCGTCAAATTTTGTTAACAAGTTGGCGATCTATTAACAAGTCGAAAGTCTCTGTGATGCGGTTGATATCTGAGCACTTTGGGAATTACTTATATTTTAAATTAGATATAATTTTCTGCTTTAGAAATTGTATTATAATCGCTATAGAAATATAAAAATGTAGTTCATTAGTTCGGAAACTAATCACTATCAATTTAATACAAACTAATTGGTCTACGAACTTAATCGTTTTCAGCTAAAATAAAAGGCCTATTAACTTTATTAAAAGGCTCATATTTATAACCAACTAGTTAATAGAGCTTTAAAAATTGTATCTTTTACACAAAATTAAGGCAACTTCTGATAAAGATGGATATACCTTCTAATAAAGAGATAGAAAATCAGTTTCTCTACAACTTTTCAGATTAAAGATCTACACTAATCCGATTGCCATTGTCTATAATGAACTGACATAGTCAAAGATCATCTCTGGAGCGTGACTTGTGGGGGCAACACTGAGAATGATGAACTTGACATTGGAAAATTTCGATGTGATCAGCAAAATCAAGCGAAAGAAATGCCATGCGCCGAAGAAAGTGTTAAGATCATGGGCTACTATATAAGCCAAGAACTAGAGTAAGTCTATAACCATACACCTAGACAGTGCCAAGATGAACTCATCTACCATTTCACTGATAACAATCGTAGTCGTAGCTCTGTTGCAGATGCACTGCATCCAGGGCCAGAGCCAGCCATTCGATATTACTAAGCTACTGCCCAAAAGCGGAACAGAGCCCATGTGGACTGTGATTAATCGGAACTTGCCGCAGGTGCAGGAGATGATAAGCACGGCCAGGAGGGAGTGCATTCAGAAGCTTCAGCTGCCTAAGGATCAACGTTCCCTCATGAAGGTATCCAATCCCAGCGAGAAGGAGAAGTGTCTTTCCGAATGTGTGCTCAAAAAGATCAAGCTGGTAAGTGGACTCAGGACAAAGGAGTAATATGTCATCTAATTCCTAATCCTTCTTCCTACCAATAAAAAACTTTTCCAGATGGACGACAACAACAAGCTAAACGTAAGTCAGGTGGAGAAGCTAACTAGTCTGGTGACCCAGGACAACAAGATGGCCATGGCCATTAGCTCTAGCATGGCCCAGGCCTGCAACCGCGGCATTGCGTCCAAGAACTCCTGCGAGGTGGCTCATCTCTTCAACCAGTGCATCGGCCGCCAGCTGGAGCGCAACAACGTCAAGTTGGTCTGGTAGATCCTTCTACTTCTATGATATCCATTAGCTTAATCCAGTAGTTTGGCCAATGAATCCACAATTTATTGTAGATCTTAATCATGGGTTTTTTTTATATATTTACTTTTTCTAAGCAGCGTTGTTTTGAAAGTTTGTAAAAGATATTAATAAATTTTAAAATACGATAACAAATTTATATTTTGAACTTGGTTAAGGAGTTAGCTTTTTGCTGAAATGATAATACCCTCTGTTAATGCCCCATTTGAGGTCTGCAAATCCACTTCCCACCCGGTAAGTATTCCTCATTTCGTTGGGCTGGGCGCTTTATTTTTGTAGGGAACCACTACGAGTTCTCGAGCTTTTTCTAATTAAATTCAACTTTACTAACACGAAAAAAAAAAATAGTAATGAACATGCAAATTGGGGGCCATCTCGATGACCTTATTCTTTGATTTCGGGAATCTTAAAGCCGGCGGAGCGCATCTCGCGCAGCATGCACATGGAGATGCCGTGGGCAGCTTCACACCTAAATTTGAAATACACAGAGAAGAAATTTATGAAATATGTGCTTAAAGATATTTTCATGGGCTACGATTTCAGGACACTATAGTCCTTACGAGCTCCACACTCACTTGTCCGTCTGACCCGCCATCTTCTCATTACAGGTCTTAATGATGCGCCTGCCTTCATCTTCACGATCCGGGAACATCATGTTAATCATCTCGACGGTCTTGTCCTCGTTGAACTGCATCTGGCCCTCGGGCATCAGCTCGAACTGCTCCAGCATGCACTGGCGGAAGCACTTGGACTCGTGCTTGGCATCCTCCTTATTTAGCACCATCTCAACGATATTTTCTGTGTATGGATAAAGTGTTACAAAAAGGATAACTGGAAATAGGAAGTTCCAATGGATTTACCCCTCGTTGGCTTGGGGGTGCAGCCATCGCCAAAGGGCTCAATCAGCTCCACCACCTCGTCCACGGTCATGGAGATCTCTTCCTCATCCGCCGCTGCCGATCCTATTAGGACTGCGGCGCAGGCCAGTGTCACCAAGAGTAGGTTTCTCATAGTCGTCATCCGGTTGATCTGCATCATTTTCGCTTCTCTTGTGGTTTATGGACGGCCAGCGATCGCCGTTGGACATTTTATACCCGTCATAATCGTGTCCGGCACATCCGGTACAAGCCAATCGCCTCGGATGTAGATCTCCCCGCGATAGCCATGACATTGCCAGGGCGGAACATGCAAGCGAAACCACACCCATCGCCGTCCAATCAAAATGCACCACAATTCTAAGGGTTAACCTTTATTGATCTGGTCGAAGGTTTTGGCTTTCGGGGCAGGGGAGGGCAGGGATTCTTTGGTCAATGGAATGTTATCGAATTTATCTGTTGCGAATGCGGATGCGAATGGGAAGCATTTCTGGTATCGGAAATTCCTAGGGAAACACGAACACCTTGATGTTACTCTTCAGGCACGAGAGCAACGCATGAGCGGGATCGCAATTGGGGGCGTTCTTTAGGCCCACAGTGGAGTCCTTGCACATATTGATACCCTTGCGGTACTCATCCTTGTAGCTATCCGGTAGCATGATATCCATCTGCTTAAGGGTTGACTCCAGCTGGAACTTGCCCTTCTTGATCTAAACGAAGACATTAATCTATTAATTTTCATTAAAAAAAGAAACAGAAAACATACCGCCTGCATCATTTCCATGATGCAGTTGATGTAGCAGTTGCTGTCCTTGCTATTTGGAATATTTCCATTGCGTATGTTGTCGGCCACCTCGACGCTGACCTTGGGAAACTTGGGCAGGCAGACATCGCGCATTAGTTTGCCAGCTGACCACATCTGTTCCTCGGTCACCTGAAAGTTGATAGTATCCATGAGGTGGCATCCTTTGGCTGGGAGTTTTCAGGACCTACCCCTGCCTCTGATCCGGGCAGCGATCCCGTGGATATGGCAACACAGATTAACAGCAAATGGAACTTCATTTTCGAGACGTTATTACGGATTTCCGATCTATTGGAGACTCCTTTTATATGCAACTGTTAACATGCAAATGACTTGATATTGGATTTAGCTAATAGCACATATTCGATCAAACCGTTAAGTAAGTGGGTGTGGGAATTATGGGTCAGCGCAAGTCTCCGCCCCACTACTTATTCATATAGCCAAATTTAAGGTGGGCCGAGGCGGTTCGTTATCTGGCTGGGCTATAATCTTGGCACATTAATTGACAGTATGGTGTTGGGTCACCATGCCAGGTGACATGCAAGGCGCGATTCTGGTGGAGATGGGTTGACAATCACATAGCCGGGCAGCATTTTTCAAACATGCAAATGAAAACTAGATATCAGCTTGAGGTTTGCTGTGGCAAGTAAGAGCCATATGGATACCTGGCTTAGGGAATATGCAAATTGTACATTCTTTTATAAAGTTAGTTAAAATTATCATAATGGTAAATTAATTTATACCCCTGATCGGCCATTAAAAGCATCTAATATTGAATATTATTAAAATATTCGATAGTAAATCCAATATGTGTACAGTCTGGTATACCCTTTAAGCCTAGGCAATACCCTGTATAGAAATAACAAGGTATAGTTGACAGCCATTTAAATTAGTTGCAAGTTGCCATTTATTAAGTGAATATATTTCAATTTTGCATTCTCTGCGGATAATGACGTTAATATGGTGTTGCGTGTGTCATGAACAAACATCTTCGTAAGAGATACCTGTAATTAATACCAAATATTAATTCAATTTATTAAAAAAAAAGATTATTGTTTAATATATTTCATTTCTGCAGCTAATAGAATAGTATTAGTAAAGATATAGATAACGAGGCGGCCTTGTCGATTGTGATTTTAATTTTAGCTGACGTTACTAAAATTCCAACTCAAAGCCCAATCGAAAACCTCGAAAAAGTATAAGTCGAATATTGTATCAAAATTTTAATACCTTGCCCCCGATTGCATCGAATACCGGTATCCACAACGATCTCAAAATGTCCGAGCAGTTCAATTTTACCGAGGCTTTTAACAGTCAAACTATGCGTGGACGCGCCAATGTAAGTAATCATTTCACCTCGACAGAGAATCCTATTATTTCCGCCTCAACAACAACAACCATCTCCCACAGGTAGCCAAGGCCACCTGGGCTTCGGTGGGTCTGGTCTACGTTCTGGTCAAGATGCATCGCCGTAACTCGAAGCGTCGCGAGGCCAAGCTCTACTGCAAGGGCTGCCAGCAGGCGCTCCTACATGGCTAAGGGGGCGTTACCAGCCAATCCATGTCCAATCCTCCTCGAAGACCTTAAAAATCATCAGATCAGATCAGCCATCCACCAGACCCCACTCCAGACATCAATTTTAAAGCATTGCCAAAACCCGTGTACACACTTTTGTCGAGTCAATAAATTTCAAATCTTGACAATGAAAGAGATTTTTTGTTTTTCAAGCAGGCGTAGACATTGACTTCTAGTACTTTCATTCCCTTTCATTCAGGCCCTTGTCCGGAGACTTAACAAAAACACCTCGCACCCAGACTCAATACCAGATCCTAAATTCCAGATTCCAAGCTCCCAACGACTAAAAGATGGCAGAAGGCTTCAAGAAGTACTTCAATGGGACAACCATCAATGGGCGTGCTAACGTAAGATTGTTTTTTAAATACTTTTAAAGCCGGTTGCATTTGTGATACTTTATGATACTACGGATCATAACTCGTGATTCCATCTTCGATAGATGGAATATATAACTATACAGATATAGCTTAACTTGCTTTTAATCGTTAAAACTACTTCCGTTCCTCCTTTCCTCCAGGTGGCTAAGGCCACGTACGCCACAGTGGCCCTGCTCTTTATCCTTTACCGGATGCGCCGTGGATCTGGAAAGTCAAGCGAATTGGGCAACGGCAAGTGCAGCTGCGATGCGGACCAGAATCCGTCAGTCAATAGTGATATTGGCGTCTATGAAGTGGACCCCGATTGCTCCACCTGTCGGGAACGAGCTGAGCGAGCGATGACCGAGTACGATCGCGAGCAGCAACGACGGTCGGCTGCCCAAGATGATGAGGGCTGCCGCGACGATCCCCCGCCGCCACCTTCGCCACCCGCAACCGGTGGAGCTGGGTCTGCTCCGCGTCGCAAGTGTCCTTGCGAGGAGCGTCCGCGACGAACTGAAGGAGCCGTGAAGCATAGCAGCCACATTAGCAGGGCGCGAAGAGAGCATATGCAGCCGCCCCAACAGTACCACCAGTACATGCAGAACGAGGCGGATCATGTGCGTCCGGTCAGTCAAGTGATGGGTCAAGTGCACGACGCCTTTTATCGGGTTCTGCGAGGTGTCGTTGGGGCTGTGCTAGGTAACGCAGCGGTCAGCACTAGCGGTACCGCCGCCGATGTTCCGGCTCAGACAGTTCGAGTCTCTACCGATGAGCTAGAAGAGGACGAGCGCGACGACGGCCAGGATTACGAGAACAGCGAAGAGTCGCCGTTGAAACGCCGCACCACTCCGCGCTCCTTTGCAGCCTCTGGAAGTAGTCAGGAAAACGCCTCGGGGCAGCCGGAGGAACAGGCTAGTGTCAAGCCGGAGGAACGGGCGGAATATAGCGCCTTTAGCGATGGCTTTGCCTCCGGCCTGTACTTCACCAGCGACAAGAAGTAAGCGGCGAGCGACTAAGATATCCTCACAAGGCCCAGACTTTTTGGAATCTGCAAAATTTTAAGTTTTAAATAAAAACGAAGAAAAAGATAAACCATAATTATCCTTAATTCGTATTACTCTAAGTTAGTTAAGTCAGGCCTATAAAACCGATAGTACGAATTGGTTTTCTTGGTATTTTTATTTAGCTTTCAGTTTATTTCAGATAGAGTTTTCTTTGCGGCGCCTGGAGGGCGCATCTAACTTTTGAATAGATCATCATTAGAAACGGATTTAGCCCTTTTGTGTTTCGTTTTTTTTTTTTTTGTTTAGGGTTATTAATATCAATTAGCTTATTAACTGTTTTGGGCAGGGTTCGGACTCGGGTTGGATGGGAATGGTTTGGTTTGCGTCTAACGTTTAAGCCTTGTGTATAATTATGAGTGGACTTCAACTAACATTTATATTTAAATTTATATGTATATATATAATATAATATGGAAATAACTTTAACGCTTTGCTTTTTGGTTTCATTACGCGATCAGCCGATCGTCTCTCGCCGTCTATCTGTCTCTCTCTCTTCACCTTCCCTTCATCGCTAGCCACATTCCTCCTTCTTCTTCTTCTCGTTCGTCATCTCTCTCAGATTCAAGTGCTAATTTAAAATATATATCTATACGTGTATATATGTGTACGTGTCGCGTGAGTGGGTTTAACTTGAAGGCTTCGTGTGTCCTAGTGGGTGAGGATCCTAAACTGTTGGGAGATTCTCCAGTTTACCAAGGTCTTCGATAGACACTTGCTTATTTGTTCGGTTTTTGTTTTCGGTTTTCGGTTTTCGGTTATCAGGTCAGGCGGTTTGGGCGAGTTTGGTCTGGATGGACAGTGGGTGCTTAACCATCGTGGCTTGCCACCGACTCTAGGTCGCTGTTGTCCTCGCTGCCGGTTGCCTCGGTGGGTTCGCCCATGGCCACACGTGCATACTCGTCCGTGTCGATGCTCTTGCAGAAGTGTATGGCATACTTGAGCTTCTCCAGAAGTACGACCTGAAAGCAATAGGTTTTGGTATCATTTTAATCCTGCATTAGCTGCATCGTTTACTGCCTTACCTTGCACGAGTAGCGGGGCATCTTGAGTAGAAAGAAGCAGGTATAGCTCTCGGGCAGGAAATGGTCTGGCGGATTCTTCTCGAGCACTTGCAGCACAAAGTCACGGCCCCGGAAGTCGGCAATGGTGCGCGGCAATCGAGTGCGACCCCAGACGAAGCGCAGGAACAGAGAGCGCTCCTGGAAATTATAAGATAAGATGATAGTAAGAACGGATTTTATATATTTTGTTGAATGTATAGATGAACCCACCTGATTCGTGAACTCCTCCATCACCTCCCAGAACCAGGTGACCAGGGCTGAGCTCGGGTCGAAGCCCTTGTATGTGGCCACCGACTTAAGCAGCCCCAGTGGGATATCCGGAGAACCGCAGACCATCGCCTGCAACTCCGCGGCGGAGAAAAGCGAAAGCAAAGGCACTGGAATCACCTTGGACATGCCGTCCCGTACCGCCTTTACTTGCTCATCGAACTCGTGCAGACGGAATCCGAGGGCCAGGCGGACGTATTCCGCCCGGTTTCTGGGCGAGATGTGCGTATAGCGTGTGGACAGCGGCACCTCGTGGCCACGGGCCGAGGACGTTGAGAAAGGCAGCTCAAGTGTATTGAACAGTTTGGGATCGTCGTCCATGTTACGGATACAGAGCAGCCCGGCCACATAGTCGCGGTCCACCTCGGTGAGATCTGTGGGTCGCAAGACCTCGCCGGTCAGCTGTCGCCAGACAGGCTCCGCCAAACTAGAAAGTTAGAAGACAATGGTTTAGGTGTCATAACCAAGGTTACGCTTCAATGGTACTCACTTGATACTCAGCGGCGATCCGGTGCGTACGGCGATGCCCATGAGCACACCCAGAAAGCGGAACATGTTCATCTGTAGCACCGAGGACAGGGTGGGGTCCAGCAGGAAGCAGTCACGGTTGGCGCCTGCCTCGCCGCGTCCATTGGGCGTGCTTATCAGGAGCGGTACGCTGCCATTCTGCAGCTCATCGCACATCTCGGCGATCGACTCGCTGTAGCCGCCGCCACAGTCGTCCACACTCTCACCAACAAACTTGACCTTCCAGACTCGGTGGGGTAGAGCCAGCGCTTCTTGGGTGAGCAGCGGCAGCTTCTGCACCATCTGGCCGAAGACGCTCTTCATCCCATCGACGCCGGCCAGACCATTGCATCGACTGCGTGACCTCTTCACCTGGATGCGGTTCAGTTCGATGACAGGTCCATGCTGCTTGTCTCGCACCATCGTCGTTTGGATGACTTTCCGGAAGGCCGCCTCCTTAATGTTGTACACGAGAACATCCTTCAATGCGCCCAGGCTCAAGTCGCCCGAAATAGGCAGCATGGCCAGGCAGGGACATACTAGCTCCGAGAAGTGATGGAGTAGAATGAGGCGGGCATGCAGTGCTTCCGGTGCCAGATCCCGTACAAGGTCATACTCCAGCGGAGGATTTGGCAGCGGACGAAGTCGCTCGCTTAGCTGCGATGTTGATAGGGCCAGGGTATGGGCAGATCCGCAGGTTACCTTCACAATATGCTTGCCCTCGAGAGCGGACACCAGGCGCGGCCGCTGGATGGCTGTGACGGTGTTGTCTCCCAGCTGTCCCTCGTCGTTGTCGCCCCAGGTGTACACCTCGCCGGAATCACTGCAGGCAACGCAATGCAGTGAGCCAGTGGCGATGGAAATGATCTTCTTGCCCTGCAAAGCGGCCACCTTCTTGGGCCGGCGGACATGATCCACGGATCCGTGGCCCAGTCGATGGAAGTCACCCTTGCCCCAGGTGTACACTGCACCAGATTTCGTAAGAGCCACCGAGAACTGCGAACCGCACTCAACTTTAACCACTCCCAGTCCAGCTAGACTCTCGATCTTGTACGGCAGCTTGCAGCCGTCGCTTCCTCCACGTCCCAGTTTACCATAGTCGCCATCGCCCCAACTCCACACGTTGTCGTCGTCTGTTATGCACAGCGTCTGAGCATCTCCAGAGCCGCATGCGATGTCGATGGCTCGGTATCCAAGCAGGGCTTCCACCAACTTAGGTCGCAGCTGGTCCTCGGAGTCGCCATGTCCAAGTCTGCCATAGCGTCCCTTGCCCCAGGTGAGGACATGACCACTGGCCGTAATCGCCGCTGAGTGGGCACTGCCACAGGCGATATCCGCCACGCTCATCCCGGTGAGATGTTCTACCAATTTCGGCCGATCGTAGCTCATCCTGTTTCCGTGGCCTAGCTTTCCGTCTTCACCCTCGCCCCAGGCGTATACTTCACCTTCGGTAGTCAACGCCAGGCAGTGCTTTCCACCAGAGTTCACGGCTACCTTCTTGACAAACACATGCTGCAGGGATCCCAATAGGGTGGGAATGGCCCAGCTATCACTTCCTCCGACGCCCAGTCTTCCTCCGGATCCGTATCCCGTGGCAAAAAGCTTGCCATCGGGCGTTACGGCGAACAGGGATTGCTCTCCGCCGGCCAACTGAACAGGACGAAGCAGGCTGAGCGCCTCGCAGGGCGTAGGCGTCTTGATCCGGCTACCTTCCAAGCCGCCAAGCTGCCCACGGTGGTTGTGACCCCATCCGTAAATGGTGCTAGCTCCACCCCAACTAAGGGCCCAGTCATCGGGTCTCCGGTTGAGCCACTGCAGCAGTTGGGCGTCGTGAGGCGCTTGAAACATGGTGTGATCCTCGTGGAGTAATGTGCTGGTGGAGTCCAATTGGTGGGCATGGCAGTGCACATCCTGGTGTTCGCTGATAGGCGGTGGGGACACATTGCTAGCCGTGCTGGACGACAGTGAGGTTGTGGAGTTTAACATGGAGGCTCCAGGCGAATGACCACCGGGATTGGGATTCGAGGTTACAGTGGGTAGCATTTCGCAGAATTTCTTGCGCACCTCCAGGCAAAATGCTCGAGGCAGCTCTGTACGCCGAATAAGGGATTGGGCCACTCTAACGGCGATACAGTAGCGCTTGAACCAGGCCCACTTGTGCACGTCCCCGGTCGATGAGGTGGAACCCGTAGCTGCCGTAGAGGATGATGAAGTAGCGGGCAGCGTGGCATCCAGCTGCATATCGCAGGCCAGGGCAGCCAGAGTTTTGAAGTAATCCGAATGCATCAGATGGATGCCACCGCGCACCTGTGGCTCCTCATATTCGTACTGGCGCAATAGCTCCGGTATTAATGGCTTGAGCAGTGCGGACAGCGATGGATCCTGTGGACGGGGAGCCTGTTCCAGCAGGAGAACAGCATGCAATTTGCGCAGAGACCATATCCTCTGGGCGGTAGTAAGGACTCCCAGTTGAGAGCAAGCTGCCAGGGCGGAGGCCAAACGAAGTAGAACACTTGGTTGTCGAGGAGCGAGCCGGGAATCTAACAATGACATGACCAGCGCCATCGACGGTTGCGAGAGCACCGCCCGATCCGATCCACTTTCGCAGAGCGTGGCCGCCGGCATAATGGCATGTACCCAGAAACGCCAACCCCATCCATTCACCGAACTATCCGAGGAGAACTTCCAGCGCAGCTCATCGCCTGGCACGCGAATCTCCGGAGCCCAATGGGAAAACTCACGGCCGGAACGCATGGCCAGCACCCGACCAGTGCCGTCCATGATCACCAGTGGATCGTTACGCTTCTCAGTGCTGCACTGGCTGTCAAACTCCAGGCGCAGCATTTCCGCACCGGGGATCCGGACAACTCCGGTCACGTTTACGTTATCCACGTACGGGTGACTGCTCTCCTGCATAACTGGTTTGGGCAACTTACCCAGGCAGTGGCGTGAGGTGCAAAGATCTTCCAGTTCCGTAATGCATGTCTCAAGGAGCATCGCTGCCACCGGCGGTGATCCAGCTCCCAAGGAGATTAGAGTGTCGCCGATGGTCTGAGCGGTGCTCGGAGGACCGCATCGTCCGCACACAGCCAGTTTAAGCAGCTCCACCAGGCTCTTTGCCTCTGGTTCACCCAGCAATCCACCGAAGTCATCCAGACCATGGCACTGCCCAATGTGGGATAGTATCTCCTCCTGTTGCGTCATTGTGGCGGCCATTACGGACATTGCGCTGGCCGACATACGGGATTGCTTGTGCTGGGGCAAGGCACTACTGGAAAGCGACCCCGACATTGACAGGGATCCGGTTAAGCTCTGAAAGGCGCTCAGTGGGCCAGCGGTAAGTGGTGGCAGTGTAGCGGCCCCACTGGAAACTCCTCCAGTCATCAAATCTATGGCAGCCTCGGGACTGTGCTCCTGCAGAGCGGCATCTGTGGCATCGGCCGGCGCCTCTCCACCTCCCTGGGCAATCGTTTCCGCCAGTTGCATAGGTGCTCCCATCATGGTTCCACCAGCAAGTTGCTCTTCCTCGGAACCGGCCACACCGCGCTCCTTGTAGTTCACCTTGCTGTGGCTGGTGAGTGCGGCCACGATGAGCTGTCGTGCCTGCAGGATGCTCATGGCACGGAGCACGTGACCCAAAGCCGCCTGTCTGGCAGCTGGTGTCTCCAAGGCCAGGCTCTCGCTTAAGCTAGATTGATTCATGGGCTTGCTCTCCTGCTTCAGGGTCTGCACCGTTTCCGCTTCATATATGCCCAGGCTGCTTCCTCCCAAGGGATCCCGCGTGCTGCCAAAGGGCACTGGTCCTCGCTTTTCCTCATCCAAGGATGCATTCGGCAGTCCCCAGGCGATGGAGTGCGAACTCCCACAGGCCACCCGATTCACAAACACCGCATCCAATCCGATGACCAAAGCCGGCTTCTTATTCACTGACGTGTTGCCACTGCCCTGCTGCCCATGATCGTTGTCTCCCCAGGCGTACACCTGACCAGCATCCGTGACAGCTAGACAGTGCAGTGCACCTACGGCCACATGGATGACCCGACGGCCCTGAAGTCCTCCGATGGGCTGAGGTTTGCGCACGTGTTGATCACCGCCATGGCCCAAGCGGTAGTAATCACCTTTGCCCCAGGTCCACACTTCGCCGGCTCGCGTAAGAGCCAAGCTAAACTGGGCGCCACACTCGATCTGCACCACTCCGATCACCGAGAGCCGTTCGATTTCGTGTGGAGTGTCAGAGCCTTCACTGCCGCCGCGTCCTAGTTTGCCGAAATCTCCGTCACCCCATGAGAAGACGGCTCCGTCTTCTGTCAAGGCAAGGGTTTGAGCATCCCGACTTCCGCAGGCTACTTGAATGACTCTTCTTCCAGCCAATGCTGCCACCAACTTGGGCTTCAGTTGGGTGGCATTGTCTCCATGGCCCAAACGTCCGTACTCTCCCAGTCCCCAGGTGTAGAGCTCACCCTGACTGCTAATGGCCGCCGAGTGAGATGAGCCACATGCCACATCGCGGATCTTCTTGGCTCTCAGCGCTTCCACCAGTCGTGGTTTGTCCAGCGTTGTTCGGTTACCATGGCCAAGTTTACCATCCTCGCCTTCGCCCCAGGAGAATACCTTGCCATCAAGCGTAAGAGCGAGTGCATGCTTGCCGCCGGAGTGCACGGCCACCTTTTTAACGACATACTGATGCAACACGGGCAGCTGATGAGGCAGTGGCACATTGTGGGTCACTCCGAGACCAAGACGTCCGTTGGTTCCTTCGCCGCATGCATAGACCTTTCCGTCCTGACTCACAATGAACAAGCTTTTGGATCCACCAGCGATGTGAATGGGACGCAGACGACTGATGGTTTGCGAGAATGTCGGAACCTTAACCTTGGAGCCCTTGAGGCCGCCCAGCTGCTCCTTATCGTTTAGGCCCCATACCATAACGGTGCAGGGACGATCTTGCTCTGGTGCCGCTCCTACTTCTCCAAGGGATGTGCTAACCGCTCCAGCTCCTGTTGCCGATCCAGGGCCCACTCCGGCACTGTATTCGCTGGCCAGGAACTGGGCGTTTGCCAGAATGTGCTGCAGATCTGGTTGCTGGCGTCGTCCTACGAACTTGATGCCGTGAATCTTACACTGTATGCCGTTGTTTTGGCACTGCTTGACCACTATTTCCACCCACGGATAGTACGTGGGCACCTGCTGCATTAATAGCACTCGGCTCGCACCAGCCGGCACAGGGATCCAGGTGTACTCCTTCAGGCTGTCAACGCACTCCCCCACACGGATCTCCAGCAGCGACGGCATGTGCGAGTGATCCTCTGGACTAACTTTTAATGAGAGGCTGTGGACAAGGATTCGATCGTGCAGCTCTAGTCGGATCCAATGGCGACAAGGGCCGCTGGAGCAGCTTTGCCATGGCAGGTTGCTGCCGTTCAGCAGATGCTTGGCAGCCGCCTCATTGGAACTCACGGTCAGGGAACGAATGCAACGCGACCAGTCCTCGATGAGATCGGTGGGCACTACCTGGTTGGTGGAATCACTTAAGGGAGCAATTGAGGTGGGCACTGGGGCCACCAATTCCACCTCATTGATGTGACCTTGCCATGCTGGCATATCCGGAAAGTCCACAGTGAGTTGTTTGCTGCGCACTGAGCTCACTACTCCTATGGCCGCTGATCCCTGGCTCCTGCCCAGACGCACTTGGCAGAGCATTCCGTATCGGAGCGAGGAGTTGCGCAGCCTTACACGTGCACCCACTGCAATGGGCGGAGGACGCGGTTGGTGCTGGCCCATCGACGTTTCCACCAGTTCGATGTGAACGAAGCAAACCCAGTAGGTACTTCCATGGTTGCGCCAGTCGACTTGAACGTTCAGATCGTGAAGTCCCTCAGTGTCCACGATGAGTACGGTTCCCATATCACCTTGCTTGATCTCCTCAAAGTCCCGACAGCAGCGCACCGTCATTCCTGGGCGAACCAGTCCTCGCACGTACAAGGCGTAGAGATCAACATTCAGGAAATCCTTGCGAGATTCGAATTTCACGAACGAAGGAGTCTCACTGTTGGCCACCGGTTGGCCCTCAACTGTATCTGAGGAGGAGGACGAGGTTGTTGAATTCGAACTGGGACACTCATTGTCCGAATCCGCCTCTGGATCATGCGGCGCAGTCAAAGATGGCAGTGGCAGCGTGTCCTCTTCGATGGTATTGGCACACACGTCCGGATGCTCTAGAATCCACTGCACTATCTGTTCAGGAGTGGGCATGATCTCCGCTTGCAGCGATAGTTGTTTGAGAGCCAATTCTACGGTGCGACGGGTGAATCCCATCTCCATAATCTGTCCGATTAGCTGGGCATCGGTTGGCCACTTAACCTTGGGCTCCGCTTGCTCCGTCGGCTTCTGCTCCTTCTTAGCCACATTATAGACAGGCACTCCATGCACCATTGTCGGCTGAGGGAGTGTGGACAGGGCATGGGTGTTTGGAGGTACGCCGCCACCCTCGCTCAATTCCTGGTGAGCCTGAGTGGCCAGAGATTGAATGCAATTAAGGGCCGCTGTGGCTAGATCCATGTAGCTATAACAGGCCTTCACTGGAGATGCCTGGGTGGCTCGCAAAAGGATGCACTGTATCAAGAGCTGGGCCTCCTGGCCACTTCCTGCGGACATCTGCTGCTCCTGGTCCTGTTCTCCTGTCTGCTGCGACTCCGGATCGCTTCGGTCTGGTTCTTCAGGAGATGCATAAATGCTGCCTGGAGCTCGTTGCTTAAGGATGCGACGCAAAGCGACTTGATGGCGGTATAAAACCCCGTTCGTATGCAGCACCGCCATTTGCAGCTGCTGGGCTCGAAGCAGGGCCAAGTCCAGGCGACCATCCGAGTTGCTCGGGAGCTCTCGAAGTTCTGGTGCTGGCCCGTAAAGCAGCACCGTCCAAGCATTTAGCAGCATTTCATTCATAGGCAAGCGGCTCAGACTAAATACACTGTGATCCAGATGGGGCATCACAGCCGGCAGTTGCACCTTTACGAATCCCATGCCAGATCCGACACCTCCGGGCGCTAAAAGACACCGACCTTTTGGCGTAAAGCTAGCGATAACCATTTGGCTACCCTCGTGAAAACAATGGAGGCCCACGCGTGGTCGTAGATCGTGTCCTCCCATGGCACCTAGTACACCTAGCACAAATACCTGTTCTTTGTCCAGCGGCGTTGAATGTGGTGATTGCTCGGCCAGCAGTTCAGCGGCTACGCAAAGTTTCTGCGCCAAGAAGGAGTTGATGACTGGGTTCCAGGACGGCAGAGTGTGCAGGCGGCGAAGTAGTGCCACCAGCTCCTCAGCTACGCTACCCGAATGGGAGGCGGTCAGCAGAACGCGTGCTTTGCCCTCGGCCGTGGGTAGAAGACTGACATCACCCGGACAGTGAAGCGCAATTCGTCCCAGCGTGGCGAACAGTTGATGGACCAAGGCGGGCATGCGTGGCTCCTCCTCGGTGCCCCACTGCGCCAGGATGAACTGCAGTAGGCGCAGGCAGTGAAGCTGCCGGTAGACGCCCGCCTCATTGCCAGCTGGCTGTTCCAGCAGGGACAAGTAGTGACTCAACCAGCCAGGTGTACTTAGCTCCAGGCAAAGTCGTGGGCAATCACCTAAAGAAGTAAATATATTTAGATTATTCCTGAAATATGTCCGCATATTGAATCTTGGTATTGAAGATACTCACCAGATATGGCACGGATAAAGCCCAGGTTCAGCCATCCCAACGAATGAGAGATGTTGGACATCGATGGCTTCGGGTAGATAATGGCCCGGAACATACTAGTCATACCACGAAGGGCATGCTTATCTAGTTGAGCGCCATGCAGACCGCTTCCTACGGCCAAGATCTGAAGAAGCTTGGCGGCACAGTGCCGGAGCAATTTCGATGGGTGCGAATCACTGCTGGGAGAAGCTTCGCTACCAGAGACATCCTCCCGTTCAGGTTCCGTGGGTGAGGCAACATTAAGAGCACTGTCAGCCAACTGAAGATCGTATTGGCCCTCTTTACCCATACGATAAGAGTTAGTGGCTCCCGTGTACCATTCCACACGAACCCATCTGGAAAAAGAACGTAATTATAGTTGCAGAATCAGGAGCAGGGATTAGTCACAAAACTTACCCGTCCTCGCCCACTTCACTAATGATGCGCCCCTCGCCGGGTGGATTGCCATCCTGATCACCCCACTTCCAGTCCGCTCCCCTTACGATCCTGGTGCCGATCTTCATCAACTTTGCTAGATCGGGACCACTAAGCTGCGCCTTACTAGACTTCTGCTTTAGGACGCTGTCTTCGTAGAGGATACTCAATTCGCCGTGCACTTGACCGCCGGTCGCGCCCTCACCGCCAGTTTGCGCCAGCAGTCCGAGAACGGTGCCTAGCAGGCCGGAGTTGATGAGAAGACCCAACTCGTTAGGGCCAAGCTCTTTGGCCAATAACCCGAATACACTCAGAAGAAAACGGGCACGTGGCAGGCGCTTCAACAGTACATAAGTGCCCAGATTAGTGCTGTCCTTGCCGCGGGCGTGACCCTGCTGTTCTTGGTTTACTAGCCGGCGTAGCTCTCGGACCGCCCAGTCAAGGACGCGGGCTTGTGCCAGCAGTAACCTCGCCTTCTGATAGGCACTTATCATGTTCAGCTGGCCAAGAACATGCAGAGAGCTCCCTGATCCAGCAGATCCTCCTCCAGTGGATGTGGATTTTAAATGCAGTCCGAGAAAACCATTTAGTAGGCTGTACTGAGCAGCGTCCAACAGTCCATGCAGTTCAAGCAATTGCTGGACAAGTTGCAGACCAGCTAGCCTTAGCTGGTATCGCTGCATCTGGCAGTACATGGCTCGACGTGCCGTTTCTACATCACAGCTGTCCTGCAGAGCAAAGTCCACAATGTCCTGCATGAGTCCCGGATCCAACTCTCCTTCTCCATGGATCTGGCGTTCATTTAGCCGACGCAGAAGCGATTCCTCCTCCTCTTGCTCCTCTAGCTCCTGTTTGGGCATAGCCTGCGGCTTTTTTTCTTGCTCCTGCTGAATTGTGGCATTGACGAGATCCTCGGGTTTGGCAGGCTGCCGCGAAGAGCGTAACTCCTGGAGAAGCCGACGCACCAGCATTCGGAAGCGAGGTGGTCGCTGCAGAATCGGTAAACGTCGTAATCCACGCTGCTGAGGACTAATAGCCGGGCGCACCTCATAGAGCAGGAATCGTAGGCGCTCCAGGATTGGGGCACAAACCTCCTTGTAGCTGCGGTTTAGCTGCTGCCTTGTGCGAACGACGGACCACTTCGCTTGGTGCACCAGACGAATAATTTCGCCGAGTTGTCTTGGCGGTGGTGTTTCTGTTTCTAAAGCGTTTAGCACCAGACCGCCGAGATACTGGTGCCGGATGAGCACGGCGCTTAGCAAGCGCTCCAGCTCTTGGACGGGATGTTCTGTGGCGAACTCCTGGTGCCACATCAAGTTGTGCGCTTTACAGTAGCGCTCAGTTAGCGCCAACCAAGCAGCCACGGGTGGCTCGGAAAGCCGCGCTTCTGCCAAGCCGCTGATAAAAGCATCTGCCCGCTGTTGCAGTTGGGATTTTCCTCGTCCCGGAGCGAGTTGCTGTTGCAGCGGCAATGGGGGCGGCATCTCAGTAGGTGTGTTACCTGCTGTGCTGTGACAACTATGACTGCTACGTGCCTCGCCCTTCTCCTCGTCGAACGGATTACTCGGTTGAAGAAGCTGCAAGCCACCGCTCAACAGGCTTGACTTGTCGAGCTGGCGGCACTGTAGTTCCGCTGGCTGCAGGGCTGGTCCGCTGCACATCAGGTTGGCAACTAGTCCAAGCAGCTGTGCTAGAGCACATTCCGAGCTAAAGTGCGTAAGCCGGCTGGGTCCAGGCGTCGATGACTAAAATGGATTAAACATTTAGATTAGTAAAAAGTATCAAACTTTTAATTTGATATTTTACCTTCTCTTCGGTGTTAGCCTGAGCCATGTATTTGCCCAGCTTATGATGCTGGAGAATGTGTTCCATAGCGCTCCTGTGCACCTGACTGCTCATCTCTGCCGTAAGGTCCTTGCCCAAGCCTGAATCTAAAATGTTACGTAGTGTTTCCGACTCGCAGCTGCAATGTGACAATACCAAAAGCAATGCTTAAGAATTGATTCCAAGTAAGATTGTCCACGTTAATTTACTCACTTATAACCACTCAGATCGCAAACATAGCCGGCCATGATGATGCAGCGACTTCCATCTAGCAGCAGATTCTCCATGTCCGCTCGGCGCACATAGTGGGTTTCAGGGTCAGCTGGCGGGGGTCCGCCTTTGGGTCCACCTCGACATATGATGCCGGGCCAACCCATGTCGTCACCATCTCGCAGTTCTCCCTCGCCAAGCGCTCGATTGAGTCTATCCAGGACGCGAAGTAGTGGCAGAAACAGCCTGGCCCAACGCAAACCACCCAGGCACTGGGGACGATCACGTTTAAGGAGCACCAGACCTACCAGTAACTCGTGCAACAGGGCATCGGAAATGTCGGCTTGAAGGACACGGCCAAGATGGCCTACCTGATGGCTAAGGGAATGTTCACCCGGCTCCCGACACTGCACTGCTAGCTCATGAGCCTTTTGCAAAGTTGTGACGCAGGCAGGGATCAGAACGTGTAGGTATTGCAGCAACAACGCTTCGGCGCCAGTGGTTTCTTCCTCGGCTTCCGCCTGGTGTATGTGGGCCAGTAGTAAACGTTGGAAGCGATGCAATAGACTCAAACTGGGACTAGTGCTCGGCTCATGGTGCTGTTGCTCGCGCTCTTCCTCTTCCTTCTCCTGCTGCTTGCCCAGAGTAGGCGACAGTTGGGTTTGGGAAAGCGCGGCGTTGTTGCCAAGCAGTCGTGTAATTAGTTGGAGCAAAGGCAAATGCACACCATCGCCACAGTCCGCCGAGCAGGAGCTGCTTTCCAATCGGATTGCATGCTGCAGCGCCGACTCCAAACCGCCCTCGGCCATCAGAGAGCTGACTAGAAGGTCTGTCATAAAGCGATGGCCAGCAGAAGACGCCTGGCCGGGTTCCGATGGCAACAGCGAGGTGAGGGTCTGGGCACGCTCCGCTGCTGTGGGTAGTAAGACACTCCACCCGTCCTGTAATAATAGTCATATATTGGTAGTATAAATTATTGAATTCGATAGTTAGAAGACCTTACCTGCAGTGCTTGTTGTGCGGCTACTTGGATTGTGCGTAGCACTTGGCTGCCACCAGCCAAACCGAGGACACGCGTCTTGAGACTACCGAGGAGACGACTGCCACTGGCTAGGCCCACCTGCCGTGGCTCAACTCCGTTGGCGATGAGAGCCAGCAGCTGCAGGCGTATCAGATTGAGGCAGGCAACGGCGATGCATTCACTTTCCTGATTAGGAGTCTGTCGGTTGTCTTGGCTGCTGCACATGCCCAATAGCTGGTCTAGCAGGCGGAATGTAGGCTCTCCCAAGTCGATCACAAAGGGGGCACGCAGCGGTACACCTTGATGGGAGCTCTGTGTCCATACCAGACTCTGGGCGTTGGTGCAAGCGATTCCGCTTGCCGGGAGCGTGGGTAATGCCACCAGAATGGGTGTCCTCAATAACGGTTCGCTGGACACAGATGCTGGACAGATTTGTTGGCTATCATTACGGCCCCAACCAAAGACTTCTCCGCTGCTGGAGAGGGCCAGACAATGTGCCACACCCACAGCCACGTTGACGATGCGTTTGTGCTTAAAAGGAAAGAAAAGTGTTAGATAGGATCACAAATTTGTTGGAGATAACTCACCTGCAAACTGCTGACCAGACGGGGAACACTGCAACCCTGTACACTTCGTTCCACTAACTGGTGGCCCAAGCAGGTTGCTTTGCCCCAGGTGTAAAGTTGGCCCTCGCTGCTCAAAGCCACCGAGAACTGGGAGCCGGCAAAGACGCGCTGCACCCGGGGAAGCGATTCGACAAGAATCGGCTGCAGGCTGCCGTTGCAATTGCCATTACCCAGCTTGCCGTAGTCACCATCGCCCCAAGCGAACACCAAACCCTCGGATGTGAGGGCCAGCGAATGGGCATCGCCACTGCCCAGAGCCACGTCCACCACCATGTGCTCGGCCAGAGCCACCACCAGCGTGGGCAAACAGCGGTCATCGCTGTTTCCGTGACCTAGCCGGGCATAGGTACCGCGACCCCATGTGAGCAGGTTTCCGCCGCAAGTGATGGCCGCGCTGTAGGAGCAGCCGCAGTAGACAGACTGGACGCAGTGCTGCTCCAAGGCGGCGATTTTGGTGGGTACAGCGCGGGCGTGGGTGTCACCATGGCCCAGTCGGTGATCTTCGCCAGTGCCCCAAGAATAGGCATTATCTGCAATTCGTTTTAAGTATATAATTAAAATTATTTATTCGTTTCCCACTGCATAAGTTAGTATGTTTTTTGATATAAGCAAAACCTTCACTAACGCTAAAAAGCATGCTACACTTTTTGAAGATCAAAAGTCCTTATCAATATGAAAACGATGAGTAAAGTTAATCTATACTTTTCCTAAGAAATATATAACATTTTCACTGCCTGAATTCAATTAGTCACCAAGATTGATTGGAAGGCTAGGCTTTCGAAACTCTAAACTTAAAATAAATGTTTACAAACCATTTGTTTAAAGATCATTTTTCCAAGAAAAAGGGAATGGTACGTTAGGCAGAAATTGGAGTTGCCTTTAAATAATATTTGGACATACCTCAGACATGTGCAACAACAACATATAGATACATTATATCTGAATACATATTTAGTAATTTAATAAGTTTATATTTAAGAAACATTTCATATGGAAATCATAGAACTTACGGTTGCTGTCGATAGCCAAAAAGTGGCGACCCTCGCAGTGACCAGCGATGCTGATGAACACCTCGTTGGCAACCTCCTCCATAGGCAGCGGTTCCGCTTCAGGTTTGGCCAGTCGCCAGGTGTGCAGCTTGCCTTCCTGACTAAGGATGAGCACCTGGCTTTCGCAGCATGCCACTTGCTTAACCTGAAAGCGGCAGCTCAGCATCGGCACTGCCGTGGACTCGCCACTCCAGCTAAGCGTCGGTTCAGCGTTGAATCCCTGCTGATCCTTAGAGAGTGTTGGCCATCCCAAGGCGTAGACTCGTTGCTGTGGCACTGAACTGCTCGAAGCGGCGGGAGCGTGACCACCACGGAGCAGACAGCGGGGCATCAGTGGCTGCACCAAGCGATCGAGATGAGAAATGATGACAACGGCGGCGCGACGAAGATCGACAATGGCCGCACTGCTTTTGGGCAGTGAAAGAAAGCGTAGGAAGGTCTCGGTGGCACTAGCCACAGGAGCAGGCTCTCCGCTGCCGATTCCACCGCCTTTGGACGTGGCTCCAATCTTCTGATAACGCAGCAGAATACGTTGCAGCGGGGCGCCCGTCTTGCGCGGCATATCCCGATTGTCGTTGCCAGCGCGATCCTTCTCCCAGAGCATCAGCAGCAAAACAATACACTCGAGCGTGGCGGCCAGCGTGCCCTTCTGCACTCCCAGCTCCAGTAGTAGGCACAGTGCCGTGTGGCGGTCATTTAGCGGAGCTGTACACCGACCGCCCATCGGATCGCCAAGAGCCACCAGACGCAGGAACTTGATGGATCGCTCCATGACCTCTAGCCATAGCGACGAGACGACGGCAGCCTCGAAGAGCGTGGCCTCTGGCAACTCTTGCAGAGAAGCTAGCGCCTCACTAAGCAGTTCACTGCACATTTCCGTATCCTCGCCAGACCGCCAAGCGCGGCGCAAAAAGGCAAAGCTAAAGTTTAGCGCTGTCCTTGTAGCCACACGAGCCAAACCCACAGCGCCATGCTCTAACTGCTCAGCTGGTTGTGATTCCACTGCAACATTTGTGGCGGCGGCAATGGTGGTGCTAGCGTTTACCACAGCCTGCGTATTCGTCGTTGGCTGGCGTTCACGTTCCCTTTCCCTTTTCAAAGCCACAAAGTAGCGTTCGTAGACAAAGAGTTGCTGGCGAAGGTGCTGGGCGGATAGACAGTTGCCAGCAGCGCGCAGGGCGAGCTCCTGAAGCTCGGAGATCATGGAACGTTGGCAATCCAGACGAGCCTGCTGCGATGGCGGTTGACTCCAGAGCCAGCCGCTGAGGACCATATCGGTGGCCTGACTAAGCTGGGCCGCCTGTTGGGCGGCAGCCTGGGTGGTAAGCTTCTTGATGGCCGTATCCGAGTCCAGAGACCGGCAGCCGTCGCAGTTGCAGGCAGAGAGCGGACCGCAGTACTCTGGCTGGCAGCAGGAGCATTTGAGCTGCTGGGCGCCGCAGTAGTGCTTGCCATCATCGCCCAGGTAGGACAGCTGGCCGTAGGCATTCAGGAGTGGTGCGGTGGGTGAGGAAACCAGCTCACAGTCCTGGATCAGGTGATTCCACAGCACGGCGGCATCAGCGGCGTTGCGCAGGGAGGCGATGAGATCGGCGCGCAGCCACTTGGCGTCCAGGCACGGCAATGGGCGCAGGTAGAGATCGGGCGATTGGCTGGGTGGGGGTGCTGATCCAGAACCTGATGCAGTGGCTCCTCCTCCTCCTCCAGAGGATGATGCTGCAGGAGCTGACTGACTTGGGCCTGCACCCTGGCCACTGGATCCGGCTCCGCCGCTCGCCTGGCGGTTAAACATGGTATTTTCTTGGTTTTGCGTTTTCTAGTGCTCCACCGCCCAACTCAGCCTAGAAACAACCACAGCAACGGCAATGGCATGGCACATTTTCCCCAGCGAAGGGGTGATGGCGGATGGGGGGTGTGGCGCGGGTGGATGGGGGCGGGTCAATGTCGTCACTGGCACACGGACTGCACACACGCACGCAAGCACGCACACAACTACACTAGGGGTTCCAGGATCAGGATAATCCGTTCTTATACTTTGCTGTGCAGTTCATTTGGTTACTCCTTATGAAGTTACGACACCCACGAAATTCAGAGAATAATTCGCTCGCACTTGCACTTTTCGTTGTTCGATAGGAATTCAAAATTGCACTTTTGTTCTTGGTCTCGCTCGCACACAGTGCAGTGTGAATGGTCGACTTTCTGGATTGATGCAGGCTTTCAAAAACAAATGCGGATAACGTAAAGCCCTTTTTTCAAACAGAACTTCTTTGTAAAGTATGTGTGCGCTTCCTAACGATTCGTTTCGATTCCAATTGCCGTCTTTCTTCAGCCGTTCCGATGCGACGTCTGTTTACTTTATCCCTATGCTTTTCGCCCCACAACTGGTATGAAAATACCAACAAACAGTGACAACAAAGAAAGGTCATACTTGTTTGCCTATCGTAATCGTTTATAGAAGCAAAATCCCCAATAAATAGGATTCGGCTGTTAATTTTACATTATTGATATACTTTACATTAATGCAAAATGGGCGCATTTTTTCAAAAAAAGTTTTCAAAATGAGTGTTGTCAAAACTTGGATAAATTATTGTAAATTAGGATAGAGTTAGAGTTGCGGATATGACAGACTTAATTAAATTATTTTAATATATATGAACAGGTTTAAAATTATATTCTATTTTTAGCTTGGACGTTTGAAATACAATTTTAATTGAAAATACAAATTAATAATAAAAATGTAATTGACAAAATTGAAAAATTAAAAATTATGATATGATGATTCGATACGTAATATATATTTTCTGTTTACAAACATTTACCATGAAGATAAGAACATCACCATTAACTGAATTAGAAATTAATTTGCACAAAGTATGACCGATTTTGTAGATTCATTAAAATCCTATGCGCGTTATTCGGTATTTTGGACGAAATAAGCAGCGTGCACACTGCAACAGCTGTGCCAAAACTAAATTAGGGAAAAATCTGATTGGAATTTCTGCGGATTTCGCTCACCTCATATCCCCTAGAATTCAGGAGCAGGTAGCCAGGATGACGTCTCGCAACCTGACGGAAGTGTTCGTCATCATGCGCAACAATGCGTCCAAGAACCGGAGTCACTACGACGATCGAGTAAGTCTAAAATACGAATCCCAAAATGGTCTGATTTAGCATATGTTTTTGGTTTGCAGAGGGGTAGCGATGCAGAGCGACTTCTAAAGCACTCGGTGCGGGAGGCAGAAGAGGGACTGGAGCTGCAGGACGACTACGGCACACCGCCTGCCTGGTTGGATAAGTTTGAGGAGGCCCAGTATACTATGTCCAAGTGTGTAACCCAAACTTCAGTTCAAGTTCATTTGCTAAGCGTAAATCTGGTTGTATTTTTTTTTCACTCCAGGATCAAACCCAAGCTAGACGAGTTGGGCTCATTACATGCCCGCCACCTTCTTCGACCCGCCTTCGATGACCAGCGGGATGACGAGTGCGATATTGAAGTGCTCAGCCAGATCGTCTCCAAGCTGATTACATCCACGCACCGGCATATCCAGTGCGTTCGTTCCAGCATTGGCGTAGGTAGTAAGGTTGAGCAGTGCCTGACCGCCAACGCGGTGCACTGCGCCTTGCTGCAACTGCAAGAACTGACGGTTAAGTTCCGGGCCAGCCAAAACGCCTACTTACTACAGTTGAACTCTCGCGAAGAGCGCTCGCAGAAGTACTTCGACGACGGTGGCGCTGGCGACGTTTTCACCAACGTAGAGCTGGGCGACCAGAACGCCGACAACTTCGTTGACTCTTTTGATAATTTCCTGCAGCCGCCGGCGGAGGGCAAGAGCAGCAACAGTTACTTGTTCGAGGACGACGACCAGGCTATTGACGATCACTTCCAGAGACCTCCTGCCAGTCGGATGACCCAGCAACAGTTGCTTCTTTTCGAAGAGGAGAACTCGCGGGTGGCTCAGCACCGCGAGCAGGAAGTGACCAAAATAGTCAAGTCCATTTACGATCTGAACGACATTTTCAAGGACTTGGGCCACATGGTCCAGGAGCAGGGCACCGTTCTTGACCGCATCGACTACAATGTGGAACAAACGCAGACGCGCGTCTCTGAGGGATTGCGCCAGTTGCACAAGGCAGAGATGTATCAGCGAAAAAATCGCAAGATGTGCGTCATCCTGGTCCTGGCGGCGGTCACCTTCTTTATGCTGCTGCTGCTCATCTTGACCAAGCTCTAGCTTGATTTAGTTCTACAGCTCTAGTCGACGTCATTCCCGTGCTTATGTGTGTATATTGTAAATGTATGAATACATGTTATATTTATTATTTATTGCTAATGCTAAAAAAAACGCAACTACTTCTCAATCTCAAATCACGATCACATGCGCTCCGAGAGGCGCGAGGCAACGGCCCTCAGGTTGCCGTAGACCTTGCTGGGCGGTGATCCCAGGATCAGATTGCAGACTGCCCGTCGCGCCAGCTGAATGTTCTGGTAGCTCCCAAGGATGTGGATTTTGCTGTCTGCTAACACGATGCGGGTCTTAGTCACGTTCTCAATAGTAAACTTGGTACGTCCTCCCTTTCCGGCAAGGCGACCAATGGCACGCGACTGGTGGTCGCCGCGCAGTGTCTTTACGTCCTTGATTTCAAAAGATTCCACGAACAGATCCTCCAATCGTAGTAAAGCCAGGGCATCGTCAACTTCGAAGCCGCAGAGGAAGGCACGCACAAAGTCCGCTCCGCGCTGCAGGTTGGCAATATCTGGCGTCTCCGGACCAACACGAAGCTCCACCTGTCGCGCCTTCATGTTGAAGCGGATCTGCAATTTCATATGTTCCACCACGGGCGTAAAGATCTTCATCCAGTGTTCCTTCAGGGAGGAGTATCTATGCGGCGGTACGGACACCTTGCGCAGCTCGCTTCTGGCTCTTTTCGCCTTGGGCGGAGCTGATGCACGGGAGGATCCCAGGACCTGGCCTTCGATACCGGTTGCCTCGTCCACCTGCATCTCCACGTCCTGCTGGCTGCTTCCAGAGGCCCCGCGTTTGGGTGCCCTCTTCGCCGGTTCGAATGCGTCCGCCTTGATGTTCTCTACCTCCATAATGGGATCGGTTGTAGCTTTTAAATCGCAAATTGCGTTGTTTTTGATAAAACTAATATATTTAGCTGCTTCGTCTTCCACGTGCTCAGTGTGACCGCGTTCGAATTTGTGTTCGATTTTGTGATTTTAAATATACCGATACGACAATATATCGATCTGTTATCGATTCGCCGGTCGCCGGATTCTAAGCATATTAGAGAATATATATAGTACATACATTGATATATTCAATAAACTATAATAATATCATGTTATACTGTTTAATAACAACCTTAGAAATTCGTAACAACTATATATATTCTCAATATATATATTAAATTCAGAAGACTTGAATCATTTTGGAGTTGTTATTTTCCATCGCTGTTTACCAAAGACTATGAATTGAATGAACTTATCACTGTTTCTGAACGATGTTAGTAAACATATAGATGCTGAATTTTTGAAGTATTGTTAAACATAATTATACCAATTATAACATAAATAGCTATTATACTGCATACGAGATACGATAGTGTGAATATCACTTTTCTTATAACGTGTCATAACAGGCAGCTTTAGGTTATTGGATCGTCTATCGTTATCGCAAGATTTCAATCGAGTATGCGGGACAATTCAATTTGCGCCTCGGGCAAGTGTAAAGTTTTGAGATTAATTATGGTCAACGTCGTTGGCGTTCATCTTATAGCCATTAAAAGTTTCTTGGGCAACAAATGGGAATTATTTTTGCATCAGCCGCTGCGATAAGCAGGCCATTGCAATGCCAACAATTTCCCTGCACTTGAAAGTAAAGTTAAGTAAGCCAAAGTGGAGTTAAGTAAAGTTAAGTACGAGTAATGCGGCCACCAAAGGCAGGCGATAATCTCAAGTTTGCAATTGCACTGGCAATTTGTTTGTTATCTCCTCCGTTTCCCTTTATTCTTCTTCTTCACACCGCATTTCCCTCGCTATTTCGGCCTCTTGGGAAAACTTTTCCCCAAGCATGAGGTATTTGAATAAGGACACTGAGAGAAATGCGATTAAGGCTTAAAGGTTTTTATCTCCTCTTTCTTAAGAGCATATATCTGCGTAATTTTAAGCCCTTTTTTCTCTGGAGTCTTTAGTCTTAAGTACGTATATCGCTCCTTTAAGCCTCATTCGAACCAAGAAGCCGTACTTTATTTCTCACTGTGTGTAGAAATCGTGGAGGTTTCGGGAGCGATATGAGTGCAAATTGCGTTGGCTTTCATTTGGCATGCACTCATTTGGGTTATCTGCTCGCCCACTTAATAAACTTAATGACTCTCGAAGCCTTTGGCTGCACATGATTTTGCCAGGAAAATCGCCTAAAAGCGCTCGGCTCTCTAGCTGCCAGGTCAGCTGATGTGGCAGCCGTCCTGCCACTCCCACTTCGACTATCACTCCTACTTCTATACCAACCAACCAACCAACCAGCTAACGCCCCCTTGTGAGGTCCTTTCACACAGCGACGTTGTCCTTGGTAGCCGTCGCTCTGCAACTGAACGACGAAAATGAAAACGCGAAATACACGCGTAAGGGCTTCAAAGGTTTTGGTTGAACTGCATCAAAGTTATAATTAGTTGAGGTTAGATTCGGGACAGGACCGCACAGGCAAGCATCGTATCTCTGTGTCTGCCAACACAGCAAGAAAAGTCAACATTAAATTAGCTACATTCGGAGTATTTCATAATAATGTACGTTTTCATTTCAAAGGAATCCAGTTTCACATTCAGACTGTAGAGATTCCTAACTAGGAAAAGCTATTTTTTAAAATTGTTTTAGATATGTTACAAACAAATTGCTGACCTGATTTATTTGGTTAACGTGCATTATTCGCATGTCCTGGATATACCAGCAAGGATAATCAGATTAACCATGGCTTCCTTCCTCCTCATCTCACTTGGCTTCGGCTGACGAATATTAGTCGAGGGTCCAAGTGAAGGACTTCCAGTTCAAGTTTTACTTTGTGAAGGCGTTTTTTTTTACTTGCGGGTGTTGCTCTCAGGATTCCCTGAATCCTTACGTTTTTGTTCCGCTCTTCCGCTGCCTCGAAGCACAGTGCTAAATTATTGCGGCCTCTGGAAGAATGTAAAATATTTTATTACTCTGTTGTTCGCCGGAAATGAAGGCGAGTTGGGGAAGGAGAGCTGGGCGGTGACAGACAATGTCATCTTGAAGAAGGCACAGTGGACTTTAAGCGAAAGACATAAACTAAAATTTAATTGGGAGAAGAAAATCGTGATTTCCCTTTAAGATTTTTGGCATTCTTCGTTCGTAATTATAAGATTTTTCATGCTTGAGGAGGATGGATAACTACTGGAAAATGTCTTTTAATATTATTTTATATCAAAAGAGAAGTAGTAAATCGGTTTCACATATCACATATTTCCACTGTGAGTATAAAAAAATGTAAGAATTTCCAAAGATTTCCATTAATATCAGACCATTATTGTAGGTATGAAATTTTGATTGATGAACGAAGACATCAATCCACTGTCGATTGAGCAAGAAGGGGGAGATAGCTCATCGGTTGTAAGCACTAACCGCTTGTGTGTAGTTTGTTGTGGCTAATCAAAGGTTGGCCAAAAAGGAGAAGGGCTTCATCTCGGATCCAAGGATATTCGTGTTTTGCCAGTTGTACAAAATGCCGCAACATTTTCATCGACTACAAATGGTAAAACATTTACACGAAAGATAATAATAAATATGGTGGCGGGAGTTTAGATTTTCGAAATTGAAGGAGAGGCTTCCCTATAAAGCAGTGCTTGGGGAAAGGAGAAGGATGGCAGATAGATATCTAGATAGATTGATAGAAAGATAGATAGATAGATAGATAGTCGGACAGATTTCTATAACTAGATTACTATATAGGAAGAAAGTTACAGAGATATATAAGTAGACATAGGCAATAGGTACATAGGTATGGTTAGATATAAAGATAGATGGTTTGTAAGACAGATAAATAGTGAAATTAATAGGTAGTTAGACAGATAGATAACAAATAGATTACAGATATATAACAGACAGATAACAGATAGATGACAGATAGATGAAAGATAGATGACAGATAGATGGTTACGTAGAAGGATACATAGACAGACAGCAGATAGAAGGCAGGCAGATAAATAGATAGATAGAAAGACTCATAGATAAATATATGGTTAGCTAAAAAGATAGATAGCTTAGAAAATATAAACCTATCATAAGATCATAAAGTCTATAGATTTAACTTAATTATTTCCTCCAAGGTAATCTAAAAAAATCCTCCATGGAGGAATAGTTTCTGTTTCCAATTGAAGGCGGAAAACGTGACGTGTGGCTCTGCCTCCATCCGCCGCGTCCAACTCATTTGGAGCTCGACTAATCGCAAATAACACACATCGATTACATGGGCACACATCCCCACGGAGGATGGGGCCAAAGGAAAGGCCTTGCCAAAAAAAAAAAAAAGAAAAAGAGAATGAGAATGAGAAAAACGGCAACCGAAATAGCTGGAGAAATAGAAATAGAAACAGAAAGAGAAACAGAAACAATTAGCACGGAGCAGGACGTAATTGGCGTGCAGTTACGGAGGCTGATTAAAGAAGCAATCATAAAATTAAGACCCATAATCCTGTGCAATTTGGACAAACACACACGCCAACGGAATGGTATGCCAGGGTATGGCATGGAATTGAATGGACGGGGCCAAGTGGGGGAATCCCAAGAACACGAAGCCCAGTGGAAGCTAATAATAACCGAGCGAAACCAAAGCAAACGGCAGGAGGAAGGACCAGCATCGGAAAAACAACAGCAACAGCAACAGCAACGGCAATAGCAATGGCAACACACCAGCACAAAAATCACTTTACACGCTCCAAATACGAAACGAATGTGTGAGTGTGTATGGCTGTCTGTGTGTGTGTGTGTGTGTGCGTGTGTCAGGGGGGTCTAGAAAAGGGGCTTCGGGAGGTCTGAGAACCCTTACTCCTTTCTATGATCCGAATTTTAGTCGAAGTTTGAGTCAAATTGATGCTGTAACAGTAGAGATGCGAGTTCTTCTGTCAAAGCAGTCATTTTGGCCCTGCAAGAAGGATATTTCTGTTACTTAATCTCCAGACTTTGCTGTTCCGATCTAAAATATAGAAAGGTATATTCTTATACCATATCTTAGGGACTTTAAAGATGTTAATTTTGGACTTTAATTGACATTTTTAAACAGTTTTTTGTTATATTTTAAAGTAAAACTGTAAGCTGAGCTAAGTATAAAATATTCTTGATTGGTTTTTCATAAGAAAAAGATTCATAATTTCCTATACTAAATCCCTTTTGAATACAAAACACATCTCAAAATGTGTGTCTCTACAACGCTGGCAACAAGTGTTAGTAGATCTGAGAAGGAATAGCCCATTGATGGACCCCAAAAAAGATATGCTGCCGTTGCCCCTGGCATGTCCGTATAAGTGTTCCCGGAGTCCGTAGTTCGTAGTCGGTGGCCCGGAGTCTGGACCAGCAGTCCCCCCCCTTAAAGGGAGAGACGTAGAAGTTGAGCTGGTGCTACGTGCGGCGATTTGTGTGCCCTTATAATGCCGTGCCACAACAACAGGCAGCAGTAGTAGGAGCAACAGCAGGAGCATCAGCAGGAGCAGTAGTAGGAGCAGTAGCAGGAGCAGTGGTAGTAGCCACATCAGATCCAAAAGCAATATGAAACCTTCATTAGCGAGCTGTTTTTTTTGGGAGGGAGGATGAGGATGATGACGACGAAACACCACAACGGATTGAAAACGCTTCCGGCCATACAAATTGTACGTGAAACGTGAGAAATTAATTTTTAAGGTGGCCACGCAACAGTCGGGAACTCCCAAAAACGATTTGACCTGCGTCTGGGCTGTGGGAACTCCTTCGTTTCCAATTTCACTTCCACTTCCAAAAGGAACTTTCTTCTTGACCATCTCTTGGCTGTTTAGAAACTGAAATTAAGGTTAGATTTTTATTAGGTTTTTTCTAATGAATTGGTATGAAAAGTTGCATAATTACCAAAATAAAATGTTTAAAATATTTATATAGAATATTAATCTTCCTCTTACTCAGGGTTAAAAGAAATTATTTTGTCCCTCAAACCTTTTTGAT